AGGCGGGTATACTAACCACTATACTAACGAGAATTCGTACAAAGAACAACACCCTCACCGCGTTGCAACCAAAAACAACCATTTACAACAACAAAACACCTCACACACACACTACCACACATCGGACCGCTCACAGACCGCCCCCGCCACGCCGACATCGCTCGCACGGGCCGACAGCGTTCGTACGGAACGCGCTACAGCCTGCCGCGCACGACCACTCGTCGCCTTCGGTACAGCGTCAATCCAGCTCGTATGTCGATTGCCAACACCCAGGCACGCTCCACACAGACCCTGCTACCGCCCAGCGAGCGCCACACCGCGCCCGAACACTCCCGCAGAAACCATCGCCGACGATGCTCCTAGGGTCCCCGGTCGATTCCCACCGGTTGTGCTGACCGCGACAAGCGCGCCCAGGACCAAAGCAGCGGCCAGGCAGGGTCCAGGACGGCTGGGCAGCTGCGCGAAGTGTGCAACGGGCGCAAAGGAGCAAGCAGAGCGAGTGGAGCAGGTGGCAGCAAAAGAAGCTTCCCGTCCGGGAATTGAACCCGGGTCACCCGCGTGACAGGCGGGTATACTAACCACTATACTAACGAGAATTCGTACAGAGAACAACACCCTCACCGCGTTGCAACCAAAAACAACCATTTACAACAACAAAACACCTCACACACACACTACCACACATCGGACCGCTCACAGACCGCCCCCGCCACGCCGACATCGCTCGCACGGGCCGACAGCGTTCGTACGGAACGCGCTACAGCCTGCCGCGTACGACTACTTTTTAGGACGTATTAGACTTGGGAATACCAATAATAAAATTAAGTACGTCGCAACGGTTGACAATTCCTCCTAATAGGTGTTAAATGCCGTGGCTTAATCCATGTGCCCATTACGACGTACCTATACCAGTGTGGTGACGTCCCAAATAGCCTTTTTAGTGCACTGGAATGCGAGTATCTCAGTTACAGGAAGCAAACCGCAATGATGCGGGGCCAACACCCGGTTGCACTCCGAAAATAGTCGCTCGCACGTTTTGGACGTTGGCAGCACCATTGCCACCAGGCGACGTACGTCAGACACTCTCCGTTGCCACACTTGTTCCTGCCGACGCCCTACCGGATGATCAGCGCAGCATAGTCTCGCTCTGACCCCCGAATTTGCCTGTAGTCGCGCGTGGTTGCACCTCAGTTTGTGGGCGCTCCAGTCGCTTTAGCGTCACAGCCTCCTGTGTAAATAGAGCACCGCATCGTAGCCGGTAGTGGTGATGGGAAGTGGTGTCAGGAGTCCATACTGATGTCCAACCATCTTTGCTCAGGATGAAAAGTTCCACAGCTTTTCCACGCACAGCTTTCTTGCGCTGGCAGAGCTCGCACGACGCAACGTAGTGGTCGACCGTCGCAGCCATGCCCTTCCAATAGAATTTTTCAAGGACATGAAGCAAAGTCTTCGCTTGTCCTGGGTGGCCGCGGGTTGGGACGTCATGTTCCTCGAAAAGTACACATTTGCGCAGACCTGGAACATCATGAACGCAAAGTCGACGCGGCGAAGTCGGTCGCAACTGGAAGTACAGCAATCCGTTCTCACCAGCAGCCAATTTTACGAGGCCGTTCTCAAATACGGGCGACTGCAGAATTCTAAACGTAGGTTTCGGGTACTCACCCATAATTGGGTAGCCAGCCACAACCGAGCCAACCAGAAGACATACCTCTCTCACGGTCGACGATTCGCACTACAGCCACTTGTACATACTGTCGAAGTTACGTAAGTTATGCAGCACGTCGCCCAGCTGCTTGTGCTCACTGCTGGTAGGAAGATCGTCTCTTTCACGGCCTCCACGGCTCGGATGTGCGGCCTCAGGCCCACGCAGCGTTCTAGAACGTCGTAGGTTGACGACCAGCGCGCCGCGTTGTGTTTCTTGGCGCGGATGGGAGACAGATTGCGGAGCTCGACGGCGTTGTTTGGCTGGTGCAGCTGAGATACTAGATTGTTAACCGTTTGTGACAGTGACTCGTGCCCCACTGAGAATGTTTTAACCACCAGTTTAAACCGGTGTGACACAACCAACCAATGAGACGCCGAATTTCGTAGCGATGCTGGGGTTGGAGTTGCAGTTGCCCACCACAATGAACGGAACCATCTCAACCGTCTTGTTATAAACGGCGAATATGTTTCCAAACAGTTCAATGTACGCATCGGCGCCCTGACTTTGTCATCCAGCGCGAGCAGCGCGCGCTGGAGTCGACCGCTCACGCGAGAAGAGGTAGGGGTAGCCCGTACCGGCAGCAGCTTTCGGTCAACACCACACATTTCCACCGCACAAGGGCTTGACCTTGATTCCGACGAACTTGGCGCTATTGACCGTAAGTTGCTAATCACCGGCAAAAGTGAGAAGGACAGTAACGCTGCACCGAAAGCGACGAACACTAACCATTCATGTAAAATTGTACGATTTCACAGCCAGATGAAGGCTCGATATTTGTAGTATTTATTCTAGCCCCACTCTACAAACCTGAAACCCAAAATTTCAGTATAAACAACCCTTCTGTTCTCCGAGGTGCTCGATCCGTTACGCCAACCAGCGCAACGCGGGGACCCCACACATCTACAAGAAGGTTGAACTTGCTCTCGCCGTTGCTTGATTACGGCCGATCCACGTTTACTCTAGCCTTTGTGATCTTCGATAAATCTGAACATTCGGCGTCGACCTCAATCTCGGCGTGGACGACTTGGTCGATGTAGTCAGAAGCCGGTGAGTCCAGCTCAAACCCGTTCGTTAAGAAGAGCTTCATGGGTTCATGGTAGGTCTGATCCGCACACATATCCCGCATACGAGGCGTTTTGCGTACCACTCGAACCTAACAGCCGCGGAGCCTTAAAGGAGGGTCAACCACCATACTTTATCATCGGCTAGCTGATAGTCATAAATCGAGCCTCGACCGAGCGGGTAACCCGTCGGAAGCATCAGGGAGTCATTGGTCAGGGTGACTGCTCCATAAGTGTATCGGTACCGCGGTGCCACCACAAGCGCATTGATAGAATACCGCTACGTACCGAAGTCGCGTGGGAGAAAGGCTCGGTCGTGTTGACTTTTTTGAAGCTCCACATGAATAATTGAGCTTACAATAAACCCAACATCAGCAGACATTCGCGCACCCAGGAAATGTACATGCGCATTGTGTAGAGAGGGTTGTGACCAGTGGTTTCTTGATGGAGTCCTGCCCACTGAAAACACCCGCTCCTTTTTTGGTCTCCACTGGTAGTGTTTATTACGTAAGCAAAAACATTGTTGGTAGCCGCCAAGTCCCACAAACCATGATCGAAAATCGCCTGGGCACTGAACAGTGGATCACTGGTTGCGTGCTGAACTCCGCCGCATCGGAACGAGTAAGACGCCAAGGTTGGAATTGTCATCTCTGTAGGTTTATCGGTTTCACGTAGGCGTTGGATCTTCATGTTATCTACAGGCTGTTTTTTCTTCTTTTTCTGAAGCACTCCGCTTGACTCAACATCATTCTCGCAGGCAACCAGAGCTTCAGCTAGTGGCACGACAATGGGGCTGTCATACTCCCGCAGCTTGCGGCAAGACCACCAGCTGTGCGCACAAAGCGTTCTGCATCACCAGGGCCATCGCAATAGCATAATCAGGGTACATGATCAAGCTGTTTTTTTGTCAAGAAAGAGAGAGATGCATTGCCCCACTAACATCTTTACACGATGCGTCGGCCGAACACCGACGGACAACTCGATCCCCATCCGCACTCATAGACAGGTTTCCCTTTACGGTGAATCCCAGGTTGGGAGCACGGCCGAATGAGTACCACATTAGCACCAGCAACACAGTGCCTTGGTAGTCGTTGGGACCCGCAGTACAGTCAGTCCATGAAATTGCACAGATCCTCCTATGTGTCGGCGGGCGCCTTCTTGACCAATCCTCCCCCGACGCGCTCTGTTCGAGCGTCTGTCCCACCTGGACAGTTTATTTTCGGCGCTGGTTCGTTGGGTCGGGCAGGTATCGAGCATCCGATTTTTCGCATACCAACCACCAGTTTACTGCTCATTTCCTTGAATATTCGCGCTATTGCCGACAGAACATTCGGAACCAGTATGCGCTGCCAGACCTCTCACCCGTTAACTCGCAACCTGCTCTCCAAACCGCAATCAATACATTCAAGTGTTTTGTCGCGACCCAAGAAGCCCCCAAGGGCTTCATTGCTGTTTCTATCATAAGTGATTCGAACGAGGATATATGTGTGAGGTTTATGGACCGCTTCGGCTTTCACCTGGCCTTGGTCGAGAATGAGGTGGTGGGAAGTCTCTGGTCAAGAACTCGGTTGCGCGCCTCAACCGCATATTTTCGCCCGGCGCCTACATCATATGTCGACACGGGGACGGTACCCTATAGCTAATTAAAACCAAGTAAAAATGTCTCAACACCGTCACAGCATTTATCCATATTAGCGACCAACGCATCGCACGCACCTGTATATATAGAGCTAAAATGTGGCGTACAATGCGTAAAAAATGTAGTTATCTATTACGGGGGAATTAGGGGCGCAGCGTCGTCGATAAAACATGCCTCACTTTCCGTTATTTTCATGGTGGTACTTAGCCACACCGCTAATCACGAATGCTGATGTGTACCGGATTGATACCTCCGCAAAACGTACGATATATCGTTGATCGTGTTGTTAAATATTAGTGTCATGAATTAACGGCTAGCACAACTTGCATGGGCACGCTTAAAGTAGCTACATATGTGCCACATGTAGGTTTTCGTTTCTCCGTAGGTGAGCTAGGTTATCGTTCCTACGGACGGCTGTAGTCCTTGGTAGTACTTGGCTTTGGTTTGGCTCACTTTGGGGTCGATTCGGTAAAGTGCGGATGTAGTTGGTCTCAGATGTTCAGGGGTACCGTCACATCTCGTGGCGAGAATCTGTGTTAAAGAAGACCCCAGTCTATAGGTGAAGCCATAGAAAACCGAAACGACGCGGTACGACAGCTGTGTCTTTTTCTGGGTAAAACCGCATCCTGATTTCTGCTAATTTTGGTCGTTTGCTGGGTGATCTTTTTCTATCCACAGGATCGGTGGCCCTTGTTAAAACAAGGGTTTTCACCCTTTTGCGATGGTTCTGTGTAAACATGGCTAACGAGCATGTTTTACAAAATTGCTCCAATCAGAATTTTGAAGGATAATTTTAGCCAGTAAGGGTCGGGGCGGTAACCGTACCAAAACATGGCTAAGTAGCATGTTTTACATTAGGTACGAACAAAACCCAGTCTTATGTCCGATTTTGGTTTGCGGGTTGCGGCGTAAAACCATGCATCTAGCCATGTTTTAAGGTATTGTATCGGGAGGTATCCATACAAATTCCAAGTATAAAATTCATCGCTAAAGGGTTAACACTGGTTGACTGGGAAAAGCGTACCGATTTTCGGGATTTGCATTTTTTTACTTCTTCAAAAGTAGCAAAGACGCAATTGCGCTGTCCAAACATGACAGCGACTACTCATACACTACACCAAGAGATATTACCTTCGTGTACCAGTATGTGTGCATCTGCTGTTGCCCGATATCCACCCAATAGATTCGGACGCATTTGGCCTATTTGGTCCCTACCTTTTTATAAAATCTATGTGAGATAAAGCAAAGCTAAAAGCATGTCCTTACATACATGCAATAAAGTTTCATCTTACTTAACGCATAATTCTACTGCTAGTCGATGAAAATGACTTCTAAGTGCGGAAGTCGCTGAAAAGCAACTTGACCCTCTTGCTGTTGTCACATCGCAACATCATCCACCAATTAGACCACTCAAATTTAGAACAATCAGATGATATCGTTTTATTATTGTATGATTTGCATTATCGAAAGCTGAGGCCACCTTGCCTCACAAACGCCCTAGTGCTAGCGTTCGACCTTCGATAGCTAGCGCCCTAGGGCGAGCCAAAGTGCAAGATCACCTTCATTTTAAATATTTGGAAGTGCACTGTTAGATGGATTAAGCCCTGCGTTCATTAAAAAATATTTGAAACTCTCAAATTCGACAGGGTCCCGAAAACAGGCCATACGTGGTACACTATTCCCAGTCAGCCAGTGTTAAAGGAGCCGTAAAGACTCAGGATAAGACTTACCGCTGGAGATGCTCTAAGGTATGGTGCCAGTCGCGTGCAATCTGCCAGTTCCGTGCCACTTTAGCTTCAACCAATTAGAACGCCGTAAATATTTTTAAAGAAACCTATTGGTAAAAAGTCTGTAAGCGCTACCAGCCAGTAAAACCCGCCAAACTGTATACGACCAAGACATATTTCCCGCCAGTTTGAGCTCAGTCTCCTATTTCCTGAAGCCTACAAACCACCCACCAACCCCGCAGCGACCACCTCGACAATGCCCGCGTACGAGATCGAAGATCTCAATTCTGCAGTGAAGCGCGTCCTCGCCGGCGACAGCGCCCGCAGTGTCAGCGACAGCACCCCAATTCCGTATCGGACCCTTACCATATGGGTCGCGAAGGGGAAAATGGGCATCTTCCGCGCACCTGTTCGTCATGGCCCGGATCCGCTGCTCTCGCAACCAGCGGAGGCATGCTTGGTCGAGTGGATTGTCGGGCGCCAACTGGTCGGTCACCCCGCAAGTCGCAAGGAGATCATCTTCAAAGCCGGCACCATGAGCTCCATGGCCACTGGTCAAACGGTTGGTTGCGGGTGGTACCACCGCTTCATGGGGCGACACCCGAAAGGCCCGCAACGCTGTGACCAAGAGCGATCTCGAGCAGGTTTTTAGCTCGTTGATCAAGGCTGTGGTCGAGAATCGGTTGGACGCGTCTCGCGTGTTCAACATGGACGAAACAGCGTTCCAGACCAACAATGGCTCCAAGCGTGTCGTGGCGGTTCGAGGCTCCAAGAACGTTTGGCACCAAGACGTTGCGCTCAATTTTCACCTCACGCTGGTCGCGTGTGGCAGCGCGTCGGGGTGCATGGTGCCGCATTTCGTGCTGCCGGGGTTGACAGTCAAGCTCGAAGGTCTCGATGGCTGCGCCATACCCGGAGCTGCCGTCACCACCTCGAGCTCCGGGTTCATGAATGGATTTCTCTTTCTTGAGTGGCAGCGCTTTTTTTCGGCTAGCGTGCCCAAGGACGTGCAGCGACCTCTTCTCCTGATTCTGGATGGGTGTTCGTCTCATTACTCTGTGGAGATCATCCTAGAGGCAGCTCGGGTTGGCGTGCTTCTGTTATTGCTGCCTTCGAACGCGACCCACCTGCTTCAACCACTGGATGTCGCTGTGTTTTCGTCGTTCAAGGCGAAGCTACGCCGCCTAACCGAGATCTACGTTGGCGAGACTGGACGCAATTCGGTCGACAAAGAGGAAGCCATCCGGATGGCAAGCGCAGCATGGGTAGGATGCAAGATGGGTGAAACCGTCCAAGCGGGGTTTGCTGGGTGCGTCCTTTTCCCTCCGTCCAAGCCTCGTATGGACATGTGCATCGACAATTTCCGGCGCAACGGGACCCCCGCATCTACGAAGCTGGCAGTGTGGCTCCGGATTAAGGAGGTCGTGCAGAAGGAGATGCTCGTGCTACCGCCGTCCAAGAAGCGGGTGCACAAGACAGCAACGGTCGCCGGTCGTCTTTTGACCAAGGAAACACATGGAGCGATGGCACAACCGGTGAGCAAGCTCAAAAAGGCAGCCAGGACGAAGAAGGATCCGATGGCAACGAAGGCGACGAAGACGAAGAGGGTGCTGTCTCCGGTGCCGGAGCCTGTGCAGCTGCAGTTCCAGTCTGCGTCGAAGCACGGTGAGGCAAACCAGCAGGAGCAAGTTGTGTGGGAGGCGATAGTTTAGTATAACCAAAGAAAAAAAGCTTTTGCTGGGGCATTTTCCACCACATTGTCTTCATTGTTTTTGTTGTTTATTTCCTACTTTCTATAGTGATACGATATCCCTCTGTATGCCTAGGCCCGCTGTGATGTCCGGTTTTTGAGATTTGACGATCTCAAAACGTTATCAGAAGGGGAACCCGACTCATGGTACTTAGTATACTGGCGGTCAATCAGCTCACTCGGTGGCAGCCGTCGGTCGCATTCGCAGTTCTGTGACAGCCCCCTAATGTTCTAATTGACAGTTAGCACACTAGTGTTTGGGTTGAGTTAATGCTGCCAGGTGGAATCGAACCACCGTCCTCTCGGTTATGATCCGAGGACTTTAACACTAAGCTATGGCAGCGCTGCCTCTGAGCGCAAATCAGACTATATTTATACACAAATCACATAATATCGTGTACCATATTGTGATATCGTATATCCTATCTTATACGATTTCAAATGGGTGCAAATCGTTTTGTACAGGTTGTTTCGGTGCTGTCATGAGAGCAAAAAGAGATTTGTCCCCCTTACAAAACCACAGATAAAATGCGGCAGATAGTGGTCGGTTAGGTACGAGTGGTGTGAACCACACGCCCGAACCGTGGGTTTCCGAACCGGAGAAGAACGAAGAGCCAGCCAGCCACTCGTCGTTCTTCCCCTGAGAGCAGCCAGCGCTGCCAAGAATTTGATGCACGTCGTCGCTTACAAGTCAGCCCCGCCCCCGGCGAACCCGCCCCGGGTCGTGTCGCTCAGCCCATCCCTCGGCGGATGCACGGTCCGCCTTTAGTGCCCTGATGAACTCTCTGGCGACTGGACGGGCCCGGTGTATGCGACGTTGAGCCACGAAACGAAGCTGCTAGAGCCCCAGCCCTTTCGTCGATGATGACGATGGCGTGCACAGGCCGGCTTGGCTCGCCACTCTGGTCTTCCTGCTCCCTGGCCAGCGTCGTGTCGACGTGTCGTCGACTCTGCGCGAGCACGTAGATATGCCGTATTGGATCCCGTACTGGCGCCTCACCCAACCAGCGCATGGCCTGTCGGACGAGCTGTCAGCCCGGCCGTTGCTGGCTGTGTTTCGGTTTGTGCGGTTCGTCAGGTTCTACGTGGCGTCCGCCTACTGTGACACCAAGTTTGTGCTGAAGACGTCGGACGACTACCTCTGGGGCCAAGTTCTCTCGTATGAGCGCTCGTCGGCGATCTCGTTGGTGGATGACGGTGATGTTCTTTTGGAGCCAGGCTCCCCTTACGTCTGTATCGTGGCTGTACGCGACTACGAGAACGACCGTTGCGATCCCGCTGGATGATGTCCGGGCCCACCCCTGAGTTCATGCTTGGGTTTTGCCACGGCTTACCTGCAGGGCTTCGTCCTCCTCGGTTCTCCGGTTTGTAGTCAGCGTCCCTCGCATCGACTCCGACATCGGCTGCCGCCACTCGAGTGAAGCTTCAACAGGCATTCCCCCACCCACGCGTTACTACGGAGGCAACAGTTGACATCGGCCAACGCTCGGTGTGCTACGTTACTACCCGGGGTGAGAAGACAAGCATTCGCCCTATCGATTATGCATTTGGCATGGCATCACCGCCGAGTTATGACGATGAACACGCAGCTCACGATCGATCTGAGCCGGGCTCACCTTTATCATTATTGACTCGTGAAGAAACTTTATTGACACCAGTTGATGTGATGTTCCCTACCCTTGTGAGCGGACATACTCTTCCTGCGGGGAATCCACCTTACCTACCGTCGGTGGGTTTTCCGGCAACTGGCTCGGTACCGGCAGCGTCGACGACGCCGGAGCTTTCGGCTGGCCTCGCAATGATGACCACCCTGTTTAACGAGCAGTGCGAACAACACCGTGCGATGGAGGCACGTGTTTCGGCTCTCGTGTCATTAGTGCAGCAAGGATTGCCGGCTCGCGTGGCCCATGTGCCCTTCCAGCCCCAGGCCCTAGATGCTCCTGCGAGTGACCCGCCTGTGATTGGAAGTACGGCGGAACCAACGAGGTCTATGCCATTCGAGCCAAGTTAATTCGGCGCGACGGTCGCCTCAGCGTAGACAGATCATGGCGTCTCGAAGACGTACCCACTCCCGCGGCCGTTCTCCTCGTTCTCCTTCGCGGGAGACCCCTCGAGTCTCGCGTGCTTCGCGTCGTGGCCGATCTCGCTCTCGCTCACCTCGTTCCGACCGCGCCAGTCCCGTCCGTGACCGTAGGCACCATCGTGGCTACGCCAGGCGTGAGCACCGCTCGCGTCGGCGCTCTCGTTCACGCGGCCGGGCCCAGCGGCCGCGGTCTCGCTGCTCACACAGCCAATCTCCGCAAACCCGTGGCACCAGTCGTGGTCGCGCCCGGCCTCATGTACGTCTATCCAGAAGTCGTGAACGTGCATCTACGAGTCGTTCAGGTTCTCCGCACAGACGCTCGCGCAGCCATTCGCCGGATGCAAGGCGTCGCCCTCGCAGCCGCTCGGGAAGCAACAGGGCCCAGGGTCACACTTTCCACTGACGCCGTCTACTCTCGCCGCGTTGTTCAAACCTGTCGGCCAGTCGCAGTCGGTCGCCATCACGACCTCGGCGCTCAACATCTCGAGACGGCCCACGCGGCCGTGACCGCCTGAGATCGCGATCCCGCGCCCGATCACCACCGCTATACCGGCCGACCGGTAGCAGTCTGTTCCGACCTTCTGAGAATGAGGCAATCGTCCACGACACTGCTCACGTGGGACCACGACCAGCAGAACAATCCTCAGGTAACTACGATCAGTTTGAACGATTTCGTCAAATGAATCCACATGACCGTGCCTGCGCCATGCTTCAACGGGAGCGTCTCCGCGGCCGTTACCGGGTAACTAAAGTGTCAATCAAGATGCTGTACGCCGTCAAATTTCACAGCCGCCCCATTGACCACTTCTTGTCCTCGGAGGATGCTGGGGTTTTCGTCAGGATCGGACTGTAGTTCACGATGATACCCTCTGGGGTGGCCAAGAACCAGCCCCAGCGCATGTCATTCGCAGAGCGGATCATCTCCACCGCGTCCTCCACGTCATCCAGGACGCAGCTGCAGAATGGTATCCGTCCGCCGTTGTGGACGTCTTCCGTGCGGTTCACGGTCACGCGTTGCATCATGTGCCGCGGCCGGCCCCATTGCAACTACTCAGCGCGATGTGCAATCTCTACCAAGCGGTTTCTTCGAGTCTATTTGAGGACATTCGCCATGGTGTTCACGCTCGAGATCTCGCGCCCCGCGCATCACGGATGCTTCGTCCGGATTCCCATGAGTTACAGCAGTACGGCCTCCGGGTTTTAAACGATGCCGTCCTTCGGTCTGTCTATGATGGCCACGACGGAGCTAACTCTCGAGGAGCGCATCGTTCTGGACCCAATCGTGGCCGCACTACGGACCGACAGCGGACCCAACCCAACGGGCCGCATGGTCGCCAGCAATCGGTCATCCCGTCTAATATTCGGGATCAGATTCCGACCGAGAATGGAGCACCCGTGTGCGTTCGATACCAAGTGGTCAAGGATTGCACGTTCGAGCGCTGTGCAAACCGACACGTTTTATGTCAACTACCTCCGGATGTCCTGCGCTGGGTGACATCTACCCACGGGCCGCTCAAACAAGGCCACCCACAGCGGACATGAAGTTGTTGGGGAGGGCATGTAGGCCGATATTAATTACCTGGTAATACGAACTCAGCTTCTATCTGTCCCCCCGCGACCAATGTGACTTCCGCTTGCGGGGCAACGGTGCCGCATGCGACGGCGGAAGGGATGCCGTCGGACGGACCGTTACCTTCTAACGCCAGCGCACCCCACCTCGACCCACTCATGTACCTTTGCCGGGCATAAATTTGGGATCTCAGCCGACGTCCAGCGTTTTGTGCCTCGGCGATTCTATGCGTTCCACACCTTCACTGCCACTTGATCACCAGGTGCTATACGCGGCCTTCGACGGTGGTAGCCGTTCTGCCACCGGTCAGTGCGCATTTGGGTGGGGTGTTTGGACTGCGACGTACTCCATTCTGCATTGTGCAGCCCGCTCATTCGATGATGGTCAGACCAACAACGTCTTGGAGGCCCAAGGCCTGTTAGCATGCCTGCAATGGCTCCGGGGGAATTGCCCTAGAGCTCGCGCGCACATTTTCGGTGATTCCAGCCTAATTATTCGTTTGGTTCTCATGGAGTTCCGTTGCAGTAACCCGCGTTTACGCCCTTGGGTGGCCGCTATCAGTGCGATGGACACTGGCAGATCGCGATTTTACTTTCACCATGTGAGTCGCGACTATAACGTCGCCGCCGATGCACTGTGCAACTGGGCCATAGATACGCCGTCTCCTTGTGGGGCTATGTCCTATTCGGGCGTTTGTTGGCCGTGTCCAGCTCGATTCGGCCAGGGTATTTGCCCCCTCGTGTTGACTACCTATTCAACTGGATCCAGTATCTCCCCATCCGATGGTCATGCTCATGCTGCAGCGACCTGGTCGCTCGTGTTGTGGGAACTCGAGGTAGTGGCTCACTTGATTCGTGCTCGGTTCGTTCCTGAGATAGACGGGAGCCATGTCCACCCTTCCGTGACCCTGCCTCCTGCTTCGCCCGTGGTCAACACGTCGGCACGCCACCAACCATCCCCGTTCGATTTCTACAGTCCTCGTTCGTGTGTTATCAACGGTATCCAACGCTGACGTATTTACCAGTCTTCGTCGATGGGCTCATCGCGTTGGTGCCCGCTTTCCCATGAATACGGCGGCTTCGCCGGGCCGGCTGACGACCCCGAAGGTGGATCTCCACATATTGGACGGCCTCGTTGCTGACCCTCGCCTCGGTATCGCCGGGACCCTCGAGTTGTTTCGAGGTCAAACCTCTCAGGATTTCCGCCCGAACAAGGCCCTCCGGTCGTGGCTATATCGCCTGCATCTTTCCTCCTATCCACAACTCGGGCTGCTGTGTAACATTGCTGAGAACGGCTTGGTCCCACATTGGGTGGACCCTGTTCTTCGGACCGGTGTCCGACCGTCGCCGCCTAACTACCCAGGAGCCACCCAAGGAGCTTCAATCGTGACACACAAGTTGCTCGCGGACTACTATCATGGAAGATGCATTGTGGCCACGTTGGCTACGTTGGAAGCCGACCCAGGATTTCATGCCAGTCCCTTTGCGCTCGTTCCCAAGAAGGATTTGCCCCTAGACGTGGACGGCCGCATCATCCACGATCTATCAGCCCCAACGGGCCTTTCCGTCAATGACCACACAGATTCTTCAATGTCCCCGGACGCCACGTGGGACCCGTTCGTGTACATACCTTCGGCGCCGTTATCCGGGATACGCTATTTACGCCATGATTGCGGATATTGCTGATGCCTTCCACCATGTTCCAGTACATGCGCGTCATGCATCCGCGTTCGGGGGGAAATTTCCGCAGTACGAACCATGGTATTGTGTCTGGTATGGCTGTTTTCGGTTGGACCGCGTCCCCTGGCTTCTTTGCCGTGTTTGGCAAGCTGTTCGACACTACCAGCGTTCGGGTGCTCCGGTGGTACTGGGATATACAGAACCCTTCTGGATTTTTCAGTGGGTCGATGACATCGTGTTGATCGAGGTCGATATTGGTGATCGATTGAAACAAGCAGAGACACGTCTCAGAGACGGCATCAAGCTCGTATTCGGTTCCGATGGTTGGCACGAAGGAAAGTTTAGGACCTGGTCCCGTGAGTTCCACGCGGCGGGAATTGACTGGGATATCCCGAGCGAAGTAGTATCGGTTCCTCAAAGGAAAATCGACAAGACCAAAGCAGTGGTTTTGAACCTGCTTGGCAAACGAGCGATCTCAAGGAAACAACTCGATAGTCTGGTGGGCGTGTTACGACACGTGATCAGCTTTATCCCGATTACAAAACCTTTCATTCAGAGTCTAGTAGCTGTTCAGAACAGCTTGCGGAGACTACGACAGTCAGTCGTGTCACTAACTGAGTTTCTCAAGAAGGACTTGGTCTGGTGGAGCGAGCTCGTATTCCAGAACGAGTTTAGAGGCATGCCGATGCGCCTATTCGACACAGCCCCAAGCTACGACGAAGTCTGGCTGGTACAGAACCATCGGTGCAGTGTAATGATCACGAGCACGAAGCTCAGAGAACGCGTCGAATTCCAACCCCTCGGCAATCCAGAAGACCATGCCAGGGTTGCTCGATGCTTAGAAAGAGTGATGTCGAGCTGGGGACCCTAACTGGCGATTAACGGCGCCTGGCGTCAAGTTTGGATTCACACAGATTCTCGAGACGTCGCAAGTATCATCCGTATAATGAACTGCAGCGATACAGAAGCACAAGACGAATTGCGCCGTTGTGCATTGGGCCAGGCCCAATTTCGACTCAACTTTGCACTCACCTACTTACACGAAGCATGGTGCAGGTCGTGCGACGTGCACATTAGTACTAATAGTATCGATTTGGAACAGATATCGAGCGGATAAGAGTTGAACAGAAGACGCAGCAGCTCAAACGAGCGAGCGTCGCCGAGGGGACACTGGGGAGGTACACCAGGAATTTCAAGTTCTGGGAGTCCTTCTGCACCGACTTCGGATTCCCGGTCTGGATCGACGAGCTGCCCAGGGCACAACAAGCACGGATGGTGGGACTGTTCGCCGGAGTATGTGCTTCCGAAGGACACAACCGGAGTAAGATCGGCAACAAGTATCAGACCTTCGACGGAAAAATGGCAGCGGTGGTCTTCGCGCAAAAGGCAGTTCGGAATGCCCGGCTCAACTACCATGACCCGGAATTTGACCTTATCGCTCAGGGATACAAGCGCACCAACAGCCAAGTGGAGCGGAAGCAACCAGTTACTACTCAGATGCTGCTCAAAATCTACGAGCAGATAGACATCGCAGACTCTGAGTCTCGGTTAGTGTGGGATTCGATTGTGATGGGGTTTTATTTTCTCGACCGTAGCTCGGAGCTATGGGGACCGGTTCCCACGGCTCGTTCCGGCAGCGGCGACCGTGTGCACTGCGTGCCAACGTGGTTCTGCGAGATCGCCGTGAGGTACAGACCGGACCGGAGTCCGACGATGCGCACTCAGTAAAGCAGCCAACGTGGTTCTGCGAGATCGCCGTGGGGTACAGACCGGACCGGAGTCCGGCGATGCGCACTCAGTGGACGTGATGTTCGAGTCACACAAAGGTGACCGTATAGGCCAAGGTACGGTAGTCCGTCACTACCGTTCGAAACACTCGGTACTGTGCCCAGTGCTAGCTGCGACAGCGTGTCTACGTGTGCGACAACAATGGATTCGAGAGAGAAAGTCGCTGGGACCATTCCTAACATCAACATCGCGGACGAAAACGATCAAAAAGACACGCGTTGCCACCATCATCAAAGCCGCCGCGCGAGGCATGGGGCTTCCCTCAAAGGACTATTCAACACATTCGCTTCGGATTGGGGGTGCATGTGCGTTACTTGCCGCCGGCAAGAGTGACCTAGTGATCCGACTGATGGGCCGATGGCCAAGTTGATGCTTCTCGGTGTATACAAGGCTGAAACCTGGTATGGTTCAAGACGCGGCAAGCAGCATGATCAAGGCCTCACCATGGGAGTGTCGCAAAACACCCTTGCTCCACTCGGGGGGGGGGGGGGGGGGACTCCATCGAGGCTAACCCTCAAGGCTAATCAAGTCCACTTGCCCCTCTTTCTCATAGTGATGGTATGAAGGAGGAAAGTGGTCGGTTAGGTACGAGTGGTGTGAACCAAACGCCCGAACCGTGGGTTTCCGAACCGGAGAAGAACGAAGAGCCAGCCAGCCACTCGTCGTTCTTCCCCTGAGAGCCCAGAGCCCCCGAGCAGCTAGCGCTGCCAAGATTTTGTTTATGGGATTGATTAGTTACGTAGGAGACCTACTTTAGGACGGGTTTTACCCCTTTCATAAGGTTTTGTCCCGTGGTAGGATAGATAAATATGGGGGACTCCATCGAGGCTAACCCTCAAGGCTAATCAAGTCCACTTGCCCCTCTTTCTCACAGTGGTGGTATGGAGAAGGAAAACTGGTCCTGCCGTGAATGGGCTTGCAAATAGTCAGCAACTCCTAATTGAGCTCTCGTTTACTGTAGAGCTCAGTTTAACAGTCTGCTAACAGAAGAGATTGCGCTCTCTTCAGATATGCGTTTACATATCAAAACTAATTGCCTAATAAAAAGTTATGTGCAAAACAGTGAGCGGGGTGACATTAACCCTTTCGGTACCACGTGATGTATCCTACAGGATAAACGTTTTGAGATACAGGATAGGATTACGAGCATAATCAAATCAAATGAGGGCATACAATCGTCAAGTCACCTGGCTGACATTAATTTCAGAGTGTTGTAGTTAACCTCGGGTCAATAATTCCGACAGTAGTACGATAGCGGGCAAATCCTCTTCTCAGGCACGCACCTGGCGCGCTCCCTTCACGTCTCATTCAGAAACGCGCCAAGTCGAGCTCACGTCTCGAGACAACCATGACGGAGCTGTCTTTCTCCGCAATGTGGCGGAACCTTCGTGCTCGAGGATGGCGCCATCAGCCGCCGCGCGGCTTATCGACTGTTACAAAGTACTACACGCCAAACGGGTGGGCCGACAAGGCGAACGCTGAGCGCCGGGTTGATGTATTTTGGGGAGAAGATGAACTACTGCGCATTGTTCCCGAGCAAGGTGAGGTCTAACATGTTGGTGAAACTAGAACACTCGGGTAGCATGCTAATGACCGAATGAAGTCTACGGGCGCGCTGGAACCACCAACAAAGCGACCAAAGTCGGGAGGTGGTCCGCCGACTGTGCCTCCAATACCGCTTCCAACGCCGTTCACCCATTCCCCTCATCTCCCGGACTCACGGCCAAACACCCCAGCAAGAGCGCGCTCCAGCACTGGTACTGCATCTCCAGCTTTGGCTACACCCGCGTCGATATCGTCGTCTACGGCTACGCCAGCTTCGACACCGTCCCAAACCACTACACCAACTTCAACGCCGTCTTTGGCAGCGGTGACATCGGCCCGACGGGTGCTCACTATCACGACACCAGCACGGCATTCACTGGAGCCACCAAGAGATCACCTCTCAGCGCATCTGCCACGGCCACGGCAGGCCCGGCCACCATCAAGCCGAGCTCCTGTAGGCCGATCGTCGGCCTCACCAAGTGGACCATCTGATGTAGCTGCGGCTGAGGACGGTATTTTTCTCGGGTCAGGTGACGAGGAGGACTATTCCGTTGACGATGAGGTTAGCGATGACGATAGCATCTTCCTCCCCGATGCGAATGACGGTGAAAGCTGCGACGAGAGCGATGACGGCACCATACCTGACACAGTGAGTGAAGAACCAAGCGAGGACGACCCCGATCTACTACGTCTACTGTATGCTTCGGCAAGTGCCGAAGATTTGTCCAAGGCTGATCTGCGACTTCATACTCTCAAAGGGTGGATGTCCACTTGGACGGCTCGAGCAAGTGTTATCTGTATGGTACAGGATAAGTATACGAAGCTAATTATCTTATCGTTTATTCTACAGGCCATGATATTCAGCTCCCAGCGGCTCAGTTGAGTCGAGACCAAGCGGCTCCTAGTGACACCGCCGAAGCTATCGGCCTCAATCTCGAAGGTCTTTTTTCCTGATGCTTCCGAAAGACTTGTGGGTGATCATCGCGATGCGTCGAATGACTACCAACTGTGGCAGCGGAACTTCTCCTGATCAGCTTGCAGAGTGGAGTCAGCGCCGACGAGCTCGCAACCCGGCCTTCAGACCCATGAGTGCCGCCCAACGGCAGCGAGAGATGGCTAGGTTCAAGGAGATCCAGCCCCACGAGCTTGTCAAGTTCATCGGGCTGCTCTGTGCACGTGCACAATGCCCTCACCGTGGGAAACTGTCACGTCGCTGGGCTACAAACGCTCATGGCGCCGTACCAAAAGGTACCTTTGGTATGTATATGGTGCGCCATCGGTTTGAAGAAATCATTCGGTATTTGCACTTCAGTAGCAACGACGCTCCGGAGGCGCGCCGAGTGAAGACGTGGAAGATCAAGCCAGTCGCCGAAGCAATCAATAAGAGCTTCAGGACTGGAATGACGGTGGGACCGCGAATCGCGTTTGATGAGGGGATGATTCCTATGCGAAGCCGTTTCAACCCCATGCGGCAGTATCTGAAGGTAAAACCCATCCGTGGGGGACAAAGTGCTATCTGACATGCGACTCAGGGACGGGCTACTGCTACAGGGCCGAGATCTACCAAAGGAGAGAAGTGATCGACAGGACCTTTTACCGTGAGAATGCGGTGCTACGCAATGTTCTTTAAGGGCAACGGAATCGACTTATCATTACAGACCGTTTTTACACAAGTGTTCTCCTCTCCTCGCTGCTTCTCGATCGTGGCCTCTATCACGTCGGGACCATCCGCACGGATCGCCTTGGGTTCTGCACGAGCATCTTCTACAAAAAGAATGAGCCAAGAGGTCCTCGGGGCGCTTATCGCATTGCACAGTCTCGCGTGTTTTCGAATATGGCTGCCGTCACATGGATGGACAATAAGCCAGTCTACTTCCTCGCTACAGGATGCTCAACGGCGCTTACTACCGTGGGTCGACGCAATGGAGCGCACATTGATCAAGTGACTGCCCCCAACTGGTACGAGACTACAATGAGGGAATGGGAGGAGCAGATACACATGATCAAAAACGCCTCCAGCGCTTCTCAATTCAGCGATCGGTGCGGTTGAAGAAGTACTACCACACAATATTTGTCGGGTTGGTCGATATGGCTTTGGTGAACATGTACATAATCTACTCGAAGCTGTTCGCACGCAAGTACCGGGACAAACCTGTACCCACACACTGCCAGTTCATGGAGGAGATGCAAATGACGTTGCTGGGTGTCGGCCCTAGCGACTTTGAAGGTGACATCTCTCTAGAAGTTATATTTGGGAGCCCATCGCGCCCTCACGCGCGCCCTCACTCCGCAGCACCTGCCAGGCACGAGCTGGAACAAGTTGAAAGCTATCGAACCGTCCGAGTGGGGGAGCCAACCCAGCGAAAAAGACGTCAGTACGCATGTAAGGTTTGCTCTATCTTACGACGCGCTTTGCACAAGCCAGCATGGGATACAACGTACATTTGCCGGACGTGTTCGAACGCACACGGGGGCGGCGTTATCTACCTCTGCCAGCGCGCCCGACAGCACGATCCTGCCGGCCCCGTGAATACGGCAACTTGCAGCCAGATTTGGCATGATATGTGGCGAAATGGCACGGACACGCCTGAAGGCGTTCGCTATCGTCGTCGAGCACCACAGGATGGACGAGGTAGTTCTGCAGCTTCGAGTAGTGAGGGTAATGGGGAATAGGAGCTGTAATGAACGGTGTGATACAACACTCTGATGATTGCAAAGAACAAAGACAGCGCGTAGGGGGTCGTGATTCAGGTAGTGTAGGCCTACACGTAGGCAGTAACTAGGTCAGCTCATCACCTTCAACTGAATGAAAATGATCATAACGCAGCATCTACAGGATAGCAGGCTGTGCTTGGTTGTCGATATCCTGTAGGATACACTACATAACGGTTAAGGGCACTTCTTGGGGTCGTGCCAAAAACTCCGCAAATACGAAAACCAAATACAACACAATCACTTGTGTTGAGCATTCGTAAGACAGTTTTGACGACAAATCAAATGTAGCAATTTCATTGGTTAATATTGTAATATGTAGTCTGAGTGTTGCTGCTTCTCGGCTAGTTAACTCTTTTAATAAATTGAACTGTTTCATTTGTGTGCGCATTCTGCCCCCTTTACTAGAGGCAGCGCACTTGAAGTGCCCGGGCTTTTGATCTTGATGTCATGCACTAACCTCCTGCTAGAAGATTTAAATATAAGTGCCAGGAGTGAAATGTAGGACATCATAGTACAGTTATCACGCGACCGTTTGTTCCCATTTGGAGCAATGTTTCTTCGCTTTACTGTTGTCGTTCACCCCACCACACCAACTCTCCTTTCTACACTAAAGTGCTAACACTACATAGAAGGCGGAGATTCGGATAGAGCGCGTATACGCGAACCAGTCCACGCTGTAGCATCGACTGGCTGCAGGCAGTGGTCCAGTTGCAGGAGCAACCGAGTTACGCGCGCCCTCGAACTCGCCGATGCCGAAGATCGAGCCCAGCATCGATATGGCGCGCGTCGAGCGCCCGCGCAGCAGTGGAGCTCCTCCGCGCCTCAGTGTCGTAGGTGGCACTAAGATTATCGCCGTTGCAGAGTACGTGGTTGCATTTTGTTGTTGGACTGTAATAATTAGGTGTGAGGGGGTTAGAGGATCTCGGTAAGCCCGCTGGCAACGGCGTTCCCTGGCTGCCACGCCTTCACAACTACTATGATGTACGCTCATGCATAAAACTTACTTTAAAGTACTACATTTAATGTAGTACCGTTACGAGCTTATTGGCCCTCTTTGTTTACGTCTGCCAACGTCGTCGTAACTCCGTGCTCTACAACGGCTGCACTTCTTAGTGGAACAGCCCTACGGACTGCATGCACGCGTTCATGCAGTCAGTATGCCGATCCTTTTAAGCTTGCTGTCAGCGGTCAACTATTAACTACATGCACATCGCTTTGTGTGTGTGAACAAAAGGCTACTTACACTACCGCGCCATGCAACTGCGTCGTTTCGGCGCTCAACGTTGCCACCGCGCCCGCGGCAACGATGCCGCTGTCGTGGCGAGTAGACCTGAACACATTTGGCCAATTGTATGTCGCAAACTAGTGTCCGACAAACTGTCTTATGTTTTGACAGACAAAATGCAATGTAGCCACCGGTATACAAAAACCAAGATGTCGTCAAAACGCGTTGACCGGAAAACGTAAGACGCTTTGCCTTACGATAGACATTAGAGAGATTTCGGATCGTGCCTTACCCCCGCCTTACCCCGGTCCATCTATTTCTAAGGCTGAGGGTGAGGAATTTCTTGTACAGATTTCAGGGGGCACTTTACCCTTACTGTAAACATACACTAGGAGACATAATAATTTAGCGGGTGTATTTTACTGTACTTCTACATGGCTGGCGCAGAGATGAGAGCAAAAGCGGACAATACTCACCCAAGATGAAGCTCTTGAGCTTTATCTTGTGCTATGGGCGATGGGCATGGAAGACTCTTGGACCGAGCTTGTGCATTGCGGCCTCAACACCACACCAGAGCGGCCACTGATTCCGGTGGTCAGGTGCAACCTGGTATCGCACGGAAACGCCAACGCTGAGGCAGATTTCCGCTTCGACGTCCACGGCGTGCGGAGACTTGCGGCTCTGTTTGGGCTCCCCGAGACGGTCATCACCAGCAGCAACGACAGATGCAATAGCCTGGAGGCGATTTCTATTCTACTGTATAGACTATCGTATCCGCGTCGCCTGCTTGACATGTCCATCAAGTTCGGGCGGTCTACTAGCAGTTTGTGCCGGATATTTTTATGCATGGGTAAGTCGAGCTGCGATCTAAATTATGTTCAGCATTTAACACTGTATAATTGTGACTAGTTGACTATGTGGACGATAGGTATAAGCGGTTCTTTTATACGGAACTGGCAGAGCGGCGTATGACCCAGTACTGCGCGGCAATTTCAGCTCGCACACACGTTGAAGGCGTGTTCGCGTTTCCGGACGGCACAAAGATTCCTATTTGCCGCCCGAAGTCGATGCGAGACGGCATCAACTTGCAGATGAGCGTCTACAGCGGCCACAAAAGAGTGCATTGCCTGGTTTTCCAAAGTACGTATTGCTCTAACATGTTGTTTGGAGCTAAATGTCCGAGCTAATACGCTGTGTTATGCAATATACAGGTTTATATACACCGGACGGACTCTGTATGCACTCCTATGGCCCATATGAGGGCAGACGTCATGACACGACTGTATTCACCGCTAGTGGGTTGCTACGGCATTTCGAGCGACACTCGTCTGTCTTTGAAGGACGGACGATTTTCGGCGACCCGGCGTATAGTGTGGTGTAGTACCCCGCGGAAGAAGTGGGCGCGCCGGGCGCCGGAGGAAGAAGGCGCCGGGACGCGAGTGATGGACTTCGACGCGGCTGATGGAACGCGATGCGGATTGATGGGCGCGACGCAGGGCCAAGCTCGATGGGAAAGTCGGCGTGGGTGATGGGCCGCGAGACACGGTGCCAGAATCCAGTGCGACGCGTAATCATCCGACGGGTCGACCAGCGCACCCGGTTCTGCAAAACGCGCCGACCCTAAACCCCGCCGAGCAAGACGCGCCGAGCAAGACGCGCCGAGCAAAACGCGCCGACCCTAACCCCGGCCGACCAAAACGCGCCGAGGTAAGATCTTGATTGCGCCACGCAAACCAGGTTGAAGGACGGCAGTGCAAGCACGACAGAAGTAGGGATAGGCCCAGAGCGGTAGGCTTAGCAAGCAGTAGTACAGAGTAGCCAGTAGCAAGGACATAGGATTGGGTAAGGACTCAGTCCCGAAATTTCTCTGAACCACAAAGACCTCCCGTCTTCTCCGAGGTTCCAGGGGAACCACCAAGCGCCGGCAAGTAGAGCCGCCTCGATATCGCGGCCCCCCGTCGTTTGCTGGTTCGGGTGCTCACCCCCCACAGACCCGTGCTGGAACAAAGGCACGTTAAACGTATACCGTTTAGGTGGGCGCCCGATAACGCGCTGCCTAGGCGAAGGACCGCACTGGCCTGATAACCGCCGTGTACAAGACCCCCTGTAGGCCCGATAACGCCACACAAGCCCCAGGAAACGCCGGCCCGATAACGCCGCACGCCCGACGGGAACGCCGGCCCGATAACGCCGCACGCCCAAGGCTCGACGCCCTACGACAAGGAACAAGCGTCAGCACAAGAACCCCCCCCCAACTCCGAAGCCGCCTGCGAAGACTTGGGCCTGTATTTCGAAGATACGCTTCTCCAACAACCGGGAATAATTCGCTCGGCGCGACCGCTATCCAGACGCGCCGAATTTGTGCGAGATCGCATTCGCGAGATTTCTGCGAGGGCGCTACTCCACAATGGTACCGCGACCCGGGAGTACTACTTCGAATGACGGGCCAACGATCCAAGAGGCATCGGAGGCAGGTGCGCAGTCGGCTGGAAGGTCGCCGACCGCAAGAGAGCACAGTGAGAGACCTGTCGCGTCGTGGAGCTCTGAGGGAACCTTCACGACAGGCCACGGGGCCAGCGACGACCAAGAGGGCTACGAAGAACAGTTTGCCGTTCCCGATGCGGCTCCCGACGAGGGAGCCGCGAAGGGCCGCGACGCAAGTCGCGGTCCTACCGGTCGGAAACCTGCAAAGGCCGACGACCAACAACAACCCACCGCCAAGGCAGCCACGAAGCGCAAGTCGCCCAAGAGGACGAAGAAGAAGCTGCGCGCGCCGGACTCGGCGGAGGAGTCGCTGTCCAAGCCGCAAGGCAAGGACGCGGGGCGCCAGTACACCGTCGAAGAGGTGCGGTACGTCGTGGCGGCTCTGAGCTCTTCCGTCTGCTAGAACAAGACCCAATCTTGGTCTTCCTCAAGACCATGCTGATGAGCAACTTCACAGGCCCCTTCGTGGCGCCGGACTTCGATAGTCTCACCAGCGTCGCCCACGCCGCGCCGACTCTCTTCCAGACGCTGCGTGACTCGGGGTTCGTGCTGGGGGCTTTCGAGATGGAGAGGCTGTGCGATTGGGACCTCAAATCTTGGTTACGTGCGATTCGCGTCGTGCAGGAGCCCTTGACGATTCTCGCCGGATCCGTCAAACAAGACGCGACGAGTTCCGCGACGGGCCAAGACGCGCCGAGCCCCTCGGCGGGTCCAGCCCAGACTTCGACGACCACTCCCTCGCCTCCACCTCGATACCAATCGAGCGTGGACTCCGACAGCAGTTTCGAGTCGCCCAAGCGCATGCCCATGAACCGGCCGCCGCGCGTCATGCAGCTATCCGCGGCGCCCACACGCACAGACCCGCCGAGGAGGTGGTTCCCAAGGCCTTGAGAGAATCTATCATCAGGCTGATGCAGACGACAGTGATGAACACCCCGCGCGCCGACACGGCCGCAATTCCGACGGGGCCGAAGCCGCCCTCGAATCCCACACCCACGGTGGCTCGCCCCCAGGAGGCAGCGGATGTCGCCATGGAGTCGGTCAGTTCGCGTTCTTCGACGAGGTCCAGAACTCGACGCGACGCGGACGAGGGCCCCGATGACCTGTTCGACTTGGACATCGAAGTGCCAAGAACCGCGGCCGCCGTCTCGACGGCGACAGCCGGCGGCGTAGCCCTCGCCCGCGTACGCCTCTCAGCATCTTCCGAGCTGAAACAATTCTCAGGACGGGACGCCAGCGAAGAGAAAGCCAGACTGTGGCTCAACCGTCTGAAGTCCGCCGTGCGGCGCGACGGGATGACGGGCGAAGAAGTGTGCGGGCAGTTCAGCGATCTAATGAGCGGCCCTGCGCGCCAATGGTATCTCCAGTTGCCCAGGAAGGTCAAGAAATCATGGACCGAGCTGATGGAGCAATTCCGGGTGCAGTACTGCGGCAAGGGCGTGTCAATGGCCAGTCGCTACTACCATGCGGCTCAGCGCCCCGACGAGACCCCTCTGGATTACTTGTACCGGCTCAACGTCGCGGACATGAGGGCCAACATCCCATACGCCGAGGGCACGACTGAAGAGAAGCGCGAACACGTCGAGCATTTCATCCGGACGCTGAACACACAGGAGGCCGAACTCGCCTCGCGTCTCACGCTGATGGAGGTCGCCGACTCCGAGGCGCTGGAGAAGAAGCTGCGTGCCCGACAACGTGGATTGGCTCACCAGAAAAAGACTCTCTTCGGCTCGAACAAGTTCCGCCAAAAGGCGCCGACCCCGCCGACTCAGCCGGCGCGCGCCGTGCATGCGATTCACGTCGCGTCGGACGAGTACGACTCGGAACGCGAAAGTCGCGACAGCGACGATCGCCAGTACGACCAAGACGAGGCGGACGAAGAACGCGCCAAGTTGTTCGTCGCGGGACAGGCCCCACCGGGAGAGCCGGCGCGTCGCAACTTCGATCCCGACGACTCGGGACGCGACCGCCCGCGGTGCCGCCACTGTGGTTCACGTCGCCATGTCGAAAGAGACTGCTGAAAGTTGTTGACGTGTCAGAAGTGTGGTGGCCAGCACCCGACGGAGCGATGCTTGAGGGTGTGCAAGGCCTGCGGTGACGTGCACGAAGCCGGAGAATGCCCGATGGAGGAGTTCTTCAACCAATTGCGCCAGTGGTTTGACCCGAATAAACACGCGGGAATGCTGCCGCCGGCCGCCGAGAAGATGTTAAACTAGGACGCTCGCTGGCTTGGAAACCAGTACGAGACGAGCGACCTGTTTCCGTCTATGCATATGTGACCAAGAAGTCGCGAGAGGTGGTTAGTGAGAGCCCGACTTCCCTGAATGATAATACATGTGAATCCAACCTGGAACGTACCACGCAAGAACGCGCGCCGCGAATCTCGGCGGTCCGACGTACGACGGACGACGAGTTTGCACGTGAACCACCCCTGTACGAGATCAACTTGCAACCAGGAGAGCGACGCGGATACTGGAAACATTACGCGCCGCACAAGTGGTACAAGCAGGCCAAGATTCATGGAAGCTGAACAACCGCCGTGCTGTGTTATTGCTCGACACAGGTGCCGAGGTGTCCATCCTGGACACCACCTTTGCTCGTGAGGTAGGCTGCCTGATTGACACGGAGATCACGCAAGAGTGTGTGGGAATTCGTGATGAGACATATTACACGGTGGGGAGAACCAGAGTCAAGATTACCTTGGCTGGGAACTTGGTGTACTACATGCACCTGTGGGTCGGCGACTTGGTCGGCCAACACGCAATCCTGGGAATGAACTTCATGGTGCCCGCTGGAGTGCGCATCGACACTGCGGACGGCACGGCGTGCCTCCCCGACGAGGTCCACATCCAGATGATCGGACGAAGACCGCTATACGGCGCACGGATGCACCCGGTCAACGTCAAGACGCCTGTGAGGCTCGAACCAGGAGACACGCATGAAGTCTTGCTGAGGCCGGATCGAAACGCGCCGTTCCTGTGGGTGACACGGGCAGAGTCGTGGGTGACTACCTTTGTCAAGGGGAGAGTCGGAAAGAAAACGTACCTGCGTGTCACGAACATCGGAGACGCAGCGATAACCCTCGACGCGCATGAAACGCTTGGGTGGTGGACGCCGTCTGACGGCCAGCCTCGGAACCGTGAATTCGTCCGACTGGGCTCCACCCGGTACCAGCAGTGGCAGAATCTGGCGTACAGCGCGACGCGCGACGCGGAGGAGAACTGGATCCCAGCCGAGCTCGACGGACCGATGACGGATCGCCCCTCATACCCGACGCCTAAAGCCATCTTGCGCCCGGAGCCGAGACAACTCGGGACGCGACGCGCCGTGACCCCAGTGTTGGCGGCTGTCGCGGAAGCGCCGAAGGGAAGGGGGGTAGACTTGCCACCCGACGACCACAAGCCGGATACGGACGAGGAGGCGGTGGAAAGCGAACCCGACATGCCTCCGACCGTGGCTGGAAGCGCTGCGATGGAAGAATCGCCGGAGTCGGAACTCGCTGAGCCAAAACTCGACGGACCAAACCCCGCCGAGCCGAATTTCGACGAGGCGAAACCTGATGAGCAGGAGGAAGACGACGCGGTCCTCATCCACGAGGGGTCCGACCTCTTCGTAAAGGATCTCGAGTCTGAGATGGCAGTGCTGCCAGACCTCTCGCTGACCGCCGAGGTGAAGATCGAGGACTTGAAGGTCGGCATGCCGACTGGACTCCCGCCCGAGGAAGCCGCGAGACAAGAAACGCGGCTACGCCAAATCATCTGGAAGCGATGAAAGTGGTTGATCGGCAAAGGCAACGCCTTGCCGCCGGCCGCCCTGGGTGTTGTCTGCGACATCGACGTGGGCGACGCAAAACCCGTCGCGCAACGCGTCCGGAAAATCCCGCCGCAGTTTCGAGAGAAGGTCGCCGACTTGATCAAAGGGCTGCTGAGCGCGAGGATGATCCAGAAGTCGAAGTCGCCGTGGGCGTCGCCCATTGTCGTGATCATAAAGAAGAACGGCGTCGATATCCGGCTTTGCATTGACTACAGGCTCATCAACGGGCTGACACAGTTGATGATTTACCCCATGCCGCTCGTCAACGACTTGCTCGAAGACTTGGACAAGTATCTGTGGTACTGCTCCCTCGATATGGCGAGCGGCTTCTGGGTCGTCCCCATGACAGACCGGGCCCGGCTCATCTCAGCCTTCATCACGCCGATGGGACTGTACGAATGGCTGCGTATGCCGTTCGGCCTGTGCAACGCGCCGCAGATTTACCAACGCTTGATCGACAACGCGCTCTACGGGTTCATGAAGCTGTCCCCGGATGGCAGCACTCGGGACGTCTTTGAAGACGGCGAACCGGTGAAGCCAGGTATTCACTCCAATTGTGGGACGGAGGTCGTACATCGACGACATCCTCATCGGGGGCACGTCGTGGGACGACCTGTGCGAGAAGGTCGAACGCTTGCTGGATGTCTGCGAGCAGTGGCACTTGTCCATCAGTGTCGAGAAGAGCGAGTGGGGCATGTCCAAGGTCGACTACCTGGGCCACCGAGTCTCAGGACTCGGTCTCGAGGCGAAGCGGAAGAATCTGGAGTCGCTGACGTCGCTCGAGTTCCCGCGCACGCTCAAGGGCCTGCAATCGTTCTTGGGTAGCCTCAATTACTACCACCGGTTCATTGCAGACTTTGCGGTGTATGCAACCGCGCTGTATTCGCTGACGGAGACCGACTTCAACGAGTACGTCACACGTCCAGAAGTCCGCGGGCATGAGAAGTGGACGCACGCGACGCGCGCCTTCGACGCGCTCAAGGCAAAACTCGCCGAGACCCCAATGTTGAAGCACTTCGACGCGAACCGAGAATCCGTCGTGATCGTGTACGTCAGCGACTGGGCCATCTCAGGGGTGCTCACGCAGGTCCACGACGAAGTGTACATGCCTGTGAAGTTCACCAGTCGTACGTTGAAGCCCAACGAGCTGAACTACGACATCGTCGAAAAGGAGATCTTGGCCCTGTTGCGCGTCTTAAACGAGTGCTACACGATACTAGCAGGGAGACCGGTCCGCGTCTTGACACGTCACACGACACTCGCCTGGTTGTTCCGGTCCAAAGGACTACAGGGGCGACTGTCACAGTGGGCCGCGATCCTCTCGCCGTGGAAGTTGGAAATCTGCCGATCCATGAAGGGAGAAGAAGAACTCCTCGGCGCGCTGGCCGCGAGCATTACCCCGCGAGCCTTCGTCGACGCGGCGCTAGAAGAGATCGCTCCACGGAGACGGGCGTCCAGGATTGTAGTCATTCCCGTCCCCGACGTGGCGCGCGACGAGGTCTTGCACGTTTTGAGCTTTGACGGATCGGCCAAGGCGAAGCGAGAAGGCGGAGCATACAGTGCCGTCATTTGGCAGCTGCCGAACTGGGAGATCGTGCGCGCCGCGTCGGGATATGTGACGGACCTCACGGTCAACGAGGCGGTATACTGCGGGCTGCTGCTCGGATGTTCTCTTCTAGAGGAGCTCGACGACGTCACCCGACTCGTCGTATGCGGAGACTTCAACCTTGTCATCAGACAGATGCGGGACGAGATGGGCTGCAAGTCCCCGGGGCTGAAGCTGCTGCGACAAAAGACGCGAAACGCACTTCAGGCATGGTCGCGCCACGAACTCTTCCACGTACGACGAGACTGGAACGCGAGTGCCGACATGCTGGCTGGACAAGCTCTGCAGCGTCAAGGAGGCCGCAACGCGCACAGCCCCGAAGAGATTCAAGATCTGAAGACGCTGAATCGCTTGGAAGAAGTCATCCGACCACGGGCATCAAGTCCCGAGATGGCGTCTCCAGCCAGTCCCGACGCGGATAATCTTGACGCGGAAAACCTCGACTCGGAAAATCGCGACGCGGAAAATCGCGACGCGAAAACGCGCGGCGCAGATGGCCCCGCCGGGAAGGCCATGGACGCGGGACGCGGGACAGCACAAGTCCTCGCGGTGACGACGCGCTCGGCTGCCGCACGCACGACAACACGTAGGGTCCGACCTCCAGAAGTCCTGGAGGAGCTGGTGGTGCAACGACTGCGCCTGGACCGCATCCGCGTCGCCCAGGACGAAGAGGTCTGGATCGTCAACCTCAAGAAGTATCTCCGCGGCGACGTCGGAGACCTATCTCGGCGCGAGGTGAAGAACTGCCAAAAGCTTGCGCCTCAGTACGAAGAGCGCGAAGGCAGGCTGCTCTACTACCAGCCCAGAAGCGACGATTCCGCCGAGGATCGCGATGTGATGATGAAGCTGGTGATCCCGGAGACTCTTCGGGAAGATGTACTCCACCACTATCACGCGAGCCTGGAAGGGTATTGGCCGCACGTACCAACGCGTGAGGCGCCACTTCCATTGACCAGGGATCTTCAGAAGCGTCCAGCGCTACGTCGGCGAATGCACCGACTGCGAGACGGGAAAGGGTCGGCGACCATCCAGGGCGAGTCGCCGGGCAACATCGTCGCGACGTACCCGTTCCAGGTCATTGCCATGGACCATATTCCGTCGTTGCCGGCATCCTACAAAGGCAACACAGAGCTGTTAGTCTAGGTCGACCTCTTCACGGGGTTCGTCGTGGTCAAAGCGAATACATCACGAACCGCGCAGACGGTGGCCGAGGCGTACGAGGAGGCGGTCTTCAGGCGCTTCGGCGCGAGCGAGGCTATCCGCCACGACCGCGAGCCGGGCTTCATGTCCGACTTCTTCAATGCGTTCAGCAAACTAATGGGTCAGAGACAGCGAGCGACGCTTGCTTATCGTCCCCAAGCCAACATTGCTGCAGAACGGATGGTGCAGACGGTTACAAGAGCGATCAAGATGTACATCGCGGACGTCGACCAACGCGACTGGGACGAATACGCCGAGCGTCTTACCTTCGCGCTAAACACGTCGCACGACCGGACGAGGAATGAAACCCCGTTCTTCTTAGCGCACGGCTGGGATCCTCGGTCGACGCTGGAAGCGACGCTGGCCGTCGGGAACACGTCGACGCGGGGCGCCGAGGCGAGGCGGTGGAGGCTCCGTATCCAGCGACACTACAAGGTGGCAAGGGCACAAGCGTTGGAGTTAGTCCGAGAGGCCGTCGAAGAGAGAGCGCGTCGACAAACTAAAAACGCGACGCGACATCAGATCGCGACGGGCTCGCAAGTTTGGCTGTACCTGGATCGGGTGAAGCCGGGGTATGCGCGCAAACTCGCGCACATGTGGCACGGACCCTTCCGCGTCGCCGAGCTGGTCAGCGCGTTCGCAGTGCGCCTCGAGACGACGGGTACGCCCTATCAGCTGTACCCCGTCGTCCACAACTCCAAGCTGAAGCCCGTCCGGGAATTCCCGTCGCGACCCACGACGCAGCTGACGGTGCCGGCCGAGGAGCGCTTCGACTTCGACGAGGAACTCTTGCCGGAGGACAGCTGGGAAGCCACGCGCGAGCTGGAGGACGACGTCTTCGAGGTCGAGAAGATCGTGAACGTGCGCGAGGGGCGGGCTACCCGGTATGGGCGCACGCGACGCCAGTTCGAAGTCAAATGGAAGGGCTACCCGGACATGACGTGGGTCGACGAGCTCCATCTGAATTGCGGCGGGTTGCTGTACGACTTCCTGCGCCAGCGCACGGGACGCAACCGGTTCGAGGCGATGCAGTCGTACGAGAACGCGGAGGCGGCGGAGACTGGTGGGTGAACGCCCACGGGTGCGACTAAGTCGGCAGGGGGGCTGCCGACGGGAGGACCGGTGGGAAGCCTCAACTCTGGGAATGGCCGGAGCGAGGGATTGGATGAGGGTAGTGAGGAGGACCAGTCCGTTGCTGAAGATGGGACGGCGGAGGCCGTCTCATAAAAGATGTGGAGAAGTGGAAAGAAACAAGGGAAAAGATCAAGGCTACGTGTCGAAGTTACGGCTACAACAACTAAACGCGACGGACTGCGACGATGGGCCAAGACTCAAACCTGCTGGACAAACTTACCTGCAAGACGCGGCACATGGAAGGCGGGGTGATCGCGCGTCACTCGACAGCGTACGTTGGCGTCCATCTCGGCCACAGTGAGCGGCGTCCGATAGAACCGGCGCCAGGGCTCCTGCGCGTCGATGTCGTCGAGCGCGGCTTGCAACGTCGCGTGCTGGAGGCCTGGATACCACCGTCCGATCGACGTGTGCGCGGGCGGAAAGTGAAGCACCATTGGGTCCAGCAAGAGGTCCATGTCTGCGAGCCCTTGCTGGAACAGCCCGACCACCAGCTGCAACAGGCTGTTGAGGTGGTTGCCCGCGTGTGAGCGACGCGAGTTGCGCGCCGTGCGCCACTTTTTCCACGCCGCGCCCTGCACGAAGAGTTCATGGGTGGACTCCCAGTACGCCTGAGCCCAGTGCTCGATGTGGTGCCGGGGCCGACGTAGGAATGGGCGGAACGCCGCGTCGCCGGACGCGAAGAGAAGCGGCTTGAGCGAGGTACCGCCATGGCCGAGTCGCGTATAGCGCGTCGACGTTGGCCAGAGTCACGAGGGCGCGGTTCCAGTTCGCTGGCGCGGGGGGAACACGGTGCGGAATGATCCAGCCGGGCGGCGGCAGGAAGAGCGTTCGCAACTCCTGCACGGTGATGAGATGAAGGCGGAGACGTCGTACCCGCTTGGGCCAAGGAGCGTAGCGAGGCTGCCATCAGCCAGACGGAGTTCCGGCAGGCGGAATCACAGGGTCGAAGAAGGGCGCCGCCGGAGCACTCCCCGCCGAGCCGCTGGAGGCGGTGCTCAAGGACGAGGCGCGGGACGACGAGGAAGCGGACGAGTCGTCGCCACTGGAGTCGCCCGAATCGCCTGGACCAGGGCCTGGTCCAGCTCCGGCTGCCGCTCGGCCTCTCGGCGAGGAGTGCGTCGGCCGTGCAGGAGAAGAGTGACGCGAGGCCGCCGACCCCGCCGAGTGCGCCGACCCCACCGCGTGCGCCGAACGCGTTGAGCCGGCCGAACGCGTCGACGCCAAGGAGGGCGAGCGAGAACGCGAACGCGAAGCAGAACGGGAACGCAGGGGTGTCCGGGAACGTGACGGCGAACGTGGAGGCGGACGCGCCGGCGACCGTGAGCGAGACCCGGGGCAATGCAGCCGGCGGCGCTTGGACTGAGCTCGCCGCGCTTGGTCCTCGCTGTCCGAAGACTCGGAGCCGAAGAGCGACGGGTCCTCTCGTGCGCGCGCTGCAGCTGCAGCGGCCGCAGAGGGCGTAGCTGCAGATGAGGCCTGCGCAGCGGCGTTGTCGGAAGCCGCAGTGTCGGCCACGGTAGAGGGCCGCCGACTACGTCGAAGGGGCGAAGAACCAGACGACGTAACGGAAGCCACTCCTGACGGCCTAGACGCGCGTGACTGAGAACCCGAACGACTCGACGCGCCGTGTCGAGGTCGCCGAAAACCCGACGAGGACGAGGCAGCGGACGAAGTCGGAACAGGACGGGAGCCCGAAGGACCTGCTGGAGGGCAAGCGCCAGTCGTCGAGCCCGCCGTCGAAGCCGACGAACCCGCCCGGGCACCAGAGCTCGACGCAGTTGAAGCAGGAACAGGAACCGCGGATGCCGCAGGAACTGCTGCGGACGTAGGAATATCAGGGGGGAGGGGGATCGCACCGTCGATCTCCGCCGTGAAAGTGGCTTCGAGTCGCCTGACCAGGTCAGCGGTGTCGATCTGCCCGCCTACACGCGTTGCGACGCCGGCGAGACGATCGGCAAGCTCGTCGCGCACCCGCCGCGCCAGCTCTCGGCCCCGACGCGCGTCTCGAAGCATCCGACGCCAAGCCACAGCGCGTTCGTCGCGCTCTCGGATGGCCAAGTCGCGCTCCTCCTCCAGCTCGGCGACGCGAGCGCTGAGACGATGGGTCTGGGCGCCGACCGCTCCTCGACGCTGCTGAGACGACCGCCGAATGGACAGCCACCCAGCTCGATACTGCGCCGCGCGAGATGTGGCGCAAAGTTCGCCGGCTTGAGCCCGCGCCATCTCGGACTCGGCGGCCACACGGAGAGTCGTAGCAGTAGCCACTGACTCCTCCAGCTCGTGGATACGCGTCACGCCGCGGCGGAGCTCCTCGGCGTGGGCCACTAAGAGCGCGTTGACGCGCCGAAGGTCGTCCTGCAGCGGGACGTTCAGGTTCTGGGCCGCCTCGATCTCCATGCGGCTCTGAGAAAGCGACGCACGGGCCGCGCGGAGCTCTTCGTCGGCCGGGGCGCGCTGCTGCTCCAGAGTGGTCACGCTCGGCGAGAGCGGCGTCGCGCTGCTGCTCGGCAGTGGCCACGAGCTGCCGCATGTGATCCCGTTCAGCTTCGGCAGCGGCCACGCGGGCTTGGACAGGAGCGAGGGCGGCTTGGGCGGCTGCGAGGTCGACGCGAAGGTCGTCACGCTCGGCGCGCGCGTCGTCGCGCTCGCCTTGTGCAGCAAACAGCCGCGCTAGCGGCACGGTGGAGGGAGGCGGCGTAGCAGGAGCGCGCGCGAGTTGGGCGGTCAAGTCAGGGACCTGGTCTCGTGCCGCCCGGAGCTGAGTTTGAAGATCACGATATTGCTCTGTCGAGGAGCCTCGCTCGGCGCGGAGTAGAGCCTCGGCGGCGTCGACGCGCTCAGCACGAGCGCGGAAGTCGGCCATTTGGTCCTCCAGGACGGCGTAGTCCCGCTCGGCGTGCTCCCAGGAGAGGAGCGCCTGCTCGAGCCGGATCATGCCTGCGCGATAACCCTCGCGAGCACGATGCAAGATCGCGAGATTGCGGTCATGCAGCACGGACGCGTTAGTAGCCAAGCCCGCATTGTGCGCTGAGACGAGTTCGTTCTGGGCGCGCAGCTCCTGGTTCTCGCGCTGGAGAGTGTGCGCGTCGGCGACAAGAGCAGTGACCGAGTGGACGGGGGCGCCTGAAGCCGGAAGCTGGACTTGGGGCGCGACGGGGAGGCGAGGACGATGCGCGCCGAGGGCACAAACCGCGCAGCCAGCGGCCTCGAGGTCGTCGGTGTCAAGCTCTTCTTCCTCCAGGTCGATGTCGTTGACGTCGACGTCGTGGCGGCGAGCCATGAAGCTTGGAGTACCGCGAAGCGGACTGCGAGGGCAGAAAACGCGATGGTGTCGAGACGAAGCGAAGGCGCGGGGCAGGTTCTGCGACGACACACCCACCTGGGGAGTGCGCGTGCGTGGCAGCGGGACGAATGTGGTGTAGTACCCCGCGGAAGAAGTGGGCGCGCCGGGCGCCGGAGGAAGAAGGCGCCGGGACGCGAGTGATGGACTTCGACGCGGCTGATGGAACGCGACGCGGATTGATGGGCGCGACGCAGGGCCAAGCTCGATGGGAAAGTCGGCGTGGGTGATGGGCCGCGAGACACGGTGCCAGAATCCAGTGCGACACGTAATCATCCGACGGGTCGACCAGCGCACCCGGTTCTGCAAAACGCGCCGACCCTAAACCCCGCCGAGCAAGACGCGCCGAGCAAGACGCGCCGAGCAAAACGCGCCGACCCTAACCCCGGCCGACCAAAACGCGCCGAGGTAAGATCTTGATTGCGCCACGCAAACCAGGTTGAAGGACGGCAGTGCAAGCACGACAGAAGTAGGGATAGGCCCAGAGCGGTAGGCTTAGCAAGCAGTAGTACAGAGTAGCCAGTAGCAAGGACATAGGATTGGGTAAGGACTCAGTCCCGAAATTTCTCTGAACCACAAAGACCTCCCGTCTTCTCCGAGGTTCCAGGGGAACCACCAAGCGCCGGCAAGTAGAGCCGCCTCGATATCGCGGCCCCCCGTCGTTTGCTGGTTCGGGTGCTCACCCCTCACAGACCCGTGCTGGAACAAAGGCACGTTAAACGTATACCGTTTAGGTGGGCGCCCGATAACGCGCTGCCTAGGCGAAGGACCGCACTGGCCTGATAACCGCCGTGCACAAGACCCCCCGTGTAGGCCCGATAACGCCACACAAGCCCCAGGAAACGCCGGCCCGATAACGCCGCACGCCCGACGGGAACGCCGAGGAAACGCCGGCCTGATAACGCCGCACGCCCAAGGCTCGACGCCCTACGACAAGGAACAAGCGTCAACACAAGAACCCCCCCCCCAACTCCGAAGCCGCCTGCGAAGACTTGGGCCTGTATTTCGAAGATACGCTACTCCAACAACCGGGAATAATTCGCTCGGCGCGACCGCTATCCAGACGCGCCGAATTTGTGCGAGATCGCATTCGCGAGATTTCTGCGAGGGCGCTACTCCACAATAGTATTAGCAAGTACGTAGTTACAGGCTACAAGCAAGCTGTACTATCAACTCATCAGCGGGTTTTTAACAAGGAGATGAGCGCTGTGAGAACTTCGGTCGAATGGAACTTTAAAGTGATGAAAAGCCTCTGGGCGTACGTCGACTTTAAAAAAGGGCTAAAAGTTCGCCTCAACCCCGTTGGCAAGTTCGTCAGAGTGGCAATGCTGCTCACTAACTGCCATACCTGTTACTACGAAGGAAACCAAATCAGCTCTTACTTTGAGTTCAAGCCTCCATCACTACAAGAATATCTAGAGTTGTAGTAAGCCAATACATGCATTTGACTTACGTATTAATTGGTCAACAACAAACCAAAATCAAATGATGTGATTCCGTAGCATTGCAGCAACAACAACACCTACATACTACTTTTTGGCTAGAACTGCGAGCACCTCGATAAGTCGCTGGTTGTCGATTTGTCGCTGGCGTTCGACAACTAGTCGCTCCCGCTCTAGCGCAATGCGGTCAGCACGCTCCGCCTCCCATTGCTCCTTCTTGGCCGCCAGCTCCTTCTCCTTGTACTCGGCCAGGATGCCAACGATCTTGACGAGCTTCGTCCTCTTCGTAGGGCTTTCGCCGTCCTCTGCGGCCGGCCGCTTTAGGCGCTCCACTGCCAACTTCCGGACCGTCTCACCTGCTGCCTCGGCGATTTCAGCCTTTTGAGCCTCTGCTGCCTTCTTAAGAGCCCTATCATGGCGATACTCTGCCATCGTCTCGAGTAGCGCCTCGGCGAGCGCTTCCTTCTCCGATAGCGTCACTTCAACTCCTGAAAGACGGGCCTCTGCTGCATTTTTCTTCTTCGCTGCATCTAAATGAAGTTACATCAAAGCCAAGTTAGAATATTGTCGGCATAACAAAAGTTTATCCAAACACGAACCAAGTAGCAGTGTAGTACGGTTCTGAGCTGTTTTACCAGCCAGCGTCTCACGCGAGAAGGGGGCTTGACAGCAACACATCGGCGACTTTGTCCCATTTGTCCATGACTTTGCCGCCGCCGTAGCGAAAAGGCTCGTCGGCAATCACCTGCTTCAGCAGCAGGATGTCGTCATTCTCGGTAAAATTCTTGCGTTTGCGTGGCTCAGCTAACTCCGGGCGCGGGGGCATGGCGGTGTACGTGGTTGTTGTTGCTTTGCGTTGTGCTGTGCGCGTGCGGCAAACACAGAGAGGCTACAGGATAAAATCGATCAAATTCGGGGTACCGAAGGGGTTAGGGTACACAAGTGGCACCGTACCTTAGGGCCTGGTTGTTTCCATCGTGTCCGGTGTCGAGTGTTTGCCTTCCATATACACCTACTGGTTCGTCGGTGTTCGAGAACACTGACGCCGAGTCTGCGAGGAACTTCACTTCTCTACTAGATCTTTCTAAGCGATGACCCCGTCGAACTCAACGATGGCGCAGGAGCCTCACCACCACTGCGCTGTGGCAGGACCCTGTGTCGACTTTCGTTTCCCTGCACCGGCAGCCGCGGTGTCTGACCCTGAGAGTGACGTTCTATCGCCGCAGATTGGCTCAAGCCTTCTCAGTTGGCTACGCAGTTCGGCTACTACACCGAGTATCCCTCTCACGCAGTTGACGCCTTCGCCGGCAGCGAACCCCCTCTCGACCGAGCAGGCAAGCCCGCTCGATGCTGTCTCTGTAGCGACCGCCCAAGCAGCGACCACGGCTACGCAGAGTCCGGTCCAAGAGGCCCCATCAACCTCGCTAGTGGCTACGGCAGCAACGACGCCAGCTTCAACACGTCCCTCAAAAGGCGCACAGGCGAAGCAGCGCAAAGAGGATCTTCCGCCGCTGTGCTGGACGACGGAACTGGTTGAGAAGCTGTTCTACCTCAGGTAAGCGTACGCTTTGGCTTTCTACTACATGATGATAAGGTGCTTAACATCTATTATATTACTGTATCTACGTATATACAAGGGGATGGCCAAGCGCTTTAAGAATGTGCGCAACAAGCATGCCATGCACCGCGGGTGGATTGCCGTCGCGAAGGAGCTAGGCAAGCAGCGTGGCGTAGGTGTGAAAAGTAGGCAATACCAGGATAAGGTAACAGCAAATTCACCAATATTTTTTACCTAGACACGATGTCTAATTCGTATGATTGTCTGTATTGCACTAGCTCAAGGCAATGAAACAGCAGTGGGCTGAATACAAAAAGGACCTCAATCGCACCGGCAATGAGACGGATCGCCCCCGCGTCAACCCCAAGCACCTGGACGTGATGCTTACCTATTGGGGAAATTCGCTCGGCATGAACGCGGAGACGCTGTTCGATGATGCTACTGGGCGCCATCAACCGGTGGCGGATGCTGTCGATTCGGAAGAAAGCGTCTCTGACGATGACGCAGACGTCACTGAAGAAAATGAAAGTAGCCAGACCAGCCAGAAACCAAAGCTGACTACAGCTGCAGCCATTTCGGCAGGTACGCTAGATCAACATGTATTTTTCAATGGTTCTATTAACGCTAATGACTAATACCGTGTGAAAAAATATTTACAGGACTGACTTCGCTGTCGAAAGGAATGAGTCATATCGGAGACTCCTTGGCTGCGCGAAGCACAGTGGCTACAGATATAGCCAAGTTGGCTGCGGTCATTGAGGCTCAGCAGGAACAGCTAAGCAAGCAGACAGAAAGTATTCAAACGCTTATTGAGCTGATGACAAGCCAGCAAACGGAAAGGTAAATTGTATTAAGCTAGTAAGTAATCTGCAATGTCGTTGCGAAGTGCAATACCTCTCTGACGCCGCTCTCGTGCTTCACGTGTCTTAGACTCCGTTCCGTCGATACTGGACGTCCGTAGTTCGTCTTCGTCGCTGTCATCACTGTCGTCTGAACCGCCTGGCCCTCTCATCACTTCCTCTGCTGCGTGTTGTGCGAGGATTTCGTCCATCGGGTCCGGCAGCCACGTTTTGTCCTGTACGTCTATTGCGATATTATGAAGTACCATGCATGCCATGAAATTTTACTTACCGACTTTGCTTCTTGTGGCCGGCGCAGTATGCGAAAGCGATTCTTCATTGTTGCAACCGTGCACTCAACCACGATTCGTGTCCGGCTATGACTGAAGTTGTAGTTTCGCTCCCAGATAGTCAGGTCCAGCTCGTGGTCGTACGTCTCGAAATGGATCAGAACTGCATTTGACAGCGTGTAGCCTTTATCACCGAGAATAAAGCCGCCTGGTGGAAGAATGCCATCAATATGTTGCCCAAAATGAGACGCGGCCCAAATCTTCTTGTCACTCCAGGATCCAGGTCGCATATCAAACGACATGATGCGCTGGTGGGGGTCTACAACAACCTGCAAGTTGACGGCAGGATAGCCTTTCCTGCAGTACCAGCCTTCGTAGTTTTCAAACCGTGCTAGTTCGATGAGCGTTCCATCGACAGCAGCGCAGACGAGTGGCACCCCGGCGCGGATCTCAAACGCCTCTTGCAGCGCGCTCCAATCCTCTAGAGACGACGGTGAATATATGTAGCGGCGATAGTCGTCTGCGATGGCAGTGAGCAGCTCGTTGACAGCTGTAATAGCCCAACTCTTTGAAACGCCGAACGTCTGTGCTGTCTCTCGAAAGCCACCCATTGAGGCTACGTAGTAGAGCATTGTAGCTACTCGCGTCTCAAAGGAGTGCTTAGTGTTGGTAGCCGGTTGCTTCCTCCGCAGAGGACGTAGCAGAGCACACAACTTGTGAAAGCTCGCTTGTGTGAAGCGCATATTGTCTTGAAACCACTGATCGTACGAGCAGGCAGCGTGAGAATGCTGCTCTTCTCTTTCTTGGCCACTACACATAGCGTTGCTGCGACCGCTGACGCGCACGCCCCAATAGCAGCAACGACAGCGGCTTCTTCGGTCATATCAGCTTCCATGGTAGAACTTCTGAATCTTTATGAAAATCCCCCCTCCCTTGGTGTTGGCCCCGACACGATTCCGGGAGTCGTGTCGGGGCCAACACCAATGAAAATAATGTGAACCAATCAGAAAAGAGGAATTGCATGTTTATGGCACACCTTCAAAACACCGACACCAGACACGAAGGAAACAACCAGGCCCTTACTATAGTACCACTCCGTTTCAACAAGAAAGCATGATGCACCGTGAAGGTTGTTTCAGAAAGATAGCATGAAACAAGACTTGGTTTGAGTATGGGAGGGATTACTGACATCTTCAAATCACGGATGATTTGTACTTTCTTGTGCATTTTCGAAGAGAAAAGCCTACTAGCCATACGATATTCAAGTGTACAAAGGTCAATTCTAAACGGTTCAGGTAAACTAGCACATCAATTGAAAGAGGTAAATTCAGCAGTTCAAGTGGTGCAATTCTTACGCGAAAAAGCTGAAAATTGATTTGGAGGGCGCATTTTGACGCCAATCGTGCTTTCATTTTGAAACGGAGTGGTACTTTCAGATAGTGGTGTAAACCCTAATCCCTTTAATGAAATGCGCTCATTAGATTTTGGCTAATCTAGCCAAAATATAGGGGTGGCACTTATAGCCATTCCAGATCACTTAGCATCCACCTAATTACGGTACAGCCAAAAAGCGCGGGGGTATTCAAACATTTTCAAGATGAGCGCCACGGGCTCCGCGTCGGCCGCGCCCGCGGGCGTGTACTCGTTCCCGCTGCTCAAGCCGCGCGAGATCTTCGCGTGTCTGCGCGAGATGCGCGTGCCCGTGTCCGAGGACGAGATCCGCGCGTGCGACGTGGGCGCCGTGCGCAAGGTGCTGGAGGCCTTCATCGAGTCCACCATGGGCGTGACGCGCGAGGACATGGCGCAGATCGCCTTCCCGGGGCTGCCCACGCTGAGCTTCCCGGAGCTGCACGCCGAGTCGGTGCCCGAGCTCACCTTCTACCGCACGGCGCAGCGGCTGCTGGCCGCCTGCGGCGTGGACGACTTCGGGCTGCGCGACGTGCTGCACCCGACGCCCAAGCGCGTGCGGCGGCAGCTCAGCGCGCTCATCAACTTCGCCAAGTTCCGCGAGGAGCGGCTGGCCGCCTTCGGGGAGGTCACGCGCGAGACGGACGAGCTGCTGCTGCGCAAGAAGGCGCTGCAGGACGAGAACGCGGCGCTGCAGCGCGAGCTGGACCAGCTGCTGGAGGAGCAGAAGGACGAGGAGCCCGTGCGCCTGGAGCTCGAGAAGGAGGTGACGGAGCTCGACCGCGAGATCGACAAGCTCAACAAGAAGCAGGCCGAGATGCACCACGAGACGAGCGAGATGAAGGTCGCGCGCAACAAGATGCTGGACGACGTCGCGTCCGCCAGGTTCAACAAGCTCCAGGCCGAGGAGGAGATCGAGCGGCTCAAGGGCCTGATCGTCACGTCGCCCGACCGCGTCAAGGGCGAGCTCAAGGCCATCGCTGAGAACGTGGAGAAGGCCAAGGAAGACCTGAACGAGCTCGAAGACAAGCAGAACAGCGTGCTCGCCTTCATCGAAGTGTACGAGCGGGCGGAGAAGGAGCTGGCCAGGACGTTTGCGCTGCTGGGCGAGATCGAGCAGGAGATGAAGGCCTGCAAGGAGGCCAAGCACCAGGTCAAGACCACCAAGACGCGGATCACCGAGCTTCAGCACCGAACGGCCGAGACCATCACGCGTCGACAGCGACTGGAGAAGGTGGTGGAGCTCAAGAAACGCGAGCTGGAGAGGTACATTGCGGATTCGCGCATGAAGGAGGAGTCGGCCAGTGTTGCGCTTAGAAGCGCCCGCGAGGAGTTGAGCAGGATGGAGGCCGCTCGCTTTGAAGCCCGCCAACGTATCACTCAGAATACTGATGCTAGTCGCAAGGTGGAGCTCAAGATGAAGGAGGATGAAGCGCGCTACCAAAAAGAGCTGAAGGAGCTGGAGCAGGTGAGTGTAGTAGTCTTGCAGGTCTGTCAGGCGCTTTGTGGTCGCTGATCTTGTCCGTGTTGTTGTTGGCCATCGCAGATGTATTCGCGTGTTCAGCAAGCCGCTGAATACTACAACAAGCAGGTACTCGACGCCATCCGATCAAGCTCGTAGTTTGTGAACCATACTGCGATCATCAAACGAGTTTTCCTCGTGGAGTTGGCTCGGCAGGAGTGGCAAGAGTTCGACAGATTCACTATAATATATTAACTCCTTGGCATGTGACTTAAGAGCTCGGTGCCTTCTGTATGCTGGGTGCTTAGCTGGTGCAAGATGGTCTCGTCGCACCGCGCAGCGATAATACGCACGATGATCGTGTCGTTCGTGATGTTCACGATGGACCGCAGGCGATCTAGGATCCAGTCCGTACTCACAAGAATGGAGAACACCACCGGCACGTCCACGCCAAAAACTGTTCGCCACACCGTGAGCACCATCACCAGCCCAGCGTGGGGGACGCCAGCGACACCAAAGGAGGCGATAGCGCTAACAAAGCCCAGCAGCACGAAGCGTAGCGGCGTTAGCAAGGCGTCATACCCACCGACTTTCGCTAGGAAAACGCAAGCCAGCGGTATGTACACGGCTGTCCCGTTGAGGTTACTCGTGGCCCCCAGAGGCAGCATGAACCGCGATAATTGGTACGATACTTCTCTTGTAGCGTCCACACAGCGCATGGTCATCGGCAGCGTTGCGATCGAGGATGAACATCCAAAAATGAAGATCTGGGCTGGAACCATTTGCCACAGGTGCGAGAAGATATTCCTCCTTGTCGTCACGAAAAGCGCGAGCCCGAAAACTCCGACAGTGAGCGTAAGAAGGGCCACAATCAAAGTGCCGACCAAGAAGGCGACGCCCTCGACGAGCTCCGTCGATGAACTGTAGCTGGCAATTGAGCCCGCGATCAACGAGATGACAGCGATCGGGATGTACTTCACCACGATGTTCACGAGGAGGAGGATCACTGCGTTCGCGTGCGTCACCATAAGCAGGGGGTAGTTCTCCACGCCTGCTTCTCTGTCCACACTCTTGACTAATGCCACTCCCACCCAGATAGCGAACGCGATAACGCTGAGCGTCGAAGAGCCCGCAAATGACTCGAAGATGTTCTCCGGCACCAGGTCCTTCACGATACTGAAAATCTGCTCCGAGACGTTCAAGTTCTCGAACTCCGTGTCCGACGTCTTCAAGTAGCCACTCACATCATCCATCACGAACATGTTGCTTGACGACGTGCTGTTAGTTGAGCTGCACGCGATCGTTCCATTCACCAAGTACGAGAGATAGGAGCCGTCAGCACACTGGAATGTCAGCGATGGAATAGTCGGCTTGATCGGCACCACGGCGCTTGACGGATAGAGGTGCGACATCGCAAAGGCGAAGAGGGTGCCAGTACACGACGACGCGATGGAGGCCATAGCGAAGGAGGTGATAATACGTCTTCCGATGGACGCAGCCTTGCCAGCCTCCACCAACTCTCCGATACACACGATCACACTGCAGAACACCATCGGAGCCACCAAACACTTGAGAGCTTGGATAAAGAGGACGCCAGGCATCGCGATCCAGTCGGCCCACGCGCCGCTAACCTCGTAGTGGATGAGCATCACGCCCGTCGTGAGTCCAATCCCTGCCCCAAGAGCCACCTGCCAAATGCTCACGCTCGCGCTCTTGTCGTACGGCGACGTGATCATGTCCTTGACCCCCAGGCCCCGGTACGAGAACGGATTCGTGTGCTGCGTTGGGGGCGGCGCTCGGTCTCTCGAGCCGAAGTCAAACAGCAGTATCGCGCTGTGCGGCGTCAACGAGAAGCCGCCCTCCGAGTCGTACAAGCTCTTGGACCTGCCGCTCCTCGACCTGACGCTCCTCGAGTCGTGCCCGTCCTTCATGGTCGTTCTCTACTGAGCTTTTGCAGCTGATGGCCGGCGGTCGAGTAATGCTAGCTCCTCCCCTCCGTGACGTATGTACGTATCCTGTCCCACCACCTCGCCCCGATAGACTCGCCTCCCTCGCTCCGCCTGAAAATCGAAATGGTTCAGCACACTAACCAGCCGGTACCTCAGCATATCAAAACGAGAAATTACTTTGTGCAAATCCCAGGGCGAGGCTCATGGCCTCCCTCTGTCCGCTCGCTGTTCCATGAACTTCACGTGAGTTCATCGGTGTGAAGGAGAGCTGAAGAAGAGCTCGTGTGCCAGACCGGCAGATAGAAATCGCAGCCGACGCTAGCAGACAGACAAGCAGCTCAAGGATCCATGAGTGTCGTGCCAATGACAAAAGCCAAAGCTGCGGGTGCCTCTTGACTCATCATGGCACGAGATCGAAGCGAATCACGGCACTCGAGCATATGAGGCTCTGCATCTCTCCTCGCGATGGCCGTCATCTCTCGCATATCAGGAGTGCGCAGAGTTCCAGAGTATCCGGCGCCGCTTTTCGTCAGCCGCAAAATCGAAGATGACGCTGCAGATTCCCGGATCGAGCACCACGTCGCGCGTGTTCAACATGAGCAAGAACGCGAGCTTGCGATCCGCAGGCAGCGGAGACACTCCCAACAGCTCGTTCTGGAACGACACATCCAGGCGCATGCAGCGAGTGCGATAGAGCTGAATGTACTCGTCGTCATCAGGTCGTCGAGGAGCTTCCGCGCCCTCGTTCGGGAGATCCAATTCCAGCAGCGTCAACTGCTTGTTCGCCTCGAGGGCAGCGTGCAGGTGGCGCACGCCGTTGGCGCCGATTTCGTTGTGCGCCACACGCAGCTCTTGGAGAACCGGGGCGTGATCGTGTGCAAGCCCGCGTAGAGCTGCTGCCAACACGTTCACGGAGTCGGCACCAACTAGATTGGCGTTGAGGTTCAGTGTGCGCAGGTGCTGGCCTAAGTCCCCGCCCAGCGCATCCACGAGTAGCTGTAACTGCAGGATCCTGCAGCCTTCTACATCCAGCGTGTGGAGCTCTCGGCAGCCAGCGAGAATAGCATCCAGGTCCATGGCAGACAACGCGTTGCGGCGCAGCTCTAGCGACTGCAAGCGCCCTCCAAAACCGCCCAGGAAGTTCTCCAGCGCCTCCGTCGTAGTCCGAGAGTCCGCCATACCGTTCATTACTAGCTCCGACAATACTGCAGAAGCAGAGGGGACGCCTTCCTCATCGTGCTCCCAAGACATCGCATGTTTTGCTTTGGTCCAAACGACCCCAAACCCCGGGACTATAACGCAAAGCCATCCATCCAGAGACGCCAGCACTTCCCACTCCTTTGACTCGGCTCGAAGGTTGGCTTCTTGGACTTCTTTCTCGATGATACGCAGGCGAGGAGAGGCTTTGACTGGCAAAGAGTATAGCTCCGTGCTACTAGACAAGAGGCAACGAATTGTTGCTGCTGCCGTTGCGTCTCGATTCGAGCGCGTCCGAAGCGCAGCGTCTTCAAGCCACTGCACCACCGTCTTCTGTGGATCGCGAAGGCAGTTCAGCCACGCATCGCTCTCCAGCGGGAACAAGGGGTTGTTCGACAAGTCGAGTCTCCGTAGCCCCGTTCCTCCGTCCCGAGGAATCGTGGGGCGAAGGCCAATCGCCAGCCACTGCCAGCAGAGTCTGCGATCCGCGGGGTCTAACAGCGAAAAGGTGCGAGCCAGGGACAGCTCTTCGATAGTCGTGCCTTCACACCTCAAGGCCGAGCAGATGCACGCCACATGATGGTAATTCAGCGAGTTGTGCGCAAGGGACAGCCTCTTCAAGCAGTTCCTGTTCCTGTTGTCTCCAGCGACTCCAAACGCCGCAATGACAAACGCCCGAAACGCAGCCCAACTCACCGTCGTCAGCGTCCGATGCATCGTGTTCTCCAGTTTCAACTCGTCCAGCGGTAGGTCGCAACGTCCGAGTCTCCTTCGGCTGCAGCCGTCCAACAACTCCGCTAAAGCCGTCAAATTGTCTCCCTCAATAGCGTTATCGCTCAAATCCAGCGACGTGACGCAGTATCTCGCTGCCCTTCGACTCTCCCCGACCTCCTGCCTCTCAGCCATCACCACCGCCTTGAGCATCCGGATCAAAGATGCAGTCAGTTGATTCCTGACGAACCGCAAAGCCACCGGAACCGCCCGAATGGTGGCGCCTGCCTTCCTGTCCTCCATCTCCACCCCTGAGAATTGCGACTGCAGCGTCGGCTGCAATTGCTGCGTCTCTGAGCTCGCGAAGAACCGCGCCAGCGTCTCCAGCAGCTTCGCCGTGATCTGGCAGCGCGAGAAGTCCAGCACCAGCCGCGGGAACTGCTCGTGTCGAAGCTGCAGCTGCTGCTTGTGTGGCTTGCCGCCTCCGACCATGAGGTCCGAGGCCAGCACCTGCTCCCAGAAGGCCTGCTTCACCAGCGGGTAGCGCTGCAGCGACTGCGAGTAGCTCTCGATTGCGGCCATCGACGCGAGCGCTTGGGCCACGGACTGAGGCGCCGCGAACCGGAAGTTCACCACCAGAGACAGCGACGCAGCCTCGCGCTCGGCCGCGCTGTCACGGCCAGGCAGCAGGCTCAGCAGTCCGCGCAGCGCGGTAACGTCATCGACCAGCGAGCGCCTGACCATGGGATCGGATCGCGATGGCGAATGAGTGACACTTAGTGACATCGGCCGCAACGTGCCCCGATTTGGAGAGAAGGAAGCAATAACATGAAGGGATCATTGTTCGTGGAATAGTTGCTAGCTACCGGTAGCCCTCTACTTTCGGTAGCATAAACCGCCTCGTTACTTGCTGGAGCAGCGAACCAGTAAACCGCACCATTAGACACTCCACAGCAATACTGAGCCAGCATTCACTCGGGGTGACCTCGGCTGTGCTGGCGCTAGCAAGTACACGTGGACGTGGAAGATGTCGATCGAGCGGGACGGGTTTTCGTCGTAGTTCCAGCTCTCTACGTGAGGGGCGTTCTCCCGCAACCAGTTGCAGACGTACTCCTCGATCTCTGCGCCGTCCATCTCATGGCGACTCCACAGCGTCCAGTGCTCGATTCCTTCGGGGGTATCGTACGGAAACATGTTAGGCTCCAGAGCGGTTTCCGCGTTGCTCAGCGTCGTTGCAAGTATGAGCTCCTCTCTAGACTCAAAGAGCTCGTCCACCATGTCCATGTGCGCCCATTTGCGCTCGAGACACTGGTCCGTTCTGCCCCAGTACTCCAAGACCAAAGTCCTCGGTGGCGCATCTTCACGTCCAAGCTCTTGAGTGAGCCCTTGACCGACGCTGTCGCGGGGACTGCGCTTGGTTGAGGCGGGATCCGGGCTTAAGCAGTGAGGAGCTGACGTCGATTGCAGCTGTAAAGTTTCGATGTCGAGTGCATGTACTAGGTCAATTCCTGCTCGTCTCCTAAACTTTACGTAGGAGTCCTTAGCAGACCAACGCACCACACGCTCTGCCGTCTTGCCCTCCTCTCCCCACTGCCCCACCAGAAGCACCATCGTAGACCTTGACTGCTAACTACTGGAGGGACTCGCGCTCTAGCGCGGAAAATGCGGAATGAGGCCGCAATCGTCAACTTCAACGTTAGGACCAACACTCTGCTGCTCAAACTTCAACATCGACAGGGTTGCGCCTCAGCAACTTTGTGCTCCAGCATGCTGAGTCACGAGGGCAATTAGAGCATTCAAGACTTCGCGCCATGTTGCAGAGCTTTGTTAGAACAACAAACGCAATTGTATTCAACGAAGCTTGTTGATACCTGGACTGCCGTCCACTACACGACCGCCATGATTCCAGCTGCCACGCAGACCACGATCGACACGACTTGTCGAGCTGTCAGCATCAGGTGCGACGGCGCATCGCTCATCGACGAGCCCGATCCCCCGTGGCCTCGACGATTTGATTTCTTTTTTTTCTTCTTGCCCTTCTTCTGGATCTCCAGGTCTTTCTTGCTGGCCACGCACTTGTACGTCTCGTCCTTCTCGTCCAGCGCGCAGAGCGAGTCGTTCGCCAGCACATGGCCCTTGGGCGAGCACGGCTGGGCCCCGGTAATTGGGCAAGCGCCACTTTCACCGAGGTCAACGTTCCCGCACTTGCTGCTCAGCGGGGCGTTGGGGTCCAGGCAGTAGTCCGAAGCCCCCATGAGCGACACTCGACGGACTGATCTGCAGTCGCACCCGTACTCCAAGCTCGAACTGCCGGAACCCGACATGCTCCAGCTGCCGCTGTCGCTGTCGTCGCCACTCCCTTCACTCGCAGAACTGTCAGAGCCCCCGCCTTCGCTACTGGAATCACCATGGCTGCCACTCCCAGTGAGGCTAGAGTCATCGCTCGAAGACGACTTCTTCGACCCCTGCGACGACCCAGACAGAGATGAAGCAGACGTCAAGTTCAAGCTCGAGCTGGTCGACGGCGAAGCTTGAGAGTTCATCATCATAGCTGCCGCCTGGGGGTTGCCGAAAAACGTTGGATCCCGAACGAATTGACTGCTTGCTTGGTCCGAGCACAGGCCGGCCACTAGCAGCACTAGCGCAGCTAGCAGCAGCCTGCGCAACATCGGTCGAGCGAGGAGAACGATGGCGATGGAGCGACCACAACGAAAATTTCACAATGAGGAAATGGAGCTTTGGTTTCCTCGAGAGAGCAGTGTCGCCTCTCATCCATCTTCTCCCTCATCTCGCAGCGAAAGTCCTCAGCGCTTTCTCCGAGTTTGATTGAGACCCTCCGAGCTAGATTGAGACTTTCGCTTCAAGAGAGTCTATCAGGGAGAAGAAGAAAGCAATAAGTCCACGCTGAAGACATGTCTTTTGTCCAGGTATTTCTGTGACTTCTCTACGTCTCCTTCTCCTCGTCGATCTTGAGCGCAGCCACGGACAGGTAGTCCTTCACGGCCTTCAAGAAGGCAGCCACCTTGTCCAGGTCCTTCACGCCAGGGGAGCCCTTCACCTCCACGCCGCTGCTAACGTCCACGCCCACAGGGTGGCCGACCGAGAGGGCCTTCACAACATTCTCCGGAGTCAGGCCGCCGGCCATCAGACACGGAATCCGTGCGTGCGCGAAGATGGCCGCGATCTTCCAGTCGAAGGTGACGCCGGTGCCGCCCTGCTGGCCCTTCATCGTCGTGTCGAGCAGAATGTAGTTGGCGAGACCCTCGTGCACCTGCTGCAGCACAGCCTCCGCGTCCACGCCGTCACTCAGCGCGGTGTCCGGTAGGTGCAGGGCGCGAATGGTGGGGTACTTGATGTCCTTGCAGATCTCAAAGCCCTCGTCGCCGTGCAGCTGCACCAGGTCCAGCCCAATATCTTCCGCTGCCGCGTTCATCTCAGCGGCCGTCTTATTGGCGAACACACCAACCACCAGAGGTGCACGCGAGCACGCCTCACGGAGAGCCAACACGTTCCTGTGGAACCAGTCGTTTTGGCCGTCGAGGTTGGCCTCCAGGATCTCGGGAAGGATCGGGCCCGCGCGCTCGCCGTATTCGCGCACAGCCTTCGCAATTGCCTTAGCTTGCTCCGCCTGGACGTAGCGAGGCGAGTGCTCCGCCATGATGATTCCGATCATGTTGGCGCCATTACGCAGAGCCGCCAGAGCATACTCCACAGTCGTGACACCACACACCTTCGCGAGCGGCGGGAGCAGAGGGAGGTCGCCCAGCTCCGAGTGGTGCGTCACAGCCTGCAGGAGGTCCTTCACCGTCGTGGCAACGTCTCCGCTCTTCATCAAGAACTCGCCGACCAAGATGCCGCGGGCGCCGCACTTCTCGTACTTGACGACGTCCGCGTGCGAGCGAATGCCGCTCAGCGCGAAGAGCGTGACGCCATCGCGTCCGAGTGAGAGACCGCGCTCACGAATGGCGTCCGCGACGCGGGCCGTCGTGTTGAGGTCCACCTTAAACGTGCGGAGGTCGCGGTTGTTGACTCCGATCAGCCTGGCGCGGGCAGCCAGCGCGATATCCAGCTCCTTGACGCTGTTCACCTCCACCAGGGCGCACATGCCGAGCTTGTGGGTCACCTACAGCACACAGTACAGCACACAACACGCATTAGAGACAGCTCTGATGATTTCACCCTTGTTGCAACGCTGCCACTCACCTCAATGAGCTCGTTGAGCTGCTCCTGGGACAGCAGCGCCACGATGAGCAGCACGCAGTCGGCACCGTAGGCGCGGGCCTCCAGCAGCTGGTACACGTCGATGATGAAGTCCTTGCGCAGGATGGCGGGGCGCGCGCTCATCCCCTCCACGACGTCCCTGGCCGCCTGCATGTCCTCAAGCGAGCCCTTGAACCACTTGGGCTCCGTCAGCACGGAGATCATGCTGGCGCCTGCGTCCGCGTAGGCCTTCACTTGTTCTGCGTTCAGCCATAAACCCACCACATTAGCCTATTAGACAGCAATAGAGCTATATAATGGGCAGCGCACCCTGGAGGTTGAGCTCCGTGGCGATGTCTCCCTTGCTGGGGCTCGCGCGCTTGAACTCGGCGGCCAGCGCAATGTCCGACCATCCCTCCTTCTGCTAGCAGCACACAACGAGGCAATGAGCTCTCTTCCTCCCTCCCTTAGCCTTCTTCCTTCTCCGAGTCGACAGTGACGCACCGCGGGCGCGTTCAGACGGTCGAGCACGGGCAGCGCCGGGCCGTAGACGGCCTCCGCGCTCTCGATCTTCTTGGTCAGCTGCTCCGCCGACACGACCTGCTTGGCGGCCTCCACGTCCAGGCGGCGCTGCGCCGCGATCTCCTCCAGGATGTTCCCCATGCTGCGCTGCTACTGATCGGTATGTGCGTTTTTGGAAGTGAGAGGCAAGCGGGGAGCCCCGATTAACCCCTAAATCGCAGTACACTTTAGTGATGATGTGACGCTGAAACGGTTTTTGTTCAAGCCTCACCACCGACACCAGCGACGCTGTGGCTTCATGGCTGTGCCTTTCAGCTCCGCAGCACCAAATTGGTGCCACCAATCACTTGGTGCTGATTATTCAGTGCCGTCGTTGACGCGGCGGCGAATACGCAGGTGTAGTGATGACGCGGTCCTCAGCGACGCTGGCCCTGTGGGAAGAGAGAGGCACAGATTAAAGCAACATTGAAATGTTGGCGCTGCGTAACATTGAGCGCAACAATGGTGCCTCTGCCTAACATTGCACAATGTTACAGTATCTCTCGTAGCAGAATATTTGGTTTACCAATGTGACAATAGTGGACGCGTGCCACGACAGCTCGACAGCTCGACAGCACGACAGCGAAGCACGCTGCATCACTCGGGGCGTGCGCCAACAGCTTCCGCCGCTAACGCGGCAAGCGCGTCATGGTGTACGCGCCGACACATGCAGCAGGAGAATGGGCTCTACGGGATCTACGCGCAGCTCTACCTGGGCGCCACGTGTTGTCTGTTCCTAGTTGGCAGGACACTCGCGTTGGCTTTCGCCTGCGGACTTAGCGACGGCACTTCGGGGGGCCCGCCCCTCTCTCGCTTCGCTCGGGGGGGCGCCGCTGTGCGGCCTGCCCCACCCCCTCGTGCCTTATGCTAAGTCCTCGGCTCGGCCAGGCGCGGTGTCTAGGAAAAAAATATCGGGTTGCAGCGCTCGCCTTCGCTCGCTCGCGCAGACCCGCCCCCGCCTGATCGGCGGGTGTTGACGATCGGTGAACGCGCTCAGCGTGGCTCGCGCTCGCGTTCGCTCGCCCTCCCCCTTTAACCTAACTGCGCTGTTGGCTAGAGGCGCATTAAAAGCGCTTAAGACTCCTTGGAAGATAGCGCATTCGATTGCATGCAACACGCATCGCGCCTAACGCAACGCAACGCACTGGGAAGGCGTTTGCTCCCGCATACGTAGTACACACATGCATATAAGCACCGCAGTAGGACATGCACACATTAGAATAAGGTTGAGCGGGTGACCGCTGCAGAGGGTCGCACGACGCGGAGGCGGAGCGAGCGCGACCCGGTAGATTCTGAAATGAGAGCTGTTGTGAGCCAGTCGCTCCAAACATGAAATTTCACGTCTGGAAAATTTACATTGCGTCAATGTTAGCGATCACGCAACATTGGACCCCATCAATGTTATTGATCCCTCACATTGAGGCTGATTTTCAATGTTGCTTTAATGACTCTCTCTCTTCGAGAGAGTCATTCTTCGAGAGAGTCATTCTTCGAGAGTGAGAGTCATTCTTCGAGACTCTCTCTTCGAGAGAGTCATTCTTCGAGAGAGTCATTCTTCGAGAGTGAGAGTCATTCTTCGAGAGTCATTAAAGCAACATTGAAAATCAGCCTCAATGTGAGGGATCAATAACATTGATGGGGTCCAATGTTGCGTGATCGCTAACATTGACGCAATGTAAATTTTCCAGACGTGAAATTTCATGTTTGGAGCGACTGGCTCACAACAGCTCTCATTTCAGAATCTACCGGGTCGCGCTCGCTCCGCCTCCGCGTCGTGCGACCCTCTGCAGCGGTCACCCGCTCAACCTTATTCTAATGTGTGCATGTCCTACTGCGGTGCTTATATGCATGTGTGTACTACGTATGCGGGAGCAAACGCCTTCCCAGTGCGTTGCGTTGCGTTAGGCGCGATGCGTGTTGCATGCAATCGAATGCGCTATCTTCCAAGGAGTCTTAAGCGCTTTTAATGCGCCTCTAGCCAACAGCGCAGTTAGGTTAAAGGGGGAGGGCGAGCGAACGCGAGCGCGAGTCTCGCTGAGCGCGTTCACCGATCGTCAACACCCGCCGATCAGGCGGGGGCGGGTCTGCGCGAGCGAGCGAAGGCGAGCGCTGCAACCCGATATTTTTTTTCCTAGACACCCGCGCCGGATGATTGGACGCGTAAAGAACGTTCAAAAGGGTCGTTCATGTTTAAAACAGTTTTGAAGTGTCCAAAAGTCCAAAAGTGCTTGCCCTCCGCATTTTCCTGTCGAGTATACATTCCCCTGCCACTCCTGCCCTTCACGCACAGCTCGTTCGAGGACAGGGACCTTTCACCATGCACCCTGAACCAGTTGCTGGCACGCTGCCAGCAGCTGCAGCATCCATCGCGCCTCGCACTCCACAGTCAGGGAGGAGAAACCAACAAACTCCAGGATCAGCACCAAGAACGCACCGATCTCCGCCAGCATCGGCGCCGAGAAGCCTCCGATCCTCTCCTGCCTCAGCAGTGAGGCGATCTCCACGCTTTAGGCCGTACTCGAGTCCGACCCAACAGCCCCCGCAGACACCTAGAGTGCTACGGCAGATGGACTTCTCGTCGCCTCAATCGTCCACATCCGCCCGGCCGCCACGTTCTCCAGCTCCGCCCAGCCAGTTGCGAGAATCGCCGATGAAGACGGGGCGCCCGCGTGACGACATTTGGCAACACTATGGCATTGAGCGCGAGAATGGTAAAAAGCATGGGCGATGCAGATACTGCGGCACTCTCAAGAAAAATGGCAAGCCGAGCGGTAATTTGCTAAAACATTTGATCAATCCAGGTCAGTGCCCTAGTGTACCTCGCGAAGTGCAAGTTTCGCTTCGGCCTGCGGATATTCCCGATCCGAACCCAGCACCAGCTAAGACCGCCCCTCTCCAAGCAGCTGAGCTTAGTCAAGACGCCTTCGAGATGGCATTGGCACGTGTTTTCTTCGTCTGTGCACTTCCATTTATGCTCATAGAGGCTCAGGTATTCCGAGACTTTATCGCCATGGTGGCTCCTACAATGAAGGTGCCTTCGAGGCACAAACTCAGCGTGGTTCTTCTAAAACGTGTGCGAGATGAGATGCGCGTGAAAGTTATCAAGTTGATAAACAAGCAAGTCTACGTGTCGCTAGTTACGGACGGATGGAGCGATACAAATGGATCGAGTATCATCAATTTCATGGTAGTGGCGCCCGGCATGCCTTCGTTGTTCTGGTCATCATGGTCGACAAGGTCAGAGCAGCACACAGCTGCGTACCTAGTAGGTGAAATTGACAAGGTCATCTCGGATATGAAAGTGCCACGACCGCACACGTCGTTTCTGTCGTCACAGACAACACAAGAAACATGAGTAGTGCTCGAAGTCACATCCAGGCACGACGACCCAACGTGGTGAGTGGCGGCTGCTCCGCCCACGTGCTCAACCTGCTCATGCAAGATGTGTGTCGCTTTCCTGTAATTCAAGCGGTCAGATCATGAGCTGTGGCTGTTACCCGTTTCGTTCGAGATCATTTGGCTCTACTTGATGAATTCAAGGCTCTGCACCAAGGCTTACGCGATACGGGTCTAAGCGCAAGAAATCTGGTGTTGCCGGTGCCAACACGTTGGTACTCAGTGTTTGCATGCTTGCGCAGCGTGTCGAACAGTCGTGAAGTACTTGAAAAATTATTTTTGAGTTCCGAGTATGAAGAATTCCGCGATCGATATCGTGCAACTGCGCCAAACCGGAAGAAACTTCGCTACATGATGGAGCTCGTTCGTGACAACAGCTTTTGGGACAGCCTGAGGACCATCGTACGTCTGTTGGACTCTATAATTGAAGCACTAAGACAGCTCGAAGGTGAGAACGTGTTTGTGTCGGGGGTTAATAAGTGGTTTCGATGGCTACGGTATCACACCGCGTACGGCGTCACCTCACCTGAGCAAGATGATGAAGTGGCAGTTGATATGCCGGAGCCGTCTGAGCAAGCTGGCGTGCCGGGACCGTCTGAACATGAAGCTGTTGATCAAGCTCGCAATGGAATCGAACTCCTTAGTAACTCAGTCGATCTTTTAGCGCCCACCAACTCCGCCGGATCGCCGCCCACAGCGCCAGCCGAACTGCAGTCTGTACCAGCAAGCGAAACTTCCCCTGAAAGTACGTCACCGGATGATGAAAATTTATTAGCGGGAGGTGATTACAGACGTATCGATGTTCCGCAGCTCGCCGAGCTTCAAGAATTTTTTCGTGACAAGATTCGAAGTCGATGGAGCTACGTGCACTCCAACGCGATGAGTATCGCATTCTTGCTCGATCCATCGACGGATATAGATGACTTCGTTGGCGCTGATGATGAAAAAGTTGATGACCAGGTGTGTGAAATGGCGAGGCGGTGTGGCTTGTTCACGCCAACCGTGGGCGCCCCCGCATTTACTGCAGAGGTCCTTGCGTTTAAGAGTAAGAAGCGGCGGGGTGGTAAGGCGATGCGTGAGAAGTATTCAATGTCAAGTCCGCGGGATTACTGGGAAGGGAAGAAATCTGAGCGATACCCACTGCTTCAGAAGATAGCACAAATTGTGTTCGCGATCCCTACTTCGTCGGCTGCAAGCGAACGGGCTTGGAGTATCTTCGATCACATACACTCGAAGCGGAGGAACAGGCTCTCAGTGGCAAAAGTCGAGATGCTTGCATATGTGTATATCAACTATGGTACGATTCGAAGCGATTCGATGGACCTTGCCCGTCACCAGTCGCGTCCAGAAAGTGTAGATGCTGATAGTTAATTGCCATCGAATAATACATGATACTACGTTTTGAATCTGTTTTTATTTTGCTGACCACTAAGATGTACGTAGTGCTAGTTCACCAAGAAGTTTGCTATTGTGTCGTACAGCGGCAATCCCTCATCGTGCAGCATTAGCAGCCGATATGATCGACGCGCCTAAATGTTGGCAGCGCGTCGCGGCATCTATCACTTTCTTTGGCGTGCATTAGACCTGGTCCTGTCGCTGCTTGTGCACAACGAGCGCGATATGCTCGAAGAAATCTTGAACTCCGCACTGACCTCAGCGTCTCACCGAGACCGACTTGTAGTTCTTGCTTGTGGGCACACCCACGATACCCACGGTAGCGCTGACGCGACTGCCGAGAAAGGAGCGCTCGGGCTCTGTTCTCTCGATTCAGTTCTTGACCTCGGTTGCGAAAAGCACGCTCTCTTCATTGGTCTCGGTGGAAGCGGCAGCCATCTTCTCCTTCTTCTGCTCGCTTGGGTCGCGAAGTCGGTCGGGCTGGACCTCCTTATTGGCGCTCGGCTTAGCGCTCTTGATGATGCAGAGGTTCCCGTTGTCGCGGTGCACCCGCAGGTGATAAGACTTGGCGCCATCGGGCACATCGATGACGTCGTGCTCGAACTCGAGCTTCTGGCTGTAGTCCTCCAGCTCCACGTCGACGGAGCTAGCCTTGAACTGAATCTTCGTGTTCATCTCTCCGCTGGCATCCTGACAGGCGTCGGCCGAGAAGTCCAGGTCACCCGAGGAGTTCAGGTCCAGGGCCTGTTCGCCGTCGACGCTGTAGTCAATACCCTCGCCGGCATCCAGGTCCTCATACAGGTCGCCCTCGCCGGCGAGGGCCAGCTCCAGGTCCTGCTAGCTGAAGATGTTGGGCTGCTTGACGCGGTGGATGCGCGGGTCGTTGGCGAGCGCGCGGTCCACGAGGCTGGCCAGACGGGCGTACTCTTTTTTCTTTCTTGGCCGCGGCCTCGTTCTTCTTGGCCATCCAGCGCTTGTGGTCGCGGTGCTCGGCCGAGTCCACGTCGTGCTCCGAGTCGTGCGTGAAGACGCGCCACGAGTCGAACTTGTTCCAGAAGTCGTAGAAGGCGTAGACCTCGTCGATATGGAGGTCGTCGCCGCCCAGCGCGGGCGCGGGCTTGTTCTCGCTGAAGCGCGCGTTGGCCAGGAACACGGGGCCGTAGAGCTCGTAGAAGCTCTTGCCCTCGTCAGTGGGGTCGTTCTCCTTGATCTTCTCGTAGCCCGCACTCGTCAAAGTCGCACTGCGAGTCGTACGCGCGCTTCTTCTGCGGGTCTATGGGCGTGGCGAAGGCCTTCTGCACGGCCAGGTAGTTGGAGTCGTTCTCCGTCTTGCCCGTCTTGCCCGGGTGGTGCTCGATCAGCACGCGGTGGTACGGTACGCCTTCTTGACCTGCTCGTCCGTCACGTCGAAGTCGATGTCGCTCAGCTCCAGCTGCAGCTCCAGGAAGTTCTTGCCGCGGATGCTGCGGCGGTACTTGCGCAGGATGGACTCCTCCTGCTTGCGCAGCGCGTCGCGCGCCTTGGTGGCGTCGTCCAGGTCCTCGCAGCTGGCCCAGCAGCCGCGGGCCATGTGAGCGCGCGCTTGTTGAAGGCGCGGCCTACGGTCTCCACGCGCCTCTGCGCGAAGTAGCCGCCCAGGCTCAGCACGACCTTGGGCTCCTTGAAGTCCGCCGGGGGCGTCGCAGCGACAGCGTCAGCGAAGACATCCTCACAAGTCTCTCCTTGTGTCGGGGGCCGTCGGAGCCGTCCAGCACCACTCGGCGATGTCTGAGCCGTGCAGCTCGTACATGTCGTTCGTCGTTCTTTGTCGGGGGAGGGGGTGCTGCACCACATTGGGGCGCATCCGTGATCGTGAGGCAGCGTGCGCGCGGTGGCCGTGGGCGCAGCTCCGACAGGTCGCAGGTGGACAGCGTGGGAGACATCAGCGTTTTGCAGGGATGTCTAAAAGTGTCTAAAAGTCACCAACATTATACGGGCCCGTGGTTGATAATATTCTATCTGATAGTTTGGGACTGTTTTGGATTTTGAACGGAATTTTGGACGTTTTACAAAGTCTTTGGGAATAAACACGGCATAATCGTCTCACCAGCGTCACTCCATCCAAGGCAACAACACGGCAAGTGGGTGCGCACAATGCGGTTTAACATTAAAGCGAGGTTCTGCTCACAATTTGGTGCCGCTGCCCGCCTCCATCTCAGCCGCCTTGCGCTTGGCCGGCGTCACGGGCTTCGGGCTCGTCACGGACTGCGCTTCCTTCTTTGCTATTACTGGGGCGGCCTCGGCCGGCTTCTTGCCCTTCTTGGGGCTTTTACTCTTGAGCGACGCCGAAACTGCAACGTCAACAAGTGGCGAGCGATAGTTAAAGGACTAAGCCCGAAGCCTTATCCCAGCAACAACGAGGACGTACCCGTGGGCGTGGCGTTCTCTGACTTGACCCAGCCACACTTGACGAAGAAGTCGTAGACCTGACCGGTTTTGTTCACGTCTGTACGAGGCACCGAAACCAAACGACGCAGTGAGTCAGCAATTCAGATGGCTACAACAACTTCAACAAGCGGAGGACGCACCTATCTGAACAGTCTCCTTGGCCATCTTCTTGGTCAGGTAGCCTAAGCGGAAGCACTCGCGAACCAGCGCGTCCTTGATGACCAAATAATGCTACCATGACACCATCACGGCACTTGAGTTAGCAAAAATGAGCACATATAACGCAACATTCGCCGCCAGCTATTTACCTTGGGCAGCAGCTTCAGCTTGCTGCACAGCTCCTTCTCCTTCGGGGTAAGCAAGTGGCAACCGGGCGTGCCTTCAACGGAATAGGTAGCCGCAATTGCGTTGAGTCCAGCTGCACCCGATGCAGCCCCTCGTGTCCTCGAGTTGTCGCCACCAGCATCGCCATTCGCTCCTTGGTCTCTGTTCTGCCAGCGGTTGGCGCGATCGCGTCCGCTCGAAGACGTCCGGCCGGACTCGTATAAATAAGAGGCGCTATCACGCTGCTTCTGAATCGCCTGGTCCAACTCACGCTTCTTCTTGTCCGCGTCGTACAGCTCCGCCTCCGCCAGCGTCCGCACGCCGTTCTTGCGGTACTCCTGCAGCAGCAGGATCTGCTTCTTGAGTCGCATGGCCGCAATCAAACCCTCGACAAAGTTATCGTGCTCTTCCGGCGACTGGAACCGCGCGAAGGGCCGCACCTGAGCCAGCAGCTCGCGTTCCTCCTTCGGCCGCTTGCGTTCCGTGTGCTGGTGCAGCTTATAGTCGAGCAATCCGCGTTCCACCACGAACTTCTTGCGTTCGATTCGCTTCTCCAGCTTCTGGTTGTAAATCTGAATGACCTTCAACTTCAACTCGCGCTCGGCCGGGTGGTCACCTTCGGAGAACTCCATGTCGGCCAGGATCATCTCCGCCTCGTTGTCGTACTCGACATCAAAGTCCCCGCGCAGAGGCATGTAGCCGGCCAGCTGACTCGGTCCGTTCCGCTCTCCAGGCGGGCCTCGGAGCACACTGTCCGAGGCGGCATTCATCTCCGCCGCCTTCTCGTCGGTCGAGGCCTGCTTCTGCTCGTCCGCGGGCTCCTCGTCCTTGCTCTCCTCCAGGGCGTCGCCGATGAAGCGCGGCATGAGGTCCTTCCAGCCCAAGTAGGCCGAGAGATAGTGCTTCTCGCACTTCTTGTCGCTCTTTGTGGCCACGTGCTCGGCGATGTCCTTCCAGTTGCCCATGCCGAACATCTCGATGCCCTCGAGCAGCAGCAGCTCCTCGTCCGCCGTCCACACGGCGCTGGCGGCGTCGGCGCTGGCCGTGGGGAAGGCCGCGGCGTTGGTGCCGACTGCGACCGCCGCCGCCGTGGAGGACGCGCCGTCCGCCGGCTGCGGCTCGTGCACGATGGGGAAGGCCAGGCAGTCCGAGACCGTGTAGGCGTGGCTCTTCTTGTGCGCGCCCAGCTCGATGCCCACGGCGAAGCACTCGACGCAGAGCTCGAAGGGCGGCTGCGACGCGCACTCGGCGCACGTGATGCGGATGTTGCGCGCCAGGTCCTTCTGGCAGTTGAGGCAGAACTTGGTCTTCATGGCGGCGGGCTTGGCCGGCGGCGACGGCGACGGCTCGCTCGGCGCGGCGGCGGCTTCAGCTGCAGCCTTGGGGGGAGCCTTGCGCTCGGCGCTGCTGGAGGCCGGGGCCGCCGACTCCTTGGCGCCCTTGGACTTGCTCTTCTTGGTGTGGCTGCGGCGCGAGTCCTTGCCGGCCATGCTGCTGCGAGGACGTGACTTGCCTTCAGTATGAGTGCCGCTTTGGCGTCACCAGGAGGATGAAGAGACTGCCAAAGTGCATGAGATGAAAAATGAGAGGTGGAATTGTACCAAAGTGATGGTACCCTACTTCAACCAGGTCAAGTGAGATGAAGTCGCTGGTTACATGTATTTGCCCCTCTACACAGTTGCAGGACGGGGTCTATTTCTCTTACTCTAGCGCTGCACAGAGCGCGATACATCGATGAAGGACTGGCTTCCACCCGCCTTGAACGTCCGCTCTATTTGCCAAAGCGGCGCTTGCGGCGGTTGAACTCGACGATGATGCCCTGCAGGTCCTCTCGCGTGACCTCGGGCCACATTTTGTCCATGAAGATCAGCTCCGAGTACGCGATCTGGTAGAGCAGAAAGTTGCTGATGCGCAGCTCGCCTGACGTGCGGATGAGGACGTCCGGGTCCGGCAGACCACTGCTCCAAAAGTGAACGAAAACACGTATTAGCGTCAGCAAACACCAGAGCACAAACCAGCAAATATTTCACCACATCTCCAGCACGTACGCTGTGAGCATGCGCTGGCTGAGAAGTTCCTCGTTGATCTCTTCAACGGACGTCTCTCCGTTCGCAACCTCCTTCGCGATCTTCTTGCAGGCGCCCACGATCTCGTCACGAGCTCCGTAGCTGTCAAGAGCATTCAAATACAGTCAGTCATTATTCAGCAGAGGTATATCGGTTTGCCCGTAATGCACGTGCACACAACACCGTACCTGACGCAGATGTTGAGGCTAAACCTGGTGCAGTGCTGCGTCTTGCCCTCGATGTCTTCAATCGCCTCGACAATGTACGCCGGTAGCTTCCGTCCGTCCGAGACCAGCACGCGCACCCGAATATCTCTCTTCAGCGCCTCGGGCACAATCTCGTGCATGAACTGGTTGAACAGGTTCATCAGCGCGTCCACCTCCGACTGCTCTCGGTTCCAGTTCTCTGCAGGAGTAACAAACAGCAATAACAGTCAGTCGCTGGCAATACAACTCTGACCACATTCACACAACCACCCAACACACCCGTCGAGAACGCAAACACCGTGAGAGCCTTGACGCCGGCGTCGATGCACCAGTCCGTAAAGTTCACGAGCGTCCTGCTGCCGTCCGAGTGGCCCCGGACCCCGGCGCCGTACTTGTTCTTGCCGTAGCGCCGGTTGCCGTCCATGATGACCGCGATGTGGCGCGGGACCTTCATCTCCCCGAGATCCCTCAGCATGGCCGCCCGCGCCGTCTTCTTCTCGAGCGCCTCAAAGTCCGCCCTCAGCACGGCGCTGAGCCAGCCCACGAGTCGCCAGACCGCCACGGGCAGCACGCGGTGCCAGCGCACGGACTTGCCCAGGCCGCTGACGCCCGAGGCCAGCGAGAAGCTCAGCAGCGTCAGCACGAACACGAGCGTGATGGGCATGCCCGCCAGCCACCACATCTCGAAGCCGTTGTAGAAGGTCGAGGCCAGCCCCAGCTCGCGGCTCGCGTCCAGCTGCGACAGCGTCTGCCGCACCACGCTCTCGCGCAGCCACGCCACGCCGCTGACGTTCTCGTCCATGGTCCGACAGAGATCTACAGGGGAATAAGGCCGCTCCTGCCGCTCCTGGTCCTGCTGCTGCTGCTGCTGCTGCTGCTGCTGGACGTGTCACTGTGTGCCAACTGACTCGGAGCCTTACGTGTCCGCTGTGAGTCTTAGTCCCCTATCCCTCCATCACATTTAATTGGTTGATAACCCGACTGCTTCGATCATGATTGGTTAATAATGAGAACGCAATAGTCCCACCATTCAGTCAGCGCCGTCCACATCGGCCAGTCAAACGTTGCTGCAGTAGCCACAATGGCGCTGCTTAACTGCTCGCGATGGCTGCGTGTGGGCGGGTCGGTGCTACCCTCGACGCGTATCCGCAGCCGTGACAGCCTGCTCCGAAGCTTCACCTCGACGACCCCGAAGTTTGCGGCGATGGGCGCCACGGGGTCATCGCCCCCTGGCAACTCCCCGTCGGGCTCCAAACGGTTCCGGCAGCACGTGAATCCGCTCTCGATGGTCTACCGCCAGCCCGTGGAGCTGCCAGACTGGGCCGAGTGCTTCGCGGACGCCTCGCTGCCCATCCACCTGGACATTGGTTGCGCGCGCGGCAAGTACCTGATGGATGTGGCGGCGTCTCAAGCGGGTGAGCGGAACTTCGTCGGCGTCGAGATCCGTCGCAATGTGCTGCAGGAGGCGGAGCGCGAGGCCGAGCGTCGCGAGCTCAAGAACTTGGCCTTCGTGCACGCCAACATGAACATCCACCAGGCCACTCTGCTGCAGTCGCTGCCTGCCCCCGTGGAGAGTGTGTCCATCTTCCACCCGGATCCGTGGATGAAGAAGCGCCACATCAAGCGGCGACTGGTGACCGACGAGTTCGTGGAGGAGATGGCCAAGCTCGTGCCCAACGGCACCCCTATCTACGTGCAGACGGACGTGGAGGAGCTGTTCGCGTACATGGTGGAGATTTTCGAGTTGTCGAGGCTATACGACTTTGACGCTCTGCATGAAAATCCGTTTGGAATCCCCACGGACAGGGAGAAGTTCGTCTTCAACGAAGGTGGCGACATCTACCGGGTCAAGTTCATCGTAGATAAGCCGGAGGAGGATGCAAAGGATAAAGAGGTATCGACATCACCAGAAGCGTGAGTACATCACAAGGGATTCCAACAGCCAAACCACAATAGAACCGAAACTTGCTCGATAACTCATGTAGGACATTTCGTGTGCTTCATTCATGTTATGGTGTGTGTAAGTGTGCGTCCTGGACGCAGCGAGTTGAGTTTAGATATGCATAGCTTCGGTTGGGGTCGATGCTTACTTGCCAAAGCGGCGCTTGCGGCGGTTGAACTCGACGATGATGTCCTGCAGGTCGTCGCGCGTGACCTCGGGCCACATTTTGTCCATGAAAATGAGCTCGGCGTACGCGATCTGGTAGAGCAGGAAGTTGCTGATGCGCAGCTCGCCCGACGTACGGAGCATGATGTCCGGATCCGGCAAACCACTGCGTTAACATAGCACGGGGAGAGCGTGAGCTCGAGTTCCTGAACGATTGAACGAAAAAGATCGGGCAGAAGAACGTACGCAGTGAGCATGCGCTGGCTCAGCAGGTCCTCGTCGATGTCGTCGATGCTCGTCTCGCCCTCCGCGACCTCGGCCGCGATTTTCTTGCAGGCTCCGACGATCTCATCGCGGGCGCCGTAGCTGTAAAGGCCGATAGCAAACCTCAATTAGCCGAAGGATTGGAGGATGGAAAAGCTGACAGGGACCACGTCACGTACCTGACGCAGAGGTTGAGGTGGAACGCGTTGCAGTGCTGGGTCTTGGCCTCGACTTCCTTGATGGATTTGACGAGGAAGGCCGGCAGCTTGCGGCTGTCCGAGGCGAGCACACGCACCCGGATGTTGCGCGTGAGAGCCTCACCAAGAATGTCGTGGATGAAGCCGTCGACCAGCTTCATCAGAGCGTCGATCTCGGCCTTCTCGCGCTTCCAGTTCTCTGCAGGAAGCACACAATGTAAATCAGCCTCGGGGTGATCTCCAGATGTCGAACATGAGCGGACTCACCGGTGGAGAAGGCGAAGACAGTGAGGGCCTCGATGCCGGCGTCGATGCACCACTCAGTGAAGTTCATGACGGTCCTCGTGCCGTCCGAGTGGCCGCGGGTGCCCGAGCCGTACTTGTTCTTGCCGTAGCGGCGGTTGCCATCGATAATGACGGCGATGTGGCGCGGGATCTGTCGGTAATAACAACGGCAATAACGACGACGACGAGCATCAAAGTGAGCACCAGACCACCAAACGGACGGGAACACGACGGATATCCCGACGAACCTTGAGCTCCTCGACCGCCGGCATGGCAGCGGTGCAGTTGTTGCTGATTGCTTCGGCACCCATGGTCGTGTGCGTGTGTGTGTGCTTGGTGAAGTCAAATTGGAAATGAGCTCGAGATCGGCGAGGGAATACGCCGCGACACCCGATCGCCGCTGGATCATCCGTTGGTGCGTCGTTGGAGAAGCGCGAGCCGAGACCGCCAACACAACACCTGGCACGCACTTCAACGCGCGATGCCTCGTCGTCGCCTCGACACGCACTGCCAGCCGCGATTGGCCTCCGCAGCTCCCAATCCTCGACACGGCGCCGGCGATGTACCTCCGACACGTCCCTCGGACGACTCTCGTACATCTGCGGGATCGACGGACGAGGCCTAAGTAAGATAAGACTCTTTCTCGCGCCGTCTGACCGCGCTCGTCGAGCACGGGACCCCAGACGGCGGCAATTCGTCTCCATCGGGGGCTCCAGCCTCAATCTCAAAAAGCTGAAGCATGAAGGCAAGCAGAGCGGACACAGAGTTGATCATGTGCCTCGGCGTTGCGACGCTGAAATAATGAGCAACATTTGCCGCCTACAACATGAGTTCGTCACCTTACCACCCGCCCCGCAATGGAGGAATAGGCAGAAACGCAGTCCCCATGTGGCTATTGCCATGGCTTGAAAGCACCTCGAAACGATACGCAAAATAAAGCGCCCACCATTATACTACTCGAGCAAGGCGAGCATTACACAACCTGTATTGGATCTTGAAAGAGCGCACCGGTTGCCCCCACCGAAAGCTTGAGACCCCTACGCTCAGGACAGAACGTCGAGAGCGAGATTCCAGACCATTGGAAGCGGGTCTCAGTCGACTCGGATGGTGGTCGCAACTTGCGACTCGCAAAACTGACGTACAGCACAGGACGCAAGCTACGGCAAGTGCAGCACGCGCGGTCCACCCATTCATGGCGTCAAACGATACTTTAGGCGGTCTGACCGTCCGTGAGAGGAACGATCTCTGGTCTCTCTACGTACGGAGTCCGTAAAACGGACCTGGCTCACCTTCAAGGTCTCCGCTAAATTCTCAATGCCACGGAATCCTTAATACCAGTAGGTCGTCACCGAGCGCACCGCTGACGGACGCCTGGCACCTTGCTCAAACTTGCCTTGCGCCTCAAGGGCAGTGCTTTCTCCATTCGAACTGGAAGGTATAGTCGACACCTGCCAAGCCACAGCAAAGCACCCCAGCATCTTGTTAAGCATGACGTGCCATCCCTGTCTGCCTACCCCCTGCAATGCCCCACGTAGAGTACGTACCGTTGTGCTGGAGGAAGAAGAAGAAGCAGTACGGGATGAACATCGCCAGCTTGGCTTGTATGTCATCCGCTGCCGTCTCGAGCACGAATGCGAGCTGGTGCAGGACGGAGAAGTGCAGCCGGCGGTTGAGCAGCAGCACGAACGCCCCGAGAGAGAGGACCTCCATCGACACGAACACGGCCACGTTGGTCTGCGCTCGGTGCAGGTCAAGCTGTGTAGCATTGGCTAGGGACGGGTAGTAGATGGCATTGGGTAACCGCGCTAGGACGACCTGGAAAATGCCGTACATGGCTGGGATGATGCACTTGACATACTCAACGAGGATAAAGTATTCGGTCATGGACAGTGTCTCCAGTCGAGAAACGTCTCCAGCGAGGCATTCGGGGCCGACGTTTGAATGAAGCTGTGGGATCTGTGGTGGCGCTGGGGGAGGTGGAGTTCTAGTTAACGAGCTTCGTCGGGCTCTTGTTATTGCCGACTGGCGCGACCGACCCGATGATCGAACACTGGATCGCCTCGCTAACTTCAAGTTGACAGCACTCGTTGTAAACACCATTGAAAAGCGTCGACCCGTAGACAACATGCTAGTGCTGTACCGACGGTGAAGGCTATTGTTGAGCGATTTCTGAGACTCGATAGTTGCCAAGGACGGTCCAAACAGTAAGGAGCGACTCTTCTTGAGCTTTTGGGTAGCAACACCAATCACTATTGAGAGTCGACGGCTTGTGCCGGAGCTGTGACGGCGGTAAAGCTTGGCCGGTGGCTTTTGCGGTGGTGCCGAGACGACAGCCGCTACGGTTGGACCGGAAACTGGGACTACCACATTAATTGAGCCTGAACCCTGGGTGGAGCTGCTGCTTCGGCCGGACTTGGAGATCAAAAACACTGAGGGACGTCGAAGGAGATACCGCACACTTATCATCGAGCCAGTAGAATCTAAGACGACGTACAGTCCCGCAGCGCCTTGAGCGTCTCCTCCGACGTGTTGCTGGGCATGAGCACCACGCGCAGCTTGAATTGTCGTCCACACGGTGACATACTGGCCCTGCAGGCATGCGGTCAGGTACAAGACGTGGAACAGCTCCGTGCTAAACACCACCACCTCCGGTAATCGCGCCCTCCAGCGCTCCTCCACACTCATCCCTCCTTTGCTGCGACGAAGGGCGTACGCCATGATGAATCGCATCACCACCTTGAGTAGGAACAGTACACAGAGAAAAGCAAGTTGCTCGACTCGGTGCACCACCTGGAAGGCTGCGTTGAAGGCCGGGTAGAGACACACGATGATGGTTTCCACGATCAAAACCCCCTTCCAGATGCGGGCGTGGGCTGACAATCGCGGCGTATTCGTCAGTGTCCGGTTGCCGATAACCGCGACGAATAACCCAAAGAAGACGAGAGTGAAAACGGCAGTGGTAAGTACGCAGGCGAACGGGATCGGGAAAACCCAGGCTGTGCTAACAGTCACGAGCACGACGAAATACGCCACAGTCGTAGACAAGGTGATGATTAGTGTCTGCTTCCTTGATACCTTGAGCGGTGCGAGGAAGATGACGCCCTGTTGAACGTAGCTGAGGGTGAGCACCATGAATATGACCGTGGATCTAATGAACCATCGATAGTTGGCTCGCCATCCTGCTTGTGGCTCATCAAGAGGTACCAGTTCTTGTAGCAGCACGAAGGCCAAAACCGGCAGTGGCGTGAGTGCACACGCCGTTAAGACTCGAGCCGTTGACGCCGAATGGACGTAGCGTTTGAGGACACGGGCACGTCTCGCCGTGTACGCTCCATGACGACTGACTTGCACCCGTTCCCAGGCAGAGTAAAGACCACTGCAAATCTGCCCGGCGCGTCGAATTGTAGTGGCGATACTGGCCTTAATGGGGGTGAAGGGAAGGGCGACTGGCAACGTACGCGGCTGCATGACCGATGGTTCAATGGTCGTCGACGACAGGGGTCTGCGCAGGGGAGACTTGCTAAATATAGGGGGGAGTCGACGACGACGTCGTTGGTGCAAAACGATTTTAGAATTTACCAAGACTTGCGTTCGTCTCACACTGATGTCGATGCTGGGGAAACCGTATTATAACTTGATTATATTTTCAGCCAAGACAAGGCTTTGAATCTCATCCAGGATGAACCGGGGACGATACTATATCGAGCTAAAAATCTTATACGCCCACAGGCCGCACCAAGGGCACTAAATGTAGCAAAGGGAAATCATCAGAAACACCCTGCCGGTTCGCTCGTCCTTTCGCTTTTACAACACACTGGACTTCCAAAGATGCAGAAGTTTTGGAAGCGAAAGGTAGCTAGCACATCAAATCATCTTCAAGGAGCTATTTTGACGCTGTTGTGCTTACATGTATTTCAGCAGGCTTTACAGGACAAACAAGTCAGGAAAACTGATGATTTGATTAACTGGTTATTGCTGGTTGTACGCTCTTGGGAAACTGAATTGTCAGGAAAAGCTTTCAGAAAATATCGGTAATTTAGTTGCCACCAATTTTTTATGGGCCTCCTAGTAGTGACCCGTTGTCCCCAACTACCCCCCCCCTTACGCCTTGTGTGTCCAGGTGAATTGGAAAGTGTAATCGACTCCGTTGTGTTCAAGGAAGAAGAAGAAGCAGTATGGGATAAACATCGCCAACTTCGCTTGAATATCGTCAGCCGCCGTCTCCAACACAAATGCCAACTGGTGCAGCATTGAAAAGCGCAAGCGTCGATGGAGGAACACAATGAATGCCGTGAGAGAAACGACCTCCATGCATACGAAGACGGCCATATTCGTCTGCGAGTGGTACAGATCTTGCTGCGTAGCACTCGCCAGGGACGGATAGAAGGTAGCGTTAGGCAATCGGACAAGAGCGAACTGGAAGACGCCGTACATGGCAGGGATAATGAACTTGACGTACTCGATGAGGAGAAAGTACTCGGCCATCGATAGCGTCTCCAGGCGAGAGACTTCTGCCGCAATCTCCTCTGTTGTAAGTCTCAGAATCGGGTAAGAGGGGCGATTCCTCTTGCGGTCGGCTTGAGAGACGCGCGAGTAGGATTGGTTTGCCGAATGGCCCGACTGACTCGAGACTCGAGAGCTTGAACGCCTCGCCAGCTTTAGGTTAGTGACGGATGCAATTGCCGTGGAGAAGCGTCGACCGTTGGCAAAATTTGGGATAATCGAAGAGCGCCGACGACCGGAGAACCGTGCGGACGTGTTGGACTCAATTCGCGGAAGTCTGCGTGGCGAACGCCTAGTTGTCTCCAGCGTCGGTTGTGTAGTTCGATGTAGTTGAGACACGGTCGGTCCTGACATCGGAATGACGGTAGATGAAGGACCTGGAGTTGGCATTGCGGTAGGAACCTGTTGGACGGAGGGCGGAGTCGCTCCAGGCATCGGTGTGATCGATTTGAACGAGCGTGAAGTTGAAAAAGTCGGTTTTAAGCCCGGCACAATGTTTCGAAGGGACTGCGTTGCTGCCAGCGCTGGTCTGGCAACTAGCACGTAGTCTCGAAGTGAATGAAAAGCAGACCCATCGGGTTCGTGTCGGCTTTGACTCAGGGGCTTTCTCACCAGAACCATCCTCCGGCGCTGAAGCAGTCGACGAACACTAATTATTGAACCCGTTGCATCGAATAAGGAGATACCAATTGTTGCTCCGACTGTAACATGCTGACCCTGCAGACACGCCGTCAGATACAACACGTGGAACAACTCTGTACTGAACACCACCACTTCCGGGAGCCGTGCTCGCCAGCGCTCCTCGTCACTTACGCCACCTTTGCCACGACGAAGAGCATAAGCCATAATAAATCGCATCACCACCTTGAGCAGGAACAGCACCACTAAAAACGCGAGCTGATGGGCCCCAACCAACACTCTGAATGCCGCATTGAAGGCGGGATAAACGAACACGATGATCGCCTCCACCACTAATACCCCCTTCAAGATCCGAGCATGCGCGGATAACTGCGGCGTAGTTGCGACTGTCTGCCAGCCTACGACGGCGACGAAGAAGCCGAAAAACAGACAAGTGAACGCCCCCGTGGTGAGCACGCAGGCGAACGGGATCGGGAAAACCCAGGCAGTGCTCACAGCGACGAGAAGTCCGAAGTAGGCGCCTGCAGTACAAAGCGTGATAACCAACGCTTGTCGCCAGGAGACCTCAAGAGGTGCTAGAAAGATCACACCTTGCTGGATGTAGCTGAGCGTGAGCACCATAAAGATGATTGTAGACCGAACGAACCACCGATAGTTGGCTCGCCACCCAGCCTGAGGCGCGTCCAGAGGCACCAATTCTTGTAGTAGGACGAACGCCAGAATCGGCATTGGTGTAAGTATGCAGACCGCTAGAGCGCGCGCGAGCGACTTCGAGTGTACGTATCGGTCGAGAGCTCGGGCGCGTCGACTGGTATACGCTCCATGGCGGTTGACTTGCATTCGCTCCCAGACAGAGTAGATGCGGCCAGCCACCTTGAATATGCGCTGACCTACCTTGGCATCACACTTTACCTTGACTTCGGTCCATAGCGCGGGAGCGATTGCTCTGGCATGTGTTATTATCTGCATTGCAATTCGCAACTGGCTGCTAAGGCGAACGCAGTAAAAAATACGGACATGTTGTCCTGTATTTTTATCACGTTCGTTGCCCCCAAAATGGGCAGATGACGACGACATCGAAACGAAAACAAACCGGAGTTTTCGTCTGAGCTGAGGATGAGGCTAAATCTATGCAGGTTGTTCATGAATTCAGTGACATAGAAGTAAAAGGTGTGGGCCAACCTTTCTACTTTTTTACGCTATGGAATAAAGCCCGCTACAATTCGATAATGAGAACTTTAGATACGCATATTGGGCTGATAATGTGCTTGCATTCTGGTCTTAACATTTACCGCTACTACCCCGTGCTGCAATACCACTCACAGGACTACTTTCACTTCTCAACTACCCAGCCAAATTTGAAGCTGCCTGCACTTATGGACAAGGGGTGATGCATTAGCTTGGCGAAAACTTGAAAAGTCTGCGTATGAGAAAGCGTACCATTATGCGCCAAGAAGAAGAAAAAGCAGTACGGAATGAACATCGCCAGCTTCGCTTGAATATCGTCGGCTGCCGTCTCCAAGACGAACGCGAGTTGATGCAGCACGGAGAAACGCAATCGGCGATAGAGGAGCACCATGAATGCCGTCAGGAAGAATATCTTCACCGCAACGAACACGGCCATATTTGCATGTGATCGAGAGAAATCAAGCGGGGTTGCACTTGCCAGCGACGGATAGTACACGGCATTGGGCAGCTGGGCTAGTACAACTTGAAATATGCCGTACATGGCCGGAATAATGCACTTGACGTACTCAACGAGGAGGAAATACTCCACCATGGATAGCGTTTCCAGCCGCGATCTCGACAGAGACATCTTGCGCGGCTTGTTTTACCGGCTCGACTATCTGGCACTCAACAAGCTGAGGAGACTGGCACTCCGCAGCCTGGGGAATCGGGATGCCGAGATTATCGATGACCCAGAGCTAGACCGCTTTGCCAGCTTGAAGTTGGACGTACTTGCCGTCAATGCCATGGAGAGACGACGGCTTGTAGAAATGCTGACAGTGCTTGAGCGCCGACGACTAGATGCCCGAAACGACGAAGCAGAGTGAATGGTTGGGAGTCGCATGAATGAGCGAGATCTTAAGTTCGATGCCGCTCCTAACGGCAAAATAGCACGAAGTGAGTGCTGGGTGGGACCCAATTGAACGGTTTGGTTAGCGAGCAGCGATACTGAAGGGCGCCTCAACAGATAGCGTACGCTATCCATTGAACTGATCGAGTCAAACAACGACAGCCCTATTGTTTCCAACACTGTCACGTGTTGGCCCTGTAAACACGCAGACAGGTACAACACGTGGAACAGCTCCGTGCTGAACACCACCACTTCCGGCAACCGCGCTTTCCAGCGCTCCTCAACGCGCACGACTCCGTGTCCGCGGCGGAGAGCGTGCGCCATGATGAATCGCATTGCCACCTTCAGTAGGAACAGCACTCACAGAAAAGCAAGTTGCTCGATTCCGTGTAGCACTTGAAAAACTGCGCTGAAGGCCGGATGAACCAATACTATCACTGTCTCCACGCCTAATACACCCTTTAGGATTCGGACATGCGCCGACAATCGGGGCGTATTTGTGAATGTCCGCCTTCCAATAACCGCGGCAAATAAACCGAAGAAGACGACAGTGAATACAAATACACCTGTAGTGAGCACGCAAGCGAAGGGGATCGGGGATACCCAGGTGATACTAATGGCCATGAGCATGACGCAATACGCCGCGGATGTAGAAAGTGTAATGACTTACGCCTGTTTCCTTGAAACCTTGAGTGGTGCGAGGAAGACGACGCTCTGTTGTATGTAGCTGAGGGTGAGCACCATGAAGATGATCGTGGATCTGATGAACCATCGATAGTTGGCTCGCCACCCGGCTTGGGGGTTGTCGAGGAGTACCAGTTCTTGTAGCAGCACGAAGGCCATCACTGGTAGTGGGGTAATCGCACATACCGTTAAGACTCGAGCAATTGACACTGAATGGACGTAGCGTTCGAGTGCACGAGCGCGCCGTCCGGTGTAAGCTCCCTGGTGACAAACTTGCATCCGTTCCCAGGCAGAAATGAGCGTCCTGGGAATACATCGAGGTGGGTGTTCGAGCACGCTTCCCTTGACGCTTCCGGTTGCTTCGAGATCGCCTGGCGCTATTACCGGCATCGCTTACTTTTCCTTTAATGTCCACAGGAGTCGATAGGCGTATTCGTTACTTCAAATAGTGTTGTGGTGCGGGCAAATATAGGAGGAGACCGACCTGCCTCGACAACCTGTTCTTTTCGTAGACGTGTTCGCACCGTTCGGTGCTAAATGCATTATTTCTACTACAGGTAAGGATGAGCACTTAAGAACGAGTTGCCCACGGTTCTTCATTTTTTTAGTATCATTCACCCGCGTCTCTTTTCCAGCTGAACAAAACCTCATGATTGATCCAGCCAGGCGAACTGGAAGCTGTAATCCACACCTAAACTCGTATGCCCACAGCCCAGTGAGACTCTAATTTATTGATAAACAAGGAAAACCACGTACCATTGTGCTTGAGGAAGAAGAAAAAGCAATAGGGGATGAACATCGCCAGCTTGGCCTGAATGTCGTCAGCGGCCGTCTCCAATACGAACGCGAGCTGGTGCAGCACCGAGAAGTGCAACCGACGATACAGTTGCAGCGCGAAGGCCATCAGAGAAAAGATTTCAAGAGAAACGAACACCAGCACGTTGGTTTGCGGTTGATGAAGATCGAGTGGCGTAGCATTCGCCAGCGAGGGGTAATAGGCGGCGTTGGGCAACCCGGATACCACGAACTGAAAGACGCCGTACATGGCTGGGATGATGCACTTGACGTACTCGACAAGAAGAAAGTACTCGATCATGGACAGTGTCCGGAGGCGAGACACCTGAGCGGCGATTTCTTTTGTTGTGAGTTGCGGAAGCGGCTGAAGACTTGAGCAGTCAACGATCGCGAGATGGGGAGCAGCCGTTCGAGACGCAGATTCGTTTGAGCGCCTCGATGACCGAGAGCTCGAGCGCTTCGCCAGCTTCAAGAGTGAAGCGCTTGATGCAAAAGCCACGGAGAGACGGCGACTAGCAGAAAGACTGATGCTGCTTGTATGCCGACGACTGGAAATGTGCAGTGACGCTGAGGAGTTGATGGTTCGTAGTCTAGCGGATGAAGGGACTCTAGAGCCTAAAACAGGCACAATCACGCTGATGGAGTGCTGCGATGGACCCAATTTTTCACTCACTCGCGTGGAGGTAAGCATGACGGAAGGACGGCGCAGCAGGTAGTGCACACTGATCATCGACCCAATCGCGTCCAGCATCGCAAGTCCGATAGTCGCCCAGATCGTAACGTGGTCGCCCTGTAAGCAAGCCGTTAGATAAAGCACGTGGAACAATTCGGTGCTGAACACCACCACTTCAGGCAAACGCGCTCTCCATCGCTCCGCGACGTTCGCAATCCCTCTACCACGACGAAGAGCGATGGCCATGACGAAGCGCATGACTACCTTCAGCAGGAAAAGAACCAGCAGGAACGCGAGCTGCTGAGCCCCATGCAGCACCTGGAACGCAGCGTTGAAGGCCGGATAAACGACGACCAGAATCGTCTCCACCACCAACACACTCTTCAATATTCGCGCGTGCGCGGATAACCGCGGCGTGCTTGCGATTGCTTCCCACCCGATGACAGCCACGAAAAAGCCGAAGAAAAGGCAAGTGAAGATGCCCATGGTGAGTACACTTGCAAACGGGATTGGGAACACCCAGGCAGCGCTAATGCCCACGAGCACGCCAAAATACGCCCCCGTCGTGAAGAGCGTGATGGCTAACGCCTGCCACGACGAGACTTTGAGAGGGGCGAGGAAGATCACGCCTTGCTGGATGTAGCTGAGGGTGAGGACCATGAAAATGACAGCAGATCGAATAAGCCAGCGGTAGTTCGCTCTCCATCCAGCAGCGGGCGGCTCGAGCGGCACCAGCTCTTGCACCAGCACAAACGCAAGGACTGGCAACGGTGTCAACAAGCAAACGGCTAGTACACGCACGAGAGATTTCGAGTGCACGTAGCGTTCGAGTGCTCGCGCTCGCCGACTCGTATAAACGCCATGGCGACTGACTTGAACGCGTTCCCACGCGATCAACAGAGGATCGCACACCTTGCGGATAAACCGACATACTCTGCTAAAGGGATGGATCATGAACGTAAAATGCTGCGAATACACGAGTGGAGGATTTCAGTCTCCCTACCTCTCACACCTGAACTACGCGAACTCGCTTCAAATAGATATACCTGGTCATAGGAGACTTTAATTTGGCGAAGATAAATATGGCAAGGTGACGGATGTTCGCTTGCATTCGTTAGCGGTGCACCGGAGTCGAATTGTGCATATTTATCTAGTAGTAAAAGTGAACTTTGTTCGTGTATGAGATGAGTACACTCAACTTCATATATCTTAAACCAGATGCATCCAGACAAAACGGAAGCTGAAGTCCACGCCTGCAGCAGCAACAAAAATGCAATCAGAGAATTATCCCCCCCTCAAATCGTACGCACCGTTGTGTTCGAGGAAGAAGAAAAAGCAGCAGGGAATAATGATCATGAACTTTGCTTGGATGTCCGCGGCAGCCGTCTCGAGTACGAACGCGAGTTGGTGCATCACGGGGAACTGCAGTCGGCAGCGTAGTATTTTTCCGAACAGGAGCATCGATAGTGCCTGGAACACCACATAGACTGCGACGTTGCGTTGAGAATCTTGAAGCTGGCGGGGAGAAATATTTGCCAGTGACGGGTAGTAGACTGCATTTGGGAGTTGTGCCAGTACGCCCGTGTAAATTCCGATCATTAGAGGAACGATGCAGGAGACGTACTCAACCAGGATAAAGTACTCCGTCATTGAGAGTGTCTGGAACCGTGCGTCTTCATCGGTGGGTTCCTCCGTAAGACAATCTCGGATCGCCTCTTCTCAGTAAAATCTGTACGATGCGATGTAGCACAGGACGGAGAAGTCGATTGTCGAGATAACTTGGAGGAGGGCCACGATAACTTCGACAGCGAGCGTCGAGCCAACTTGATATTCGAGGCGGTTGTTACGATCCTGCTCGTTAGTTTGCTTGCTGTTTCAGACAGACCGGATGACATCGGTGGGAGCGCTGACGCTGGTGGACCTCTTACAGGCACAACCGCAGAAAGTGAGCGCCTCCCAGGCACGTCGCCTCGCTTCGGAGGACCCAAAATCAAAGTCATGGGTGGGCGGCGGATGATTCGATGCATACTAAACGCTGAGGTTAGCACATCGATCAACACGAGTGTAGTTGCTGTCCAAACCGGCCTTGCAGGCATGTCATGAGGTAGACCAGGTGGAAAAGTTCTGTCGAGCAGGCAACAAGTTCAGGTAAGCGCGATTGCAACCGCACTTTGTCCTCTGCATCTTTGCTGGAGCAGCAGGCGAGAACCATCAGGAAGCGCATCAGTTTTTCAGGAAATAAAGCAGAACTATGAACGCGAGTTGCCAACCCCCGTGAAGCACGCGGAACGCGGCACTGAAAGCCGGGTATATGAGGCACATGATCCCCTCGACGGCTGAACTGCATTGCGAATTTCGGCGTTTTCGCCAGCGTTTGGCTCCCAAACACCACGACAACGCAGACGACGAAGACAATGCCGAACACGCCTCCAGTGAGCTCAAACACAAAGGGCACGGGGAAGACCCAGACGTCCATGATCGCCAGAAGCACGATGAAATAGCAGCTCACGCAGATCCACGTGATGGCCAACGCCTGGCCGAGCGTGACGTTGAGCATTGTGAGGAAGCTCGACGCTTGCTGGAGACAGCTCAGCGTGAGCAGAACGAAGACGAAGACGTTGCGGAGGATCCAGCCCGAGTTGCGCCTCCAGCCGTCGCTCGGCGGGTTCAGCGGCAGCATCTCCGTGGTCACGACGAAACCCAACACGGGCACTGGAGTAAGCAGACAAACCGCCAGCACCCGAGTGAGAGACACCGTGTGGCAGTAGCGCTCCAGCGCGCGAGCCCGCCGCGCAGTGTACGCTCCTCGGTGGCTCACCTGCGTGCACTCCCAGGCTCCGTACTTCGCCATGCGCACGCGCACACGAAGCGCTGAAACTTGTTCGTCTTTGTCTCCCTAGGGTCCTCGATCGTCCACTTCAACGGATCGTCCACTTCAACTTCAACCTGACAATCCTCAGATTTCGCCTCCACCAATCACAGCGCGGGCTTGCACATCAACGCGACCAACACTCTTCCATTCTTCAATTCCGGGACGAACATGGGGGGCTCTGCTGCTCCTGCGGGCGACTGGGCGCTGTGGCAGATGGTGGACTCGCTGTACCCGACGGGGGGCTTCGCGCACTCGCTGGGGCTGGAGGCTGCGACGCAGGAGGGGCTCGTGTCCTCGTCCTCCTCCCTGCGCGACTTCCTGTCCGCGTCGCTGCACCAGAGCGCCAACTTCGCGCTGCCCATTGTCTTCTCCTCGCATCAGATCGGCGCGGAATCAGACCCCGCGGCGCTCGTGGAGGCCGCGCTGCAGCTCAACAGCCGCGCCACCGCGCTCTACTCGAACCACGTGGCGCGCAAGGCCTCGCTGGCCCAGGGCGCGGCGCTGCTGAGACTCGCGCTGTCCACGTACGCGCCGAGCCACCCGCGCGTGCAGACGCTGCTGAGCCTCCGCAAAGAGGCCAAGAAGCGCAAACAGCCGGGCGTGCACCACGCCGTGCTCTTCGGACTGGTCTGCGGCCTGCTGGGCGTGGAGGCCGAGCCCACGCAGCGCATGTACCTGTTCGTGACCACGCGCGACGTGCTGAGCGCGGCCACGCGACTCAATCTGGTGGGACCGATGGAGGCTGCCAAGCTGCAGTTCGAGGCCACGCCGTTGCTGGAGAAGGTGTTCCAGGAGAAGAAGAACCGCCCGGTAGAGCTGTCCTACTCGTCGGCACCCGTGCTGGACCTCGTCCAGGCGATGCACGACCAGCTCTACACGCGCATTTTCAACAGCTAGCAGTGCGTCGGAGGCGACCTGAAAAGGTGTGTGAGAGACGATAAGGGAGGGAAGGTAGAGCTGATGACGATGTGGCGTATCGTGCAACCTTGCAGCGGGGCTGGTGGGTGGAGACCCTTCTCTGTCAATATGAACCAAGATGCAGATTACACAGGTGTGTCTACGATTCTCCTCCAAGCGCTCTTTGATCTTGTTGTATGTATTGTGTATTGCTCGAAGAGTCGGTGGTGAGGTGAAGCGACGGATTCCCTATTTTGCATTTGATCCAGGAGGCGATGGAAGGCGAGCTTGGAGATGGCGGCGGCGTACCGCCCGATGTCGCTCAAGAGCTGAATGAAGAAGGGCACGAGGGCCAGGAAGTGGCTGAGCAGGAAGCTGAGCAGGAGGCACCGGACTACGCGACGCCGGAGCTTGTGCGACCGCTGGCGAACTGGGAGATTTCCAGGGACCACCTCGTATTCGCTGATATGTGCGGGCTTGACACAGGCAAGCGCCATATTCTGCACGTACTGGAGCCGCGACTTGAGGGAGAGCACGGCAGTGTTCTGCTCACCGCAGCAGGGAACACCGTCCAGCTACTCACTATGATGCCGCAAGTTGCACCCTCAGGCTCAAGTGTACAGTCGCGTCGCTATTTGTTCGGCTTCGGCGGTAGTGGCATCGGCAGCCTGGCGGTTCATCCATCGGGGGAGTTTTTTGCTGTGGGCGAGAAAGGGGTCAAGCCCAACATCTCGATTTACCGCTATCCGCAGATAACGGTGTCCCAGGTGCTACGAAATGGCACGGAACGCGCTTATGCTAGTGTGGAATTCAGCCAGGATGGCGAAACGCTGGCATCAGTGGGCAGTGCCCCAGATTTCTTGCTCACTGTATGGAATTGGCGGGAGGAGCAAACTGTGCTCCGATGCAAGGCGTTCGGGCAGGACGTGTTTAGTGTTCGGTTTGCGCCGACCGACAGCGGCTTTCTCGCGACCAGTGGCGTTGGGCACATCCGTCTCTGGAAAATGGCAGCCACTTTCACGGGGCTGAAGTTGCAAGGTGACATTGGCAAGTTTGGCAAAAGCGAGCTGAGCGACATCGAAGCTTTCTGTGTTCTCCCTGATAAGAAAGTGTTGAGTGGAACGGAGCGCGGTGTACTGCTGCTCTGGGACGGCAACTTCATCAAGTGCGAGATCTTGACATCACGTCGCCACCTTCCACACGCCGGTACGATTAATGTGGTAGATTTTGACGAAGCTGAGGGGCTTATCGTGACGGCGGGAAAAGATGGATTCGTGCGGTTTTGGAGTTTTAACTCGATCGACAGCGCAGACGTTGCGACCGACGAGACTGTTGCGCTCGTCCCCATGAGGCGCCAGATCCAGATCAAACCACAAATGGACATCCGCGCGGTGGTGAAAGAAGACAGTGGTCGCTATCTTCTGCAAGATGGCGTGGGTGGCGTTCATTTGTTGGTGCTTAAAAGCAATGACGAGCATCAAGTCGAGTTTGACTATGTTGCTAATGACACAGGTCGTGCAACGGGGATAGCCTGCTCACCGTACGAACACATTGCAGCAACTTGTGGAGAAGATGGGAGCGTTCGTGCGTGGGACTACGTTTCTGGGGCTTGTTTGATGACTGTGTTCCCGGAGCAATCATTCACCGACGAAAAAAACAATAGCAACGACCGAGCGAGTCTCGCACCAGCGTCCACGATCACATGGACACCAAACAGCGCTGCAGTCATCAATGATACCATAACGCAAAGTCGTCAAGTGGCTGTGGGGTTTGATGATGGTCTTGTGCGCGTTATGCTAATGGACATTGACCACCGTGCATGGGTGCGCATTAACATTTTCAAGCCCCATAGCAAACGCGTGACGTGCATGGCGTATTCACACTCGGGGTCGGCGTTCGTTACAGCTAGTGCCGATGGAACTTTCTTCCTCTTCCAAGTTGTGCCAAACATTAAATCGTCGAAGTTTTCTAAATACCCGTGTGAATACGAGCCTTACGGGTTCCAGCGTGTGCCTGCGGCGGTAATAGCAGTTTGCTGGCGCGGTGACGACGAAGCCATTCTTGCCACGCTAGCGAATGGCCAGGTATTGGAATTCTTCTTGCCGTCTGGCGAGCTATATGCGAAGACGACCGGCGACAAAGAGGACGCTGATTCGTTTGAGACTGCCCATGAGAGTGATGAACCTGCTCTTATCGCTGGGACCAAATCGGCTGAACGAGAGTCATATGAGCTTCATCTGTCTTCTCGTGAGTGGGCGCTGCGTCAGCGCAAGCGCTTCATGAGCGTAAAAGAGCTAGACACACTCGAAGCCCAGTACCCAAGCATCACCGCCCCACAGGTAGAAGACAAAATTCGCAACCAGTTCCAAGTAGAGATAAAACCTGGAAATCCAGGAAGCAAGGCTTTGGCAGCACTTTACACGGTGGTGCCCGAGAAAGACAAAGGCAAGCCTCTTAGCCGCGCAAGCAAAGATCGCATCTACCTGAGTTGCCAAGCGCCACTGGATGGAAATTTGTTCGTGGCTCAGCATGATTTGCCTACACCATTCCAAGAGCTTGCATCAGAAACCGGGGGCAACATTACATCACTGGAGCTGTCAACATCGGAAAAGTTCCTCTTGTGCGGCATGTCAAACGGGAAATTCCAGATTCGCAGCGCTCGCAGACCCCATGCCTTCCTAAGCGGTGAATTTCATGACTACGCTGCCTCGAGTGCCGACGGAAGACTCCATCTAGCGCTATCCTTCGACGACTCGTATGCAATTACTGTGGGGAGTGACGGCAATCTAAGTATTTGCCGAGTATACAGCGAAAAGGTCGAGGAAGCATCCGCGGTACTCTCGGGTAAGTTTGAGAGTATGATAGCTGAAGCTACTATTGCGCGCGACCAGGCTTTCGAGAAGCAGGAAGCTGTGGTGACTATGCAGCAGAAAGCTATGTCTGACGATAAAAGTGACGACGATCCGAGTAATAGTGGGGGAGGTGCTTCAAACACAGACCTTAGTGCCTTACCAGCCTTCCACGGAGCAAAGGCCTATGCAGCGTACATCGAGAACAAACTGTCACCCAGTGTCGCTGCTGCCATGGATAACGAAGAATTCCAGGGAGTGATCCGCTTTGTTAGCGATGCGAGGAGTACCGAAGGACTGCCAAACGTGACACCTCGTCATGGCGACAGCGCAGGTAAAACTGGAGTCCCCGGCGCAGGTTTGATTCAACTAGGGGTGGCAGATTTGGCGAACCCTAGGGAGGCGTACACAATCGAGGACGCAAAACTAAAGAGTGAAGCCGACGCCCGAGCTCGATCAACCTTAAGCAAACAAGACTCAACTCGTGCGGTGCTCAGCAAGATGCGAAAACAACTTCAGGAGCTCCAGGCACAAGACGCGGCTCTTCCATCTCAGAGTCGCGTAGACCCAGAAGAGTGGGAAATCGATTTGGACTACGGAGATCTGCTTACTAGACAGGGCGACGAAGCTTGCGATGAGGTGCGCAAGGAACTTGCGTTCGCCGTGGAGAAAGAGGAGCTATTGCTACTGAAGATGCGCGAAACTTACGTTGGTCCGTTGGCTGTAGAGTTGCTGACGCTGCGTGCTTTTGAGAGTGGTCTGAGCGTACAGTCCTTTCGTACGATGAAGATGCCCGTCACGTTACAAAAGCGACTGGCGGAGATACACATCGCCGACGCAGCAAAGAAGCAGGCATCGGTTGGGTTGAAGCCCGCAGGTTCGACGAGGCGTCCGTCGGTGCTGGATATCATGGAGAAGGACACACCGCTAGATGAGGCGTTCCCGTTAAAAGAGGACGAGCGCCGCATGATAATGAGCTATCATGAACCTGCTGTTGATGGTACTCATGGTGGTGCAGGTTGGTCTCCTGCAGCACAGGAGAGCGGGGGCTCGAAGTCAGTTCACGGTTTTGAAGCACGAAAACGGCTTCGCACCGAGAGGAAAGAACGACTCGCGCGCTGGCGGAGTAATAAACCTGGCGAGGATGCTGATGATCCGCGTGATGTTGTCGCCATCGCGTTCGCCCAACGCAACATGGGAGACTACAAGCTGAAAACTGCTGCTGATTACGTCGTTCCTGAACACCAGCGCGTCAATGCGGTGAAGAAGCTGAGACAGATGGCGCTGCTGGAGGAGAGCTTGTACTCAGCACGGCTGCGCTTCAACGCTAAGGTGCTCGAGCTTCGAGAACTAAAGGTGCAGCTGATTAACGAACTACGCCACGACCAGGAACGACTGGTCAAGCTCCGTGCTACATTGGCTGCAGGAGATGATGGTAGCTCTGCACAACCTCCTCCGCCACCCAGTGGTCTCAGCATCGATCTTCGCGAGTGGCCGGAGCAGCGCGAGCGCGTGAGTGATGGCGATATTGAACTATTCCTGAAGGAGAAGAAGGTGATATCGCACTCCCAGACCCAGTCCGCAGACGCTAACGTGTCCATGACACGTCTAAGTGGAGCTGAAAACCCCCACCAAACGTCGGATCGGTCCATTGCAGCAGTCGCACGAGCGCTTGAAGGACCGAACTCGACTTTGACTGCTGGGAATGAGGTGTTGACTGGACTTACCATCGGCCACTTGCACCTGCAGATGGAGGACGGCGCTGCAGTGGCTTCCGCTGCTACTGTATCAGCTCCGGCGACAGGATCCCAGGCGCTTGGCTCGAATGGAGGCAACTTTGACGAAGACGACGTGTCTGTGCGTGAATACTTGATGCGACAGGAAGCCCTCTTACTGGAACGCAAGCAGCGTCGAGAGATAGTTGCGTTCGACGCGGCTGTTGCCCACCTACGGCGCGAAAAGCTGGCACTTGAAGTCGGCTTCAAGCAAGCAGAGCTGCGGTTGTTTACGCTTTTCAGCGAACTATCGTTGCTGGAATCGTTCGAAAGCAAGGAGAACCTGTTGAGCAGCAAGTTGGAAAAGAGCAAGAGTGAGAAGGCGCAGATTGTGGCGGAGCTGCGAGATGTGCAGGAGTTGTTGGCAAGCAAAAAGCGCGAGCTCGACGAGTGGTCGCGGCAAGAACGAGCCGTGCAGGGGGAGTTCCTTACGCTGGTAAATGGCGGTACGGGGTCTAGTACTACGCCACACCCAAGCTTCTCAGCGCTGCAAAAGCTGTTTAAACGCAAGATCAAGCGAGCCAAGAAAAAACCTACAGCTTCGGGAAAAGATGATGGGAAGGATGGCAATGGGCAGTCGCCCGAGAGCGCGCGCGATGGCGAGGAGCAAGAAGAGGAAGAAGAAGAGGAGGAAGACGAGGACGAGGACTACGATGAGGACGACGACGATGACGACGAAGAGGAAGAAGATACATGCCCACCTGGGTGCGACTTGACACTATACGAGAAGGTGCTCGCGCTGCGCGAGAAGCGCGCAGACGTAGATGACGCGGTGGGGGAGCTCAACAAGGCCATCGAGGAACTACGAAAGGCCGGTGAGCGCCAGGCCGCCAAGCAACGCGCCATTGACAAGGAATTGGCGGCGACAGAGCAAGATACCCAGCAGTTCCAGAGCGAAAAACAGTCGCGGTTCAACCAGTTAGACGTTGTTGTGGCGCTCAGCACCAGACAATTACGGTGCTTGGAATCCCCTTCACCGAACCAGCTAAACTGGCTGCTCCCCGCTCAAGCCGCGGGTTGCCTTGTGTTTACGACACAAGCCTTCGCCGCGCTGACCGAGCGCATCGAGTCTTTGCAGGCCGAGAACAAGCAGCTCCGCCAGCAGTTCCGCGATCTCCATAAGCAGCAGAGCGTGCTAGCTCGAGAGAAGCGCCTGCAGCAAGAAACCATCGCACGATCGCAGGAACGGAGTGAGCAGCTGCAGCGACTGAAGTTCGGGCAGCTCGTAGATCTGGAAGTGCTGGATCGGGCCTGTGACGCATCGGCAGTGGATGAGCTGCAGGCCCGCGTGAAGTTGCGCGAGGTGGAAGGCGAGCGTACGCTGCGCCGCGTCAAGCAGATGCACCCGCAGCTCCAGCACGCAATCCTGCAGGCAACCGAGCAGAACACAGCGCTGCTAGCGCAAATCGCAGCTCTGACCGAGCGCCAGGCTGAGCTGGAGCGCGAGCTCAATCGCAGCCAGGGCAGTGGCAGCGGCAGTGGGGGCGACGGCAGCGGGTTGCTGAGCCTGGAGGACGACGCGGCTCTCGCCGAGCGCGAGATGAAGGAGCGCAACAAGCTCGTGCGGCTAGTCAAGCTGCAGGCGAGGGAGGTGGAGGCGCTCAAGCAGGAGATCGGGCTGCTGCGCGGCAAGGACGGCAAGGTGTACGCGCCCCGGGTCTGACGTGCTGGTGTTAACAGGAACTTCAACTCCTTGTTGAAGTGCAAAATCAAGGCTTCTCATTGGTCTCTTTACCAACCCTCTATTACGTGCCCAATTGCAGTTTTTGCTTTGCTTATACATCCTTGTTAGGAGTGCGACGTTCGATAGAAAAGCGGCCGCCAGGTTTCTCACTTTTGACTTTTCAAGGCAACAGACAGAGCCCAAGACCAAGTCCAGGAGCAGCGCGACCGAGCGGCGTGGATGCCGCGCCGGACCTGAAGAAGCCACGAGGCACGCAGACGAGAAATCAACGCGCAAGATGGCCACGCGCGCCAAGAAGCGCCAGCGCGCGCACCAACGTCAAAAGCCCGGGGCCTTGTGGGCGCTGGAGGAGGAGGAGGACCACCTGCTGCACATGGACCCGAGTCTCATGACGGAGCGGCAGCAGCTCGCGTTCCTGCTGCGCACCACGGCGCACGAGGCGTCGGACGCGTCGCACTCGAGCGACGAGAGCTCCGAGGACGAGGTCGTGGCGTCCCCGCGCCGTCTCAAGAAGCCTCGACGGATACAGCGAGTCAGTAGCATGGAGGAGCACGCAGCAGCGACGCCTGTCCATCGAGGGCGCGGACGCCCACCCAAGCACAAGAAAAGCCCTCGATCCGCTGCGATGATGACGAAGCTGTGCGTGTCGACGCAGAAGTCCTCGCAGCAGGACTTGACGCAGCTGCAGGACAAGTCGAGTCCGTCCAGCTCGGACGACTTGGCACATCTGGACGCGGCGCGCTCATTCGCTGCCGCAAGGACGCCGCGCTGCGCACTGTGCTGCGACTACGACACGGCGTACGAGGCGTCGTTCTCGGACGCGCTATTCCTGTGCCCCGCGTGCGACCAGAAGTACCCGACCCAGCAGGCCCTCGGCCGCCGCGCGTGCGTGACCTAGGCGCCGCAGGACCAAGCGGCGATGATGGAGATGAAACTGAGAGAGAGCGCCAGATGAAGCCACGGGGAGAACACGCGAGCCCCCGACCGACAGCGCCGCCGCTGCCCGCCCCAGTTGATATTTATTTGTTTATTTCTTTTTCCAGTGTCGTTGAGGAGAGCGGCTACGGCGAAAGGAGAACCAGACCACAACCGTATAACAATGCACAACATGACAAGACATGATACTTATACCCGCTGCTTTGAGCCCTAGCAACCAGCGCTGGTGGTACGGAGTCTGCAGCACCTCTGTCGCTGCCGGCACATCGGCCAAAGATGCACAGTGCGGTGCGGCGCTTCACGCTCAATTGCCCATCTCCCTCGCCCCGACTATGTGGCCTCTATTTTTAGCCCAATCAGCGACCTTGGCCTCCTCAGAGTTTTATTCCACGTTGCTTCCGGAGCTTGAGCCGAGGTGCCGCTGCTGCAGCCATGGCGCCCTCGTTCCCACCGGGGAAGCCCCCGTCGTACTCCAAGCTGGGCCACGAGGTGCGTGCTGCCACCTGCCTATATGTTGGGTTGTATTGTGTATTGACCGCTGCTGCTGCTGCTGTAGCCCGATGACCACGCGGATGACGACTACGTGGCCGAGCAGCGGCGCGCCCAGCAGGTTGAGCGGCAGAAGCAGGACGAGAGTCTGGACGAGCTGCACTCGGCCGTCAAGCGGCTAGGAGACATGAGTCTCAATATCAGCACGGAGCTGGACACGCAGAACAAGTGAGCGACAAGAGAAGAGGAGGAGGAGAAGGCGAAGGAGAAGAAGACTGACTATTATGTTCCTTCTTGTTACTTCTGCTGCTGCTGCTGAACAGGATGCTGGACGACCTGAACGACGACACAGACAAGGCCAAGCAGGCGCTGGAGGCCGTGACAAAACAGACGCAGGAGCTGATCAAGCAGTCGGGCGGCATGAAGAACTTCATCGTTATTATTGTGCTGGTGCTCATCCTGCTGCTGCTGACGTACTTGGTGATCATGACATGAGGCCGGCCGGCCGGCAGTCACTTGCGAGAGAGTTGGGGTAATATATTTGACGCTGCGAGACGCCATGAATTGTTTTGCACCGGATGCTGGAGGACAGTGGAGGACAAAGTCGGCGTCCTCCGGAGCAGCAGGCAGGCAGACTGGCAGGCAGGTGTAGGAAGACGACAGGGGATGAAGGATTTACAGGCATCCATTCAATCATATCGAATCCATACAGACAGCTATAGACAAGACAGACACGCCGAGGCCGCGCTCTTCCATCGTCCATGTGCCGCCGTCCTCCTTCTTCCAGTCACTCGAAAGACTTTACAACCTCCATCCAGCACCTGCACTTGGCGCTTGCTCCCCGCCCCGCACTTCCTTTCCCCCTTCCCAGTGCTCCCTTTAATGATCCATCCCGTCCCTCTCTTCTCCTTCTCCCTTCTTCTCGCCGTCGGCTATGTCATACACACTCGGCCGAGCGCCTGCTGCGTCGGGTACTTCTGATCGCACGCCGGGCACAGGAACAGCGGCGCGTCGCAGAACGGCTCCAGGTCGCCGCACAGCGCGCAGAAGGCCGAGCCGCCGAGCATGGCCACGTCGCTGGCGCTGGAGGGGCTCGTCTTGTCCTGCTTGAGCGCGGCCTCGCGCTCCGCCTTGACGCTGCGCATCTTCTCGGCCTTTAAACTGGCGGCCACCGCCGCCGCCACCGCCGCGTCCGCCGACCGGGTATTATGGCTCCGCGGGGACATCCTGACTGGCGGCCGCGCCTGGTGCAGCGCGTGGCTGCGCGCGTGCGGGGGCAGCTTGATAGAGTTCTTGGGCGGTCTGCCGCGACCGCAATAAATCACGGGAGCGTCCCCTGTCCTGGGCGACGTCTTCCCTGTCGTGCTGCCACTACTTGCACCTGCGTAGTGAGTACCATAAAATGCAACAGCAACAAAAGCAACAAAAAAAATAACGGCCGGTTAGCACTAGCTTAAAACCAGGTTAGAGATGGATAGAGAGAAAGAAAAGATTCCTTGTCTTACGGGTGGCGCGCGACTTGCTGCGCTTGGCTGGACGTCGTCGACGTGGTGGTTCGTCCTCCTCATCGTCGTCGCTGGAGGAGCTGGAGCCGCTGGAGCTGCCGGACGCGTCCGACGGCGCCGTGGCGCGCAGCAGGAAGGCCAGCTGCTGCCGCTCCGTCATGACGCGCGGGTCCAGCGAGTCTTCGGCCGCGGCGGCGCGGCGCGGGCGCTTGCCGGCGAGCATGGGGCGTCAGGAGGGCGGAGGTGTTAACGCGAGGTTAGGTGGTGCTAACCGGGGCCGATGCACCTCAATGCTCGGCGATGTCGCTCGGTGGACGCCAGCGCTGCTACTGCTGGAGGCACTCGCTCGGCTCGGAACTGCCTGCTGTATGGCCGTTGGCCGAGAGCGTAGCCCAGCGCGCTTATTGGTGCGAAAATCTGCGAAACGAAGAAGGGCTAAAGAAGACGCGCAAGTGCCACTGTGTCTCGGCTAAGTGCGAGCTGAACCGATACAATCCAGCAGTGTGATTTTCCCTCGCGCACTGCAACGTCGGCGCCGATTCGCGATTGCCACGCTGTTGCCGTCGCGAAGGACGTTTGTTTGGCTTGCACCTCGTTGCCATCGACGGGGGAAGGTCGCACCTTGCAACTACTGTTAGTTGCCGTTGCCGTGCGGCATTTATTAATACCATGTTGCCGTCTTTAGGGGTTCGGCTGATTCCGCCGAGATACGGCTCATTACGCTCGAGAAGACTCTGCGATCGGTCCAAGCAGAAGCAACACACAGGGGATAAGAAGTTTCGAGCGAGGCTTTGGTTGGGCGATGATTGGGTGCACTGCAACGCATAGAGTGTGTGTTGCGCTCTTCAAGCACCAACGTTTCTCGATCGAGTTTGAGGTCCAGCGAGAAAATGATAAACACATCGAGCACTAACTTCGTTCATTTGTCCGGAGAGCACGCTTCTCGCAAGTGATTCCGTGCGGTAGCGCTGAAGTGAGAAATGCCTGCCTCCCATGCAGCACAGCATCAAGTCCCGTTCCTCCACATCGACCGCTGATACCATGCCACTGTAGTCAACACCAAAACAATCTGCTTGCAACATCCTGCCATCCTTCAACACCAGCAGGCAACAACCGATCTATCTATTTGAAGCGCCCTGCAGCCGCCAGCATGGCCTCAAGGAACGACGTTCCTCCTCTCCGCATGCCGTCTCCACAGCACACGCTACCTTGAAGTGATCTCCTCCCTCATTGGCCGAAACCCCGCACCCATTTTCACCAATCGCAGATCCTGACGAGTCGCCATTTGGCTTCATCGCCATCGCCGGATCCGCCCCCCCCTGGTCTCAGCATGGACGTGTCCGCGCCGGAGGCCGCCGCTGCGTCCGCGCGGCCGCGCGCGCAGTCGCGCCCCAGCCAGCAGAACAAGAAACCGCCGCACGACGCAAAGCCGCAGTCCGCGCCCTCGCAGCGCAAGCAGAAGCCGCAGAACGCGCGTCCAAAGGCGGCGCCCAAGGCCGACGCTTCTTCATCTACCGCCTCCTCCGCCGCCGCCGCTGCTGTGGGCGACTACCGAGACGCGCCGTGGTTCCAGGCGGGAGAGGGCGACCTGGTGTTCGCCCAGTGGCTGCTGGGCCGCTGCAATGGCGTGGGGGACGCCGTCACGCCGCAGTCGCCCGAGGCCACGCAGCGCATGTTCGCGCTGTTTAAAACCCAGCGGCGGCTGCGTCGGGAGCTGGCGCTGGGCTCCAAGCGGGAGGTCGCAGGCGGCGATGACGACGAAGACGATGAGGAGGAAGGTGGAGAGGAGGAAGACCAAGAGGCGGAGACGCTGCGCGAGGCCGAGCCGCTGTGGCCCGTGCAGCAGATCGTGGAGCAGGTCGGGGACGTGCTGCGGCCGGCCAGGCTGGCGCTGCAGAGGCAGCAGAGAGAGGCGGAGAGGACCAATTCCAAGGCGGAGGGTGCCCTCGAGAGGATCGTCGTGGCCGAGGTGGTGGACAACGCCACGGAGCTCATCCTGAGCCGGGCTACGGCGGAGCACGAGCAGCTGCTGAAGCGCTGGGTCGAGATCCTGAGGGAGGAGGAGAACAAGGGACCCGAAGTCAGCCCCGAGGTGGAAGCAGTAGCAGCTGAAGAAGACGGAGATGAAGACGCGGCTGCCGCGCAGAAGAGCAAGAAGAAGGAGAAGAAGGAGAAGAAGAAGTCCAAAGCCGCGGAGGACACGGCGTGTGAGCAGGTGCAGTCCTTCCTGATGTTCTTGACGGAGTCGGCGCAAACGCAGAAGCAGGCGGGGGAGGCTCCAGTGACTGCCACTGCGGCGCTCTCTGATGCGGAGAAGACGTGGACGACGGAGCTGCAGCGGATTGTGGAGCTCTCGAGTATTGAGCCGGAGGAGGAGGCGCGGCGTCTCCGAGTGGCGCGCGATATCCAGACCGTTCTCCGGCGCGAGGTGAGCAAGTGGCGACATTGCGAAGTGATTCTGTTCGGCAGCTCCTTGACGCACTACGGCTCGCGGAACTCGGACCTGGATATGTGTCTGCTCCCCACCGGGCGCAGCGTCGGGGCCCAGCCGAAAGAAGTGATGGGCAAGCGCCAGCTTCAGCAGTTAATTGACGGAAAAGCTGGCGATAACGGCCATGCGCCGACTACCGACGCGGAAGTTGCTGAACAGTTGAGGGATTTACGCGCACAGGTGCAGAAGAGTATTGAGAAGCTTACCCAAGCGCTCAACACGTTGGATCGATCCGGAAAGAACGGTGATAAGCACGTTAAGCAGCGGCGTCAGCTGGAGTTCTTTGACACGCAGATGCGGCTGCTGCGGAACGCTATCATGGCGGAGCTCACGAAGCTGGTTGGACTCGTAGAGCCCCAGAATGGATCCAATGGAAAGTCCGCACACCTGAAGACCATTATTGCTGCCAGCAGGCGCCGAAGTGACGACCTCTACCTGCTTCGCGCTATTCTTCAGCGCGCAGCAAAGTGCGAGGTACGACATGTGATTGCTGGCGCCCGCGTTCCTATCATTCGCTTTCTGCACACCCGCAGCGGCCGTGAGTATGAGTGCGACTTGTGCTTCGAAAACGTGCTGGCAACCCGCAACACCCCGCTTCTGCGCGCGTACGCGTCCTTCGACGACCGGGCGCGAGCGCTGGGCCTCGCTGTGAAGCACTGGGCCAAGCAGCGCAGCATCAGCGATGCTTCTATGGGGTTCCTGAGCTCGTACTCTTTCGTGCTGCTAAGCATTTATTACTTGCAGGTGGTCCATGTGCTTCCAAACCTGCAGGATCCTCGGCTGTTAGAGACTGCACAAATCCGACCGGACTACTACAACGACATCAACATCGCTTTCTGCGAAGATCGCGGGATCGCTCGAGCCTTCCATCAACCGACTTCTGGAGTTGATGCATCGGGTTTGTCGCTGACGACGTTACTGGCTGGGTTCTTTGAGTTTTACGCCACACAGTTCGACTTCGCGAAACGCGTCATAACTGTGCGATCCCCAGAGAAGCCTGCACTCAAAGTCGCGCAGTGGGGTACCCGCAAAGCCAAGACGTGGCGCATGAGTATCCAGGACCCATTGGAGACTGGACGCGATTTGGGCTGCGTGCTGCAGTTCAAGGGCCAGGAAAAGATCATCCGTGAGTTGCGTCGTGCGCATGAGATGCTAGCACGAGGTGAGAGCTTTTCCGACGATGTCTGCGCTGTTGATAAACCTGCTGGTAAAGCTGGAAAGGCCAATGGGAAGGCGAAGCAGGGGGCTGGAAACGAATCGTTAAAGTCCTCTAAGCAAGCGAACGGAGACGCCACCGCGGCAGGCGCGGAATCTTGTGTGCCGAAGCAGCAGCAGCAGTCGGAGAAGATGAAGCGGTCGTATGTGGTGACAATGCAAAGCGCCGACGAAGAGCTGACGAAGGAAGTGATTGAGACGTTCTTCAAGGACTTCCACAGGTCATTTCGCGTTGGGAAAGTGGTCGAGGTATCGACCTCGAAGACTGCAGCTGATGGTGAAGACGAGTCTGCAAACAAGAACAAGCGCTGGGAGGTGGAGCTACTGAGCCAGGCTCAAAACTGCCCTCGAACGCTGTCTCTCAGAACTCGTATTGACTGGAAGGCTGCGGATGGACGTGTGGGTCGTGTGTGGCTTCATCACCAGGCTTTATTCGCGACGCCGCCGTGCCAGAAGTGCCTGTCACCCGAACACGCGACTGGCAAGTGCCCGCCTGAAGACGTTGCACAAGAGGATGGCGAGGAAGGCGCGGGTGAGACTCATGTCGACCTCAAGATACCGCAGAAAAACATTCGTCGCCATGTCCTCCGGTTGACGCTGGGCGGGGGTCACTCTGCTGCAGCTACGAAGAAGAACGACCACCGTAAGAGCCAACAGCAGCGTGGACCTCCGCAGAACTCTCATCAGCATGACACTAAAGCCAACCCCAAGCGCATTAACAACGGAAAACAGGCTGCTGGTAAGAGGGAGCCTCGTGGGAACAAGAAGACGGAGGTGGAGCGAGTGAACATGCGCAGCGTAGAGGTCGTGGAGGTCGTGTCGTCTTCATCGACTCCCCGAATTGAAGGTGAAGGTGCCAACTCGAGCAAGACGCCTCAAAGGAAGAAGAGGTGGCAGCAGCGAGTCCACCGCAAGCGAGGCGGGTCCAAGAGCGAAAGCAACAACGCTGCAGCAGACTGAAGTCGCCGTTGAGTGAGTGAGTGAGTGAGTGAGCTAGAACCGGACCTTGTAGTCGAAGTTAGTGCTACGGCCGATCGTCGTAGAGGATGTTTGATATTACGTGTACGGACAATGAACATGAACCAAGTGGACGAACGCAGTACAAACGCCAAACAAAACTCAACGTTGAGGCCGTCATAGAGACCCTCTGCTTTGAAGAGATCCAGGGCATGGCAAGTGTTGCCGCCGTAGTCAGCGCCTATAAGCGCGCTGCATGGTTCAAAGAGAGTGGGGGCGACTTACGCTTCGCCGTGTGGCTCTTGAGCATGTGTGGCAAGGCAGACGCTGGAATCTGCCAAGGCGACGTACCGAGTGCACACGCTGGATCGGACGTACCAACGCCTACGACGTGAACTCCAGCCTACCGTGACGTCCGTGCACGAGTTGTGGACTGTTGAGGAGATTGTGAAGGACACGTACAGGTCGATCCGGTTCCTGCAGGATAAATCCACAAAGCAGAGAGATCGAGCCGCCCGCAAGCGGAAACGAGCGAGCGCCCTCATCCAGCGGATTCTGCTCGGCCAGATCGTGAGGGAAGCAACCAAGCTGCTGCTTCATCGCGCTACCAGCGCGCACGAGCCGCTTCTGAGACGTTGGCTGAAAGTCCTGAACGGGGAACAGGCCGAAGAGTATGGCGTGCTGGTCTACCAGACCATATCGGGAGAAACGAAGGAGCACCCGCTTTTGCCAGCTCACACGGCGAAACCACGAAGCGAACTGGCGTGGCTAAAGAACCCTAGGGGCAATTTCTACAATGACAACCAGGTCCTGGACGATGTCACGTGCTTCTTGTCCCTGTTATCGGATTCGAGTCTGCTTAGACCCCTGGCGCAGGCCTCGGCGGCAACGAACGTGGCAGATCTCTGGATGTTCGAGCTCCAGCGGTTCTTGCAGCTTGACTTGGAGGATGAGGAAGCGCGACGTCAGTTGGTAGCACGGGAGATTCAAAGTGTGTTTCGGGCCAATGTGGAGAAATGGGAGAACTGCGACGTCGTGGTGTTCGGTAGCTCGTTTTCGCGTTATGGTTTGCAAGACTCGGATCTCGACTTGAGTCTCTTTCCTGCTGGCCGCGATGTCGAAGACAATGACTCGACACCACGCTTAGGAGTCGTCGGTACGGACGTGGTAGATTGGGAAGACCCGGCGACGAACGCCGAAAGGGTGGAGCAACTGCAGGAATTGCGCGCGCGCGTATTTCAGCAGATCCAGAACCGGGCTGAAAGGTTTCAGGAAATGGCGGACTCTGGCAAATACGCAGCACCTCATCGCGTTGGCGAGTGGCGCAGAATGGAGTTTCTGGGCAACGAGCTGCGAGTTTTGTACAACGGAATCATGACAGAGCTGTCTGCCTTATATGTGCAAACAGACCCACAGTACAGCGAGGCAGAAGCAGTTGTAGCCACTAGAGAGCTCGTCATCGATGACCTTGATCTCGTCGGAGCTATTCTCCAAGGCTCTAGTAGCTGCGACGTCCGCGAGGTCGTGCATGGAGCACGAGTGCCGATTGTCCGCTTCGTCCACAAATTGAATGATAGAGAATACGACTGTGATCTGTCGATCAACAACCGCTTGGCCACTCGCAGCACGTTGCTCCTCCGCGCGTACGCAACCTTCGATGACAGCGCGCGGGTGCTGGGCCTTGTCGTCAAGCATTGGGCCAAGCACCGCTCGATCGTCGGGACGATTAACGGGTTCCTCAGTTCGTATTCGATCGTGCTGCTCACGATCTACTACCTGCAGCTCGTGGGTGTTCTACCAAATCTGCAAGACCCAGAGCTTCTGGAGTTCGCTCGAGTCCCCCCAGATTACTATGGAGGGACGAACATTGCCTTTTGCACGGCTGTCGACACTGCGCGGGACTTCTTCGAGCAAGCTTCTGCTGGGTCGGGCGCGTCCGAGATGCCGCTGACCACGCTGTTCGTTGGGTTCTTTGAGTTGTACGCCGTGCACTTTGACTACACGAATCGTGTGGTGGCTGTGCGATCTTCAAATACGCCTACGCCAAAGAGTGTCTTATGGGGAGCCGACCACGCGGAATCGACGTTCCTGAGTATCCAAGATCCGCTTCAGACATCCCGCGATTTGGGAGGCGTTCTCCATGGACACCAGCTCGAGAAAACGCTAATCAAGTTTCGGCGCGCCCACGAGATGCTGAAGCAGGGCCACAGCTTGGAAGAGCTCTACAACCACCCAAGTTGAAGTGGTGGGTTTTCATCTCTTGTTTTGCAATTCGGTCACGTGTTTGCCAATAATCAGTCGGGACTTGTGAAAGTTAGAATTGATACGTCAGATCTGGAAGACACGACTACTGTACTACTACTCCTCTCAAAGTGCTCGTGCGTCTTCTGTTTCGTGTCGTGTTCTGCCAGCTCGGGAGGATAGTCCCCGTGCTAAGCTAGACGAAGACAAATGAGACGGTTTCAAACGAAATGATGCTTAGGCGCCATTTGGAGTTTTCGAGATAATCGCGTTTGAAGTTGACCAATCAATTTTCGGAAATAACAGGACATCAAATTTTTGAAAGTAAAAGCACTCGTAAAAAGCGTAAAAGCACTCTTATTCGATTGGTTTTAGCGCGAGCTGTCCGATAATATACAATATGTTGCAATTGGAAAAATATTGAGGTTACACGCCCCAAATAAAATCGGGAATTAAGGGGGTCCGAAAATGGAGATAATTATTCTAGGCCGATGGTACTCCTCGAGTTCTTAACATTTTGGGGCGTTTAATAGTTTAAACGAAGCACAAGACACGCCGCTTTCGATTGATGCGGTTAAATCGCGATTCGTACTTAGGTTCGTAAGCATCATTTCGTTTGAAACCGTCTCAAATGGTAGGTGTACGAATCGCTACTGGTTTGCGGGCTTTGGCCCGCGGTGTTCGCAGTTCGGTCTTTTTTTACTGTATTCCAAAACCTGCACAGTAGAAAACTTTATTTACTACTAGTAGTACTATGTAGTAATAGCGCTATGCTTGCCGCAGGAGAGAGTTGCGTGAAGACGTTCTTGAATTTTAGCGCTTGCTCTTATTTTTGTACTGAAATATCATGCGTCCATTTGCTGGATGGCTTACGCTGCTCAATCTGCCGTGGCGGATCTACGTGAACTCACACTATTGGGCTGCTACCGCGGGAGTCCCCGTATGCGGCGCTGCAGCAGTGCGCGGCGACGGGCGTAGTCAGCCGTCATAACCGCAAATTTCATTTCATTGCATGAACTCACACTAGCGTTACTGCCATTCATGGTACATACTGCACAGCTTCAAGCTGCCAGACTGAGCTTCGGTTCATATTGAATATATAATGTGTTTATTTTCTGGGGTTATTCGGTGTATATGTCCAAATTTGACGCCTGCAACTTGATTTTGTAGAATTGCTATACTGATTTCAATGCCGTTTAGGTGTCCTCACTTCAAAGTCGACTCTCAACAAACAGTCTGCACCCACGACCATTAATCAATAGCGATAATTTTGTTTTACTCAACGACGGTTTATAGTTGCTGCTGCTGTGGCGTCCGACATGTACATACAGATATCGTATCTTAGAAATGACAGCCACATGCCTAAACTAACTTAGCCGATACGACGGCGACCTACCTATTGCTCGCTTGCTGCCCCGATTCGGTCGATTCCTCACAAATTGCATTGACTGACTGATCACCCCTCTTTATTATTGCTGCTGCCTGGTTAGCTTGTCGCCGAAAGCATGCTTTGAGCTGTAATAATGAATCGGAGTTTGCGCTGCTGTGCTGTAATACAATTGCTGTACAACTGTCATTGCTGTTGTTTCAAATAGCTCTTTAACCGATAATGCAACATAAAACCTTATGTTGCATTATCTCAAACACCCGCAAACGACAGTTCTTACGAACTGCGGACATGCATACTGAAGTTGGGGGTCTCTCCGAGGATCAAGCAGATACCGACCTACTGCCCGAACGTTTTGGCGGCCGCTGGGTAATGGAGAGTAAGACCCACGGTTCTGCTTTATGGTGTTCCGTTTGCTAGCCGAAAGCACACGGATGCAGTCCAGCAAAGCTCTCATCAGCAATCTGGAACGTTCTAATTCTTATGTTTAGAACCGTCCAAATTCTAATTTCCTGATTAGCAAACTCCTGACCGAATTGCAAATTCTAAATAAAGAGTCTGACCCAATTGCAATTTTAATTAGGGGAAATTGCAATTTGGTCAGGAGCAAAAATGGGAACCAGATATTGTTTTAACAATAAAGGTTTTAAAAACCCTTTAATCATTATTTCCCAAATTTTGCAAATCAAAATATTTGGTAATTGGCCTCCGTCCAACAGGATGTCTGCCGCCGACTTCATGGACTTGTCTGCTGCCGATATCATGGACTACTCCGATGCGGCTTGGTACGATGTGGGTGGCGAGTCTGACATGATCTTCGCCCAGTGGCTGCTGGACCGCTGCGCCGACTTGTCCGACGTGGCGACGCCGGAGAGCCTCGAGGCGTGCGAGCGAGTGCTTCCGTGGTTCAGGATCCGCCAGCGCCTGCGCGTGGAGCTGGGGCTCACCTGCTCGGAGACTGACGCAGATGAGCCCATTAGGCAACCATCGTGGAGTGTGAGTGCAATAGTGCAGGAGGTGGGGGGCGATCTCCGGAGATTGCGTCGCGAACTCGCCAATTCCAGTTCGCAGAGTGGGGGGATTTTGGAGAAAGCGGCTGTGGCCGAAGTGGTGGAGACGGCCACGGAGCTGCTCATCAGTCGGGCGGCTGGAGAGGACGAAATGGAGTTGTACGAGTGGACGGAGGTACTGGAGGGCGAGTGGCTCTGGAAGGACAAAGCCAGAGATGCGGCAGTAGCCGCGTGCGGGCAGGTGATGGCCTTCGTGAAGCTGTTGCTTGAAGCTCCTAGTGGTGATGATCACCAGGTTATCAATGTGCCGACGATTGCTTCCGATACGGAGTGGTTGTGGTCTTTGGAGCTGCAGCAGATTCCGAAGATGAACACTGAGGAAGCGAACCGTCGAAGGGTTGCGAAGGACATCGAGTCCATGGTCCGCCGCAAGTGGCCGCGGTGCAAGCTGGAGGTCTTCGGCAGTTCCTTGTCGCTATATGGATCGCTGGGCTCGGATCTGGACATGAGTATGCTAACAAAAGGACCGTGTCGTGGAAGCAGGTTGCCAGATGAGATGCTGGGGTTTTATTATCTCAAACGACTCGTGGACAGAAAGGTTTGGGATGAGGAGGAGGTGAAAACAGACCTAGGTGCACGTGTCCAGCAGCTGGAGAGGGTGTCTTCGCAGGCCCTTGATAGCCCCAGCAGGCTCTACAACTCCAAAGACCCAAAGCAACAACAACACGCGGTACTCTTCGACATATACATGGAGCTACTTGAAGAAGCAGTTACCTCCAAAATCGATGGCATCTACTGGCGAGCCGAGGTGTACGGTGATACCGTTACCACTCCAAAAAATGGATCCAAGGACAAGCTTCTCCGCGACAGCAAGCGTCGAAAGAATGAGCTCTTCGATCTCAAATCCATTCTGGAAGCTGAACCTGAGATTCAGATCCAATCCTTAGCCTCTCACGCGCGCGTCCCCGTCATCCGCTTCCAGTACAGGCAAGGTGACCTCGACTACAAATGCGACTTGTGCTTCGACAACGAGTTGGGTCTGCGAAACACCCGACTACTGCGTGCGTACGCGTCTTACGACGACAGAGCCCGCGACTTGGGCCTGGCTGTGAAATACTGGGCCAAACAGCGTGGAATCAGCGACACCGCGTCGGGATTTCTGAGCTCGTACTCGTACGTGCTCCTCAGCATTTACTACCTGCAGATCGTGCACGTGCTCCCGAACCTTCAAGCCCCACGACTTCTTGAGCTCGCGGGTGTTTCACCCGAGTACTACGACAACATGAACATTGCCTTCTGTGAAGACCGAGAGATCGCCGCTGTCTTTCACGAGCAAACCAGTGCCGACGTGGATTCGCAAGACGCGTCAATATCTGAGCTGCTGCTGGGGTTCTTCAAGTTTTACGCCACCCAGTTCGACTACGTCAAGCACGCGGCGGCCATCCGAACGCCCGAGAGATCTGTGTCGAAGCAGTCTCTGTGGGGGACCAAGGCCAAATCGTGGCGCATGAGCATCCAGGACCCTCTCCAGACATCGCGTGACCTAGGCGGCATGCTCCACTTCAACAGCCAGCGAAAGATCGCTCAGGAGATGCGTCGAGCTCACGAGTTGCTGGCGCAGCGTGGAAGTTTCCTGGACATGGTGTGCTAAACAAAACACTATGGTGGGTGGAAGAGGAGGGTACAGTACATGTAGCAACACTAAGGCCGACCACTAGCCCAGTCAGATGGCGCTCATGTTTTTTGGCGGTATATAGGGCCGTTCCTAACGGGATCATGTGAAAACTATTAACGTCGTCAAGTGTCGCCGTTGGATGGTCTAATGTCAGTTTTGGTTTTCCTGCCTTTGGCGGACGCTAAATGCCAAATGAGTGGGCCCCCCGTCTTCACCACTCCGGACGGCGGCAACTCCCCCATGTACGATGTCGGGGAGCCAGCCCCTCCATGTTTTTGGGAGACCTCGTGGTTCCAGGCGAGTGACGGCGACTTGGAGTTCGCGCAGTGGCTGCTGAGTCGCTGCACGAGCACGGGAGAGATGATGACGCTGGAATCGGTGGAGGCCATTCGTCGGCTGCGTATTCTGTTCCGGATGAAAGAACGACTTCAACTCGAGTTCGTTCGGAGCACGGAGCGTCAACAGCCTACAGCTGAAATGTCATTGGGGAGGTGGGCGACGTCATTAATGCATTGCAGCAACAAAACCAAGGTGAAGGGCCCCGCCCACCAATCGCCAGTGTGCTAGAACCTGCACTAGCCGGTGATGTCCTGGACGCTGCCACGAAGCTACTGCTCAGTCGCTCTACTGTCGACAAAGAAGAGCTACTCCGACGGTGGATGGCTGTTCTAACGGGGCAGGATAAGGACGAACCGGACCTGAAGAAGGCGATCGGACACCACGAGCAAATAGCTTATCGGCAGGTGGAGACCTATCTGATAATCCTCCATGCTTCAGCGGGTCAAGTCTGAGATCGAAGCGTTGTCGCAAACCTTTCGCTTGACATGTGGGAGGAGGAATTGCATCATCTTGTTGCACGTCTAGAGATCGACCCAGCGGAGGAGCAGCGGCGGCGGCGGAGTGTAGCGGACGAGCTGGAGTCTGTTCTACGACAAGAAAACGCGTTGAAGCAGAGTGAAGTGGAGCTGTTTGGAAGTTCGCAACCGTTGTACGGCTCGAAAGATGCAGACATTGACCTGTGCATCTTCCCGATGGGTCGGGCCAGCTGTAACAGGAACGATCTTCTCGGACAGTCGACCCGATACTGCGCTAACAACGACGCCGGAAAAGCTGCAAGAAATGCTCACGCAGGTGCAATCAAGCGTTCAAAGTCTCTCCCAGGATTTTTACGACGCAGTTTACGCCGCAGACTGGTCTGCCATGTACACCCCTCACTGCTCCGCGATGTATGCCGACAACGCGTACAAGATCGAGTTCTTCTTCAATGCTTCAGGACGCATTGGGGGCAGAGCTATCGCAACTGCCACAGCCAAGCTCGCCACCTATCCCTACAGCATCAAAAAGCAGCGATCAGCGTCACCAACACGCTTTCTATCAAATTCAAGGCGTACTTCGAATTACGAGGTTCTCGAAGTGATCTCCCGCACTCGTGTGCCAATCATCCGGTTCCGAAGCTCGTGCAGCGAGTACGAATACGAGTGCGACCTGTCGGTTGGAAACGTGATCGCAACGTGCAATACGAAGCTTCTGCGGGCTTATGCCAGTTTCGACATTCGTGCACGTCAACTGGGTATTGCTGTCAAGTACTGGGCCAAAAAGCGCGGCATCAGCGACGCGTCCGTGGGGTTCCTCAGCTCCTACTCATACGTGCTGCTCAGCATTTACTACGTGCAAGTGGTCCACGTGCTTCCAAACCTGCAAGATCCGGACCTCCTGGACTCTGCCAAAGTCCCAGCGAAATACTACAACGGGGTCAATATCGCCTTCTGCGAGGACGCAGACATCGCTCGAGAGTTTTACCAGCGGCGTGGATTTGATACGGATGCTTCACTACAGAGCCTGCTCGTGGGTTTCTTCAATTTCTTCGCAACGCACTTCAACTTTTCCCATTGCTTCGTTGCCGTGCGATCTCCGACCACACCGAAGCTAAAAAGACACTGGGCAAGCTGCGGCCATCGGTCGATTAGTATCCAAGACCCATTGGAAACCACGCGCGATCTTGGAGGCGTGCTCAAGCGCCACAACCAACAAAAAGTCATCCACGAGTTCCGTCGTGCGTTTGGAAAGTTGAGCTCCGGCGAACGCAGTCGGAGCTACCGACTAGCAATTGGATTAGAATTCTTTGAGATCCAAGAAATCTGAATTAACTTGCGTAAAGCTTTGGTAAAATACGTTGATCTCTCTGAACGGCCCCGTCATACTACTCGTTGCTTTAATCACCATTGTAGTTTTCCGGCGTTTGGGCCATGTGTGCTGCTTCCAGAGGCGGCAGCCCGGGAGGAGACCGACCTACTTGACGAAGCGAAGCTGAGCTCCTGGTTGATTCCCGCCCTGATCTGTTCTCGAGCGGTTTTATAGTCGGCGAAGGAACCAAGCGGGCTAATTCATGCTGCACCAAGCTTTCCGCCACCTCGGATGGGACAGATCCCTCTCGTTTCGATCTGTGACTGCTCGTCGACTTGTTGCTGGTGGATGTTGCGGGCACTGGTGCGACAGAGGTATTCTTTCGCTGAAAGAGCCGCTGGATAATTTCCAGCGCCCGCAGTTGCTGATCGTTCGTTGTCACTTCACTTTCACACGCGGTTGGCTTCTTTTCGGAGGTTGGCAGCTCAGCCTTTGCCCCGCCTGGATTCTGCAGTTGTCCGTTAGGCACAATAAGCTGGAGGAGGGATCGGAAAGCCCCGAAAGCATCGATAGCTCTCTCTAAGCTCGAGAAGTACTCGATCAGCTCTACAGCTTGCTGGTGCGAGCGAACTGCCGCACTAATTTCATCCTCCAGAAGGTCCCCCGATTGGATATCAGCAAAAGTAGGACTGCCTTCGACGAGTTCTGTGCGCTTCAGACGAATTGCACCGAGCAGTGCCTCGCCCCATTCCGTTTCCGTAGCTGTCACGCCAGACGCAACACGGTCTCGGGCTGTGATAACCTGCACCGTGTGCATTGCGATCTCGTACGCTAACTTGGTCATGCGGTGACTTTGTAGTACACGCAGCAGGGAATCCGGGCCCAGAGACAGCAGATCACACGCCCTTAGAGTGCGAATGGTGCACCTACTGACCGAGCAGACAAGTATCCCCTTGTCACCGAAGTATGTTCCCTTACCGTAGCTCGAACCACGGTTTGAATGCGCCTCACTAGTAGAAAATAAGTAACCACGTACGACAAAATACATCGACTTTGTGATGCTTCCTTCCACCAATACGTTCTCTCCACGCGGGTAGCCCTCAAACTTGAGGTGACGTGCAATATCCTGCATAACTTTGTCGACAACGCCCATTTCCTCACTGCGAGGTAAAGGTCGAAAAATATCGCTGGCAAATGAGCGCAGAGGAGCTTGTGCGATCACGAGGATTGAATCCGTGCGAATGCACAAAGGCACCCCCTCTAAGAAGCTTTGGTAGTCGACACCTCGGTGTGACGACCACAATGAGGACAAAAAAGCCTGTGTCCGCGCCTTCAGATCGCCTGTTACCTTCCAGCGCCCCAGGTACAGCTCAACCGCGATGTGATTCTTTCGGTATGCCACTTCATTGTTGATGTACGAGATGAATAGGTTCGCGAATTCACCGATCATGAAGGCCATCGTAAGTAGACCCGTGAAGCACACAATAATACAGAACGCGAAGTGGACAATGGTGTCTGGCCTGAAGGTCCGACCCTTCTTGATAAACGAAGTCGTCGCGAAAAAGCACCCCCGCAACAACCTCAGGATGTGCTTCCCCTCTGGATCAGCCAAGCTGGCATCGGGCAACCACGCGTTCCAGTCATCACCAAAGTGGTCGTATACAGCGATAGCAAAATACGCGCATGCGGTCCAGTACATCAGCACTACGTAGAGTATTGATGCAGTTCGCAGGCGGTGCAGCTCTTTATGAATGCTGCGTCGATTAATCTCGTCCATGTAGTGCAAGAAATTTCGGAGCTTCAGACACCGATTAATGCGGTAGATCGGATCGGTGGAAAAGCTAGAAAACAGGTAGTCCAATGGGATAGCGGCTACGACATCGTACACAAGCCTCTCCGACTTGTAGGATTCTCGGTGGTCTTGCTCGTACAAATCCACAGACTCACTCGAGCGCTGAATACGCCAATTTATCCAGATATCAGCGAGGTAAAGCACCTCGCAAAAAATCTCGACCTCCCGCACAATAACCGGTAACCCTTCGGTGTGTTCCATCGAGTCAAATGAAATGCGGTAAGGCACAACAATTGACATGAATAAGGTGGTGAAAATAATAGCTTTGATCCAGGCCAAGTGGTAGGAAGATTGTGCAGGTGCGCCGCGAAGCAGAACCGAGATGAATTGAGGTATGCCACAACGTAGCCTCTGCTGCTTCGGGCCAGGTTTGTTCGGCGTTGGAGCCTCTGGTCCTCCTGCGTGCCGAGATAATGTTTCGCGCTTGCTGATTGCACTGGCAGCACTGGAGCGCTTGTATCGAGCTGATATCACTGCCTCTTCCATGCGTTCAGCATACGCGTTCATGAGGTCCTCTTCAGTCATCGTAGAGCCTACCGAGTTGTGTCGCTCCAGCTTTGCGATGTGGGTCAAGCGCATTTGCTGCTGCTGCAAGTTAATCACTCGAAATACTTTCTTCTTCCACTCCGGATAGCGATTGAACACCGTCTCGAGAGAGTTGCGCGATAGTTTGTACAGAATCGATGTCGACTTTGCCAGCACGAAGGCGTTCCTCACACTGTCAACAAACAAAGCGTTTTCTCCGAAGTAGCTGCCGGAGGTCACTTGATTCAGCTTGATCAGCTCGTCGATATCCAACTTGTCACTAGTCCACTCTGATTGCAGTCGGGGGTGCACTTTGCGACTTGATAGCATCGGCTTGATACTCGGCTTCTTTGTGAGGAGAGATGTTTCTGTGGGCATCCGACGGGCAATTGAAGATCGACGACCGACCATGCTTGAGCGTTGCTTTATTTCTTCCTCGCGCGGAATTAGTGTGTCTAGCAGTCCAGCAAAAACGAAGTACATGTCGCTCCCTTCTTCGCCGTATCTGTAGACAAACTCGTCTTTGACGACCATCACTTGGCTGAAATGCGAGACCAGCATCCGTGTCACGCTTCCGTTCATTCCCTGAAGAAAGGATACTTTCACTATCATTGGCTGCAAGTGTACCATGCGAATGTCGGTCAACAAAGACGGGGGAAGGCAGCTCTCGAGTAAATGCTCCTGCGTGATCGAATGAAAGCGCTTGAAGAAAAAGTAGGCTTTAAACCGCTCTTGGATCGGTGTTGGAAGGCTGAAATGCGCCAATAGATGCCGAAACGAACTCAGGGTCGCGTAGTACTCGCGATTCTCAGCATCCATGAGCTCGATAATGTCCGAGAAGTTTCCGATCACGTACGCGAATAGGAAAAACCCGAGCGTAAGGGTAATTGCGTTAAACAAGCACTGGGATATGGTCTTGGGTAGTTCACCGGGGTAAGTTGCGGACATGATCCCGAAGGACCAAAACAGCGACGTGAAGTACTGCAGTGCAAACCCTTCTTCAAGCAGGGTCTCTTCCGGAAGCCAGTGTACGCCGATAGTGTCTGGAACATTGTGCGTTGACTCATTGGCCCAGGCTTTATGCATGTAAGAGGCATGCGAGCGAAAGTCAAACCAAAAGCTCCCCAGCGTGTGAGAAAGTATAAAGGTGTAATACACCAATTTGAAGAGTCGGAGCTGCAGGGTGAACTTGAGGTGCTTGTTCTCCAGCGCTGCAAACTGCGCGGGTACTTTGAACAGCCGTACCAACTTGTTCAAGCTCAAGATTTCTAAGCTTTGTTGACCAAGACCCACTAATCCCCAGCCAATCAAGAAAAGGGGAGTCAGAGCGATTGCATCAATGACGAAAGCCCGTGAGTGGATGTAGTTTTTCTTGATGATCCTCAAATCCATGACCTTGTTTCCAAACTCGTGAAACCCCAGCCGAAATCTCACAAACATGTCCAGCACAAATAGCACCTCGATTAGAAGGATGACGATGTCAGCACTCTCGTTCGCCTTCGAAGACATGCGAAAGCATATTGTGGATACCGTGAGCAGACACTGCAAAGTCATCATACTAAACACCCAGACTTCCCAGGCAATGATAACCCCAGAATCAGGATCGAACACAAGATCTGAGAGCCAAGCGGAAATGAACGAGCGGCGGTTTGAAGTCATGGCGGAAGTCGCCATTTCAGATGCCTTGAGAAACTTGGGGTCTAAAAATCGCTTCTCAAGTGCCTCCAACGCATCCGGCAGAGCAGGAAAGGTAGTTCGCATCAACTGCAGGTGTTCTCGCGATATGAAGAGGACGATGCACCCGCTAATTGCCATAACACGCTCCGAATAACTAGGCGAAGTGTTGTCAAAGTCCAACACTGCCGTTCCAATAAAGCTGCCTTGTGGGATACTGCGGGGTGCACCTCCATTTGCAATTACGCATAGCTCTCCTTCCAGGAGGAAAAACAAGCCACCAGCAAAATCGCCTTGCCGATAAATAACTTCTCCCTGTCCGTAGAGGATGAATTTGACGTTGTCGATCAGTACCTGCTCCAATTCGTTTAGAACTGGGCGGACCCCCGCTAATAGCGCCAACGTTTGCAGTGCAGGTTTGCATATGCTTTTCATGATATCGTTCTTGATGGTCGTGGGGAGATCTTCCAATAGTGATCCAATAACAGCTCCGCGGTGGGCTGACCACCAAAAATCAAGGAAAGCGCTCACCCGCTTGTGTATCGCAAGCGGCGCATTTTGTCGCATCAGAAATAATTGAATTCGCGTCCTATTCGAGAAGAACTCCTTCTGCTCGAATGCAGAAGCCGTAAACCTCTTTTGGACATTGTCGACCACGATGGCCGTAATGAAGAAGCCGATCAGCATAAACACGAGAGCAGCGCCGAGCTGGACATCACTAGCAGGTTCCACTGGCCTGCCTAGCGCGGTGATCACATAGCACGCGTAATACAACGAGCGAAAGTACTGGTTCAAGCCAATCTCAATAATCTCGGAAGAGCCAGCTGCGTAAGTCACATTTGCTGAGTCGATGAAGTAAGACTCATTTAGCCGACTCAAGTGTAAATCGCTGGATGGGAGCCACGCGTGGGCGCCAGTGCTGAAACCTTCCACGTACGTGATGCTGAAGTGCAAACATGCAAACGTATGGTAAAGCATGACCATCAACCAGCCGAAGAGCATCAAGCGCCGTTTGTTGTCGAGATGAAGATATTCGTCCACTTCTTTAAGATGATCCATCACGCGCCACATTCGTAACAATCGCAAAAGACGGAGAAACTCCGAGCCCATAGCCCAGTGCGGTAGAGCACACAGCAGGTCAAAGGCAAACTTACTGCGTAGGTATCTTCGCGCTGTCCAGGCTGTATCCCAAATCTTCTCCGAGTTTTCCATATATGATAAATTGAAGTTCAGGTAGATGTCGATCCATAATGCTATCTCCATCAGTACGTTCAGCACAGAAATCACCCAGTTCTCGAAATCGAGGACCTCGAAGACCAGGCGTGTCGGAATCACAAACCAAAAGTACATAAGATTGATCTCCAGAGCAAGAATCCACCACATCCGCTTTCTTGACTCGAAATCGATAGCCTTGTGCAGCAGGACAACAGACCAAAACGGTGCCTTTGGGTCTCGTTTCCAATTGAGCTGCGAAGCCACGATCTGCATTACTGGGAGCATCCGCAAGCTCGTTTTTCTGTGGTCTGATTCCTCAGAAGAAGGCAGGGGAAAAGGAGTTGTAGACTCAGCAGGATGGTTTTGGCCCAACGACTTCTTGGAGCTATCGGATTGATTGTCAGTGAGGGCCACCAACGGGGCGACTTCTGCAGGCCGCGGGGTTTGCGATCGAGCTCCAATGGGAATCAAATCAGCTGTTGGGGATGGAGTTCTTGGAATTGGTTCAGGAACGCGATCGGCTGGACCGGTCAGAATATGCTCTTGACGTGGCGAAGTCTGCGAGATCGCGCTAAAAGAGAAATCCGATTTGGTTGACGCGGTGTCGTCATTCGCGCCAGGTGCATGGGCTGGAGCACTTCGCTCCCTTTTCGACATGGCACTTGGCACAGCCCACCCCAGACTCGGCTTGGTCTTTTCGTTTTGGACGTGTTTGCGAAGCAGTCTTGATATCGTTTTCCTTTTCCCAGTCGCCCCCTCTGGGGACTCCTGTGATTTACCGCTGAATATTCTCCGTTCCAATGCCCTCACTTGATTTGGGATCGAGTTTGCGTACTCTGGGTAGCCATCTAGTACGCGCTCAAGGTGAAACCGATCCAACTTGTATAACGTGCAGTAGGTTGTTGTCACGACTGTGGCGAAACGAGGTCGGTTCAAGAAAATACTCATCTCGCCGAAAAAGTCGTTCTTCCGCTCCTCCCTTACTTTCACGCCGTTCACAAGCACGTGGAGGACGCCAGAATTCACGAAATACATGGCGTCACCTCGATCCCCAGCGTGAAATACGACAAAAAATGCTGGTAACGAAATCATTTCCAGCAGACTGGTGATGGCAATAATGAACTGGTCGCTGCATCCCTCAAAAATGACGACACTAGCCACTGTGTCCTTCATCAATGCGACCTGAATATCCTTTCTGATAGACGGGCAGAGCAACCGCATGGCTTCGCGGTCATTGGACTCTGTGTACGTGTAGTACCGCTTCAGGTACTCGATAGCTTGATGTTGTAGCTCTTCTGGAACGTGGTGGAAGGACAGCATGTGCTTGAACTGGTTTATTCGCGCCTCGGATGCCTCGTTCTGGCCGCTCTCGCACTTGGAAATCATGAAGAACATGGCGCACAGGTACGTGAACAGCAGAAATCCACAGATCGCCACAAAAATCGTGAATATAAAGGCTGGTACCGTATGCGGCAGCTCGCCCTCAAACAGCCCTGTCATCACTCCAAACGACCAGAAGATGGACATCAAGTACTTGGTCCGAGCTGTCTGCTCGTGGTCGGGCTTATGCGGCAGCCAGTGGTCCTCTCCATGCTCGTCGTATCCAAAGAGGAATCGTACGCACGCCAGGAAGTGCGACAGCAGCAGGATCCCCACCAGCACCTTGAACATCTTGAGCACCACAAAGTACTTGGCGTACACGTCGTCCAGCTGTGCAATGTACTTTGGGATCCTCCATATCCTGAGGAACTTGTGCATCTCGAAGAAGGCGATGGACACCGATCGCTTGACTGGGAAGATGGACACTGGTATCAGCGCCACGACGTCCAGGACGAACCTGGGGGACTTGAGGTACCTCAGTCGTGACTTGGTGGCGTCCCGCGTGACGTCCCCGCCCTCGTAGAAGCCCATGTGGAGCTCCACGTAGACGTCCGAGAGGAAGAGCAGCTCGCAGACGTACACGAGCACGAGCTCGGCCGTGGCTCTGGAGACGCCGCTGTCCCGGAACACGACGAGGTACGGCAGCATGGTGATCTCGTAGATGACGCACACGAGCAGCACCTGGTGCCACGCGTGCACGAAGGCCGAGTTGGGGTCCAGCGCGTTCTGCACCTCGAAGAGCAGCAGCTCCACCGAGTTGGAGCGCGGCCGCATGAGCGACGCCCGCAGCGGGGACGTCGAGGTCATGGTCGTGCTGCGGCGGATGCGGTCGATCGCCGACTGGAACGAGCTGCGGCGCGGCGCCATGCGGTCCAGCGACCGGCGCGACTTCTGGAAGCTCGAGTCGCTCGCCATCACGGGCTGCGTCATGCCTGGCCGACGTCTTGCTTGCTAGCTAGCTGTCTGTCTGCCTGCCACCCTCCTCGTTCCTGCCCTGCGCAATGGACAGCGCCCTAAAGATAGTGAGCGCGAGTATAACGAGCGGAAACGCACAGGAGTGATGGTCACTTCAACTTCCGACGCCATACCGAGAGACCAACGAGTTGGGCTGTTGGCTGTTGGATGGGTTGACGACGAAAACAGGATTGATCTCCAGCAGCGTCATTAATTCTCTGCGTCCAGAGAATTAGTAGTGCTAAATGCAGGCTGGCACGCTGGCAGCGCGAGTCGACGAATGTGTTGCGCCCGACTGAAGTCGGTTGTGTGGACAGCGCCACGTACTGGGACTCTGAGCCACGCGACTCCGCCCGGGTGGCGATGGTAATGATGTGAGCCTGTCATGAAGCCCAGCCCAGCTGCAGCGGCGCCATTCAGCTGACCCACAGCCGGCCTCTTGCAGTGCAGGACAGCAGGCAGGTCACGTGAATCCTAAATTTCTCAAATCCATACAAACGTCGAGTCACACGCTCCCTAAATATCGAGCGGGACGCCGACACGAGACTTTTCCCCTCTCGAAGAAAAGGAAGCGAGCAACAACAACAAGGCAAAGTGACGGCCAGCGCCATCGCCACCTCCAGGCAAGACAGACCGACTGTCGACCACCAAGGCTCCATACATCCTCTAACACTGTCTACACCCATCTACCTCCAGCTCCCAGCCGCTCTCCTCTCCTCTCCTCTGCCCCCGCGAGCGACGCAGCACAGCCGTCGCCGCCCGGATCCCTCCCCCATGAGCGAAGGGCTTTCTCCGCCAAGGAAGCGCGCGCGTCTCGGCGCCGAAGAAGAGCCGCCGACGCCGTCGTCCGCCCCCGCCCCGATGCCCGCCGAGGCCTTCCGCATCGAGTCGTCGTCGTCCTCCGGCCCCGACGCCACAGCGCCACTGCCCACAACGACAGCGATAGAGGAGCCGGAGCCGCGTGGACGCCTCGACATGTCGTCCTTTCTGCTCATGGCGCGCGGCAGGCTGGCCGACGCGCAGGCGCTGGCCGACTCCGCCGAGGACGTGTCGGCCGCCGCCGGCGCCCTGGAGGCGCTCAGTAGCAGCCTCGTGCTGGCGCCGCCCGACGAGCCCATGCCCATGGCGGTGGCCGTGGCCGCCGAGGAGTCCACGACAGACGACGAGGAGCTGCAGCAGCTCTCCATGGTCAAGCTCGAGCCCTCGGCCGCCATGCTGTGCGCGCCCGGCCCCGAAGGCGCCATGGCCGTCGAGCTCGACTACGAGGACGTCGTGGCCTTCCTGTTCAACATGGCGCGCGAGCCGCAGCCGCAGCAGCTCCACAAGGGCATGCGCACGGTGCGCAAGGCCCGCAACGCTGAGAAGCTGCTGCCCAGACTGCTCACGGCCGAGGACGAGACGGGCCTCACGCTGCTCATGATCGGCGTGCGCAGCAACGACCGCGTGTTCTGCAACATGCTGCTGGATGCCGGCGCCGACGTCAACTTCAAGACCGTACGTGGCTGCTTGGTGCATGGAGGGTTTGCTTCGTGAGAAACTTACATATCCATGGTTGTTGTTGTTGTTGTTGTTCTGTCGATCTCTCCCGCAGGAGAAGCGCACCTATGCTCTGCTGCTCGCCGCGCAGAAGGGCTGGGAGGAGATGACAAGGTTCCTGCTGGAGCGCGGCGCGAACGAAGATTCGAAGAACATGGCTCTCATCCCGGCAGCCCATTTCGGTCATTTACCTGTGGTCAAGATGCTGCTGGAGACCGGAGCCAGCCAGAACTACGCCAATAAGAAGGGCACGACCCCACTGATGCGCGCGGCACAGGAAGGCCGCGATGAGGTAGTCAAGTTCCTCATTAAGAAGGGTGCGGATACGTGCGCCGCGAACAACGAGGGAATGACGGCGCTCATGCTGGCGGCTCAGCGCGGCCATGCGAACATCGCCACGACGCTCATGAAATCCGGCTCCAACGTGAACAAGCAGACCCGACAGGGCAGCACGGCACTGCTGCTAGCGGCCAAGCGTGGCCACACCGCAGCTGTCGAAGCGCTCATGACGGCCGGTGCCGATATCTTCCTCAAGGACGATCGAGACAAGACAGCGGCCGAGACCGCCCAGCGGCGAGGGCACGTGGACTTGTTTTTAAAGATATCTGTGCAGAACCAGCTTCGATTGATGCGCGAGGACCTCCGACGGCAGAGATGCTACACGCTGATGCGGTTGTCGACGCTGTATGTCCTATCGCGGGCAGAGCTGACACCGGCATTCAAGAACCAGAAGCGGCAGCAATACAACGCTCTGATGGACCGAACACTGCGCTTGCCCAAGCCGCTGCTGCAGAACATCGCGCTGTTCATGCCGCTGTGCCGCATGTGGGACCGCCAGCTGCGCTATCTAATTTATGAGGCAGCGCCGCAGCCCAACCGCGTGGTGCAGCAAGGGATCCGCATTCTGGACGAAGTGCTGCTGAGTGTCAGTCTGGAGCTGCGGCCGAGCCTTCACATGATCAAACAGGAGTGCGGTGGACCACTGCATGTGACCGGCCAGCTAGGACTGCTACGCGACAGCGCCGAGTACCGAGGGCTATTCACAACGGAGACGCGGACACCCATGCCCCCACGCATGCTGCATCAGCTCCGGCGCATGGCCGACATCCAGGGCGCTCTGTCCACGTATGCGGCCGGGTCGGCGATTCAGTTCGGCGTGGAGGTCGCGCAGGACGTTGTGTCGCTGCTCACGGACCTGCTGAGCTGGGACACCGGTCGACGGCAAGCCGAGCTGTTGGAGTGAACGCAGCACGCAGCAGTCCCAACGTAACCTAGGTAAAGTAAGTGAGCGAGGCCGTAATTTAGATGACGACAGTAGCAGGCAGGCAGACCGGAGCGATAAGCACTGAGTTGCAGTTGCAGTCAATCAACGTTTGTAGCAGATGTGCAGTATGTAGCCATGCGTGACGTCGGCGACACGACAGCTGCAGCAAAGCTGAATGAGAAACGTTGCCGAGCTCAGTTCGCATCTTGTCAGCGGTTGAAGCATGGAGTTCCTCGTGCACAACATCTCGCACTCGGACCTGGTGGTGGAGCTCTCGTGGCTGCGCGAGGACGGCTCCACGAGCAGCAGCAACGGGCCCCGCGTGCCCACCGCCCGGCAGGGCGTCGTGACCGTGGACGTGGAGGGCGCCGCCGTGCCGCTGTCCGTGCTGGGCCGCCCCAAATTCAGCCTCTTCCAGCAGACCAGCCAGCAGATTCTCGAGCGCGTGCAGCAGCTCCGACACCCCCAGCGCGACGCCACGCACGCGGCCGCCGTGCTGAGCGTGCCGGAGGCGCAGGAGACGCCGTCGCTGCTGCACCCGAGCCTGCTGGACATCAGCACGCCCGGCGAGCGCTGGAAGGCGCGCTGCCAGGAGACGGCGTCGCCCATCGGCTTCAACCTGGCCGACGCGCCGATCCCCATCAGCAACGGGGAGCTGCTGAGGGACTTTCAGCTGAGAGGCGAGCTGGAGACCACGAGGCTCGTGGAGAGACACTGGGACCGCGTGGGCATCACGGCCGTCTACTTCCCGCTGGTGGCGCTGCTGCTGCCCAAGTGGACGCAGGTGTTGAAGGAGTTCCAGTCCGAGGGCAGTCGGCAGCTCGTGTACTTGATCAGCGGCGCTGGGATCCCGCGCAACGTGCAGCACTCGCGCAGCGGCAACTCGACGGAGATCACGGCGCAGCTCATTGCGCTGTTCGTGCACCAGTACTACCCGCACATGACCGCGATCCAGGTGCACTCAGGCTCCAACATCTTCCGCTTTGATGACAACGTGCAGTTCATGACGCGCGAGCTGAGGCCGCTGCTCGAGGCCCATCGAGAGACGCTCGTGGACCGCTGCGGCGAGGCGTGGAAGTCGCACTTTCACGTGACCATCGCGTATGCGGACGGACCTCCGGCGCGGCTGAGCGCGTTGAACGCCTCGCTGCGCATGTATCGACCGTCGTACCTCCACATTTGGCAGCTCAAGACGTTCTGGCACCAGCGGAAGCTGTCCATGGCGGACGTGGACTTCCACTCGTTCGAGAACATCGAGGCTTCGCCATTGGTGGCGCCCTCCAAGGCGGACGCCATGACGCAGATGATCGTGCGCGAGATGCGGATATTCCGCGACCAGTTCCTCGCGGCGGAGGGCGACGGCGAGGTCGCTAGCTTTTGGCTGCGCAAGTCGCGCAAACCCGTGCTGGCCGTGCTGCTGATTGAGAAACCGGCCGCGGTGGTGGGCGACCGGCCCACGATCGTGGTGCAGCGCGGGATGAACTGCGAAGTCTCGATGCCTACAGGCTCGCTGTGCGCTGAACGCAACGCCATCGGCAGCGCGCTGGCCAGCGACCCGACGCTGAGTCGCCGCGCCTTGAAGATGATCGCTGTGCTGGGCTTGAACCTCACTGCAGAGGGCCCCAGCAGCAACGTCACCAGCCCCACAGCCTCCGAGACCAGAGGGAGCGAGCGAGAAGGGCCTGCTACATGCACCAAGGATACCAAGGGCAACGGCAACGGCAAGAGGGACCCATCTGACGCCGAAGCGACGTTTGACAAACCGACTTCAACTTCAACTGAGCCTGGCCCCGAGCTAGTCGCGCAGCCGCAGCCGCTGACGGTCCGGATCCGTCCTGCTGGCGAGCAGAGCTCCCCGGAGCGTAACTCCCTATCCTTGGCAGCGGCCAGCCCGCGTGCACGAAGCCATGTCGGTGGTGCCGGTCGAGGACGCGGCAAGCGCGGGCCGGAGACTAAGAACGCCAACTTGACATCCCCGAGGAAGCCCAAGCGGCCGCGCACCTTCTCGATGGACGACGTGGCGGTGGACGAGATGCTGCGCGCTAGCGGCCCGCCCGACCGGAACCCGCTGGCGCCGTGCGGGGCCTGCAAGGAGTGGCTGGTCAAGATCGCGGAGGCCAACCCGTCGTTCCGCGTCGTCACGTTCGAGAACTCGCGCTGTCGTAACGTTTACATCAACCAGCTCATGTGAACGGGCCACGTCCTGCTGGTAGAGGTAGAGTGAAGAGAGTGAACGAGGGACTAACTTACCAACTTTTCCGTGCCAACAACAATTGTAGTGCTGGTGCTTCTTGCCGCCATAAGGTGTCCAACCAGTTGCCCGCCACTTTTCCGAATTTCCGCACTGGGAATTTTGTATCGTGGGCCCCAGAGCCCGTATGTAGGCGTGCGGGGTACCGTTGTAAAGCTGAGGATCTCCTCTATCTCGTTGAGTTTTTGTGGCTAAAGCGGGGCAGTTTAAGCAACTCAAACCCTCAATAGAGCGAGGCGACTGGCCCAACCAGTTGGCCGCCACTTTGGCTTATATTGAAGTTTGTATGGATCTCTTTTTACTGTAGTGTCTCTTCAAAGTACGATGGTTAGGGGTACGAGAGGACCGAGCGGCCCTTTAAAAGTAGATATTGACTATTATGAACGGTAACGACGGGGTATTTAAATAGAAAGGTCAGCGACTGGTCAAGTCGACTCGGCGTCTTTTGGTGAGTACTACTCTGTGTGTGCGGTCGAGGCATACTCTCAGGGCCGCAGCCATGGAAAAATTATACTGGGGCTAACTAGGTGCTGGGTTAAACTTAGGTCGCTCGATTAAACAATTGTGTACTTTTATAAGTAGATTATGAGGACCACTTGTCAGTAAGTATATACCGACAATCTGCACAAAGCTAGCGAAGCGCTGCGGTTTGTCAGCCCGTGTGCAATGGACATTGTACCATCAAATCTGGCACAATTCCTCATTCTTCAGCGGCTAGTAAATCACTACGCTCCTCCCTTTGCAGATACTCAGAAGTTAGGAATTTTCTACATCGATAGCTCTTCCTCAGGTTACTCAGTAAATAAGTAGCACCCCGCTGTGTCAACTTGCTAGTACTGACCCCACTCTAAAGCCGTTGTTTGTTGGGATATCATTCATGGACGCAAATAACGTGCTACACGCTCTTTAGGCAACTTTTCTTTTGTTTTCTGCTAGATGACGCTTGACTTCTCTATTATTATAGCTTACTCACTCCACATAAGTGGTCTAATGCATTACTTCACAGATACATTCCTATTGTACCTTCCTGCGGTCTTGTCCAGGGTGGCGATTCCGGGCGTGGCATCTTTCGTACAAGTAAGCTGTATGTGGTATTACTCGGAAGTCAGTGAAGTGTACTCACAATTAAGTAGCATCCAGGCGATGGCACTACCATACGGATAAATATCGTGACGGTGACGACACATATGATTTTATACTTAGCCACTGTATGGTGGCCGTGGTCCAATCAAATGGCGATGACCGATTATTATCGAATGAGAAGGGCGATAGATGGTATTTTATCCAATCATCAACGTTAGGGGTAGGTGTATGAGCCGCCGGCACTCCTGCCGACGTATAATATAGGCAGGGCTGTCGAGATATGTTATCCACCTATAGAGAAGTTAAGTAATTAGGTGATTATACACATATTTTGCACGGTGCCGGCACTTTACTATGACATTGTATTGCTTCTGTTTGCCTGTTTGAAGCGTTCTGTATGGCGCTTTCGCTTGCTCTACAAATTCAACAGAGTTTCGTCGGTAACGCCCGAACCATCTCTGATTCATGGCACAAGCTGTTTTGGGCATTGCCGAAGCCGTTGTTGTCGCTGCCACTGAGCCTCAGTGACTGAGGTGCGGACTGTGCATCGTAGAGAGTTCAAAGTAGGCATCAAACTTTAATTTATTCAATGTTAAAATAAATAACTACAGACGTAATATTCGTGCATTACACTGCACCACCAAGCAACACCGCGCTAGTAGAAAGCGTCGCCCCACCCTGCAGTGACGGAGGCACCACCAGTAGCAGCCGTATAACCACGTCCTACTCCTCCCCAAGATCGCCAGCAGCGAGCGTGCCTCTCGTCACACCCAGCTATAGACAACTCGAAGCCGCCGGCGCAACGCGCACATCCGCTGCGCTGCTGCTGCTGTTGGCTGCCGTGGTGGCGGGCGGCTACTGCTACGTCTGCTGCAGGAGGAGGTGGATCCCTTGGCTCTCCACGCCGCGTGCTGTCTGCTGCTCAGGCCTCCCCATCTTCTCCATCTTGGGCACCTTCCTCTTTTTCTTCTTGTCCCGCGTGATGTCCAGCGTGAGTGGTAAGACATCGTCTGCGCCGCCGCCAGGCGCCCTCCATCAATCTCCTCCTCCTAGCTCTTGCTCTCGGCGAACTTGTTGCTTCCGCAGTCCTCCGCGCACTTGGTGGCCTTGGTCTCCTTGCTGTCCTCCGCGAACTTAAAGCCCTTGTTCCCCTCGCCGTCCTGCGCGCACTTGATCCCTCCGCCGTCCTTTCGCGCTCTTGGTCTTCTCGCCACCCATTCGCGCTCTTGAAGCCTCTGTCGCCCTCTGTGGCCTTCGTCAGCACGCCGTCCTTCGTGTCCTCGCCCCCTCGCTTTTCTCCACGCTATTGGTGTTCTCGCCCTGTGCCTTCAGTCCATCGCGCTTCCTGCCGTGGGTTTCCTGGTCGTCCTCTCTCTCGTCTGGCTGGAGAGGCGCACCGCCGTGCCCTCACACTGGGCGAGGAGAGAGGGCCAGTTTGCTGGCGATGACGAGCCATCACGCCTGCGCATGCCCGCACGCCACGCACGCGTAGCCTGGGGAGGGGGGGGGCGTAGCGCAGGTCACGGCGCAGGTACTGCACTCAGGGTCGCCGCAGGGTCGCCGCCCGCCCGCACTGAAATGGGAGAAGTGTCAATGTAGCCCTTTAGACCAATCATGGAATTTCATCATTTTCACCAATGATAGATCGTGTCGGCAGGTGTAGGCAGATGTTGGCACCGTCATGGTATGGACGCGTATTAGACGATTATTGGAAGCATTGTGGACGAGCCTCATCGTCAATTCAATAGTGAAGTGACCGACTTTGATGGAGCTGCCCCTGACGAGGGAGGGGGCTGGCGCCCCCCTCATTTTGGGTCTAGCCCGGGCCTGTGTACTCGTGACTAGGGCTCATGCTTTGTAATCCCTCTCTCCAGTGACCCACAGTGACATGACACATAATATTGTGCAGGAAGGACACCATGATGGCTTCAGCCTGATTTTCATCCAATCATAGAGCTCGGTCGTTTTGATTGGCTTCTGCGGTCGCACTTGCGCGAAGGCTCGGCTGCCACGCCGAAAGGTCCACAGAACTCTGCCTGAATACCGAACGCCTGATATACATATAAGGGCTCTAGGTTTGTAAAGTGATTTCAGCGTTACCAGAGAAAAGGCTGTACTGAATTAGTTTATCTTAGACGGGATTTGATGCTTACTTAGTTAATCAAACCCGAGTAAAGCAGTGCGGAGTTGTTTCAGCGCTGACCTTCGACCACATTAGTGCGGTTAGTAGCTCTGCTTTGTACTACTCGTAGAGGGCTTAGCGGGTAGTGCGCAAATGTGAAAGTGGAATCGTAAATACAGAGAAGATCGCACAGACAATCGAAAGGGCGCCAATTTTCAAACTGCACAGCTTAGTACTTTAGCCAAAGGTATCCTGGATTTTTACTTCAGTACCTTTGCCCATCTCCGTTCGTCCTGTTGTTGGACCTTGATGTATTATTTATATGAGGTTATGTATTGTATACCCGTTCGGTATTGAGGCAGATTTCTGTATCTCGATACAAAATAACCCAGGTGGCCCAACTGGTTGGGCCTCTCTGAACAGTCGCCTCGCGCTATTGAGGGTTTGAGTTGCTTAAACTGCCCCGCCTTAGCCACAAAAACTCAACGAGATAGAGGAGATCCTCAGCTTTACAACGGTTACATACGGGCCACGATACAAAATTCCCAGTGCGGAAATTCGGAAAAGTGGCGGGCAACTGGTTGGACACCTTAGTACATGACCTCGCTTGCAAGTTCAACATCGTGCACGTCCGTAGACTTATCCAACGGCGCCTCAAGAACTCGTTACAGTACACGTTGGTACACCACACGCCGGTATGAGCAAGTGGCTTTGCTGGAAGGAATGAAGGCGTGAGTTGCGGTGGGCGACTCTCCTGTATCCATGCGCTCGAGTTCTTCCGCCTTCCGTGTGGCTTGCGTCGACCGAACGGCGGACTGTGCCGTCGTTAAACCCGCAGGTTGAACTTACAGTTAGCTAGTCGAGTGTCGATAGCCGGCGAGCGTTGCTGGAGCACAGAGCGCAGTCGTCCGTTTGACGCCAGGAGAAAATCCACCGCATTACGGCAGCGGCGGAGCCTCGGTGTCTCGGAGGCTCCGAGTCGGAGCACGCCATGCACGACACGACATGTCGAGCGTGGCGTGCTCTCAAGTCCAGCGGCCGGCTCTGCTGCCGTTCCACCCCACGAGCGGACGCGCATTCGTCCACTGAATCTGAATCTGACGAGCATCGTTGAAGATCTCGTCTTGAACCGGCGACATACAACAACATGTAGACGAGCCGAGAGGGCGGAGCATTTGCGAGAAAGTGTACTTGTGGCTCTCGCCGCCGAGCTCTGCAAATGGAGAAGGAAATCAGCGCGGCTGCGCGGCTGCGCGGCTGCATCGCTGCAGGTCCTGAGTTGCAGTAGCGCAGTGATATCTGCAGAGGAGGCTGGCCGGGCCGGACGAGTGAGTTGAAGCCGCGAAGAAGCACCCAGAGGTGAGATATTTAGCTTATACATATCACTGTAGTAGGGATCACTACTAATATCCAGCTCTACACTGCACCAAGTCCGTTAAAAAACAAAAAATAAATAATGGAGCCGCGCTGCAGTCGGCTCTGAAATCACGCGGCACCGGACGGTGGATTCTGACGTGCTGCTGCCACGGCGTTTTGCGTCCTGGGTGGCGCCGGCCATGTGGCGTTTCTCTTCGGCCGGTGTTTGGTCGAGGGCTCTAGTACAACATGCGCCAGTGGCTGTCGTCGGCTTGGGCGTTGGCAGCTTACTGTACGAGACTATTAGCCTGCTTGGACGGGTGGTCGCTGCTGCGGTTCTCCTCGCCTCGCCGTTTCTGCATGGAGTCTGGTGCTTGGCGAGGATGTTTGCCGCTGCTCGCTACTTGATACACTGCCGACTGCTGTCAGTTTTGCGCTGTGAGTGCTGTGATTCATGATGAATTAACAAGCTCTGCGAACACTCGCATCCGGGATAAGCTTTTCGGGAACGGTTTTCTCAAACATTTCGAGAGCGGAGACTTCAACATCGCTTGGGAAGCTGCTGTTGCACGGGAGACGAGGCCCCGTGCTTGAAGTTGTTGTGTGCTGGGGGGGGGACCGGACATTTGCGCGCTGCTCGATGGTTCCCTGCATAAGATGGCCGGCCCGACCCGCAATGAATTGATTGAGCAGAGCCAACGAACCTCTTGATCATCTGCGAGGCTCAATTAAGAACGCAGGTGTTTGCCATCGGCCTCGACCATAGGGAGGAGGAATCCGCTCGGAGGCAGACCGCAGCAACGCACACCTCCAGGCCAAAGATAGGCCCCGCCCGACACCTGCTGGGCAGCTCGACAATCGATCGCCTCGTTGTCGCTTTTCAGCGCAAACGCACGCGCCTTCGTCAGCACGAGCGCTTATGCACGCCGCCACCTAACCCATTGCCTGTCGCTTGCCGAGTGCACTCACGATATGCAGATGAAGCCTGCCCGCAGCCCAGCGCCACTGGGCGGCACCGGTTCCCATTCGCCAACTTGCTCCGCGCGCGCCACCCACGATAGCGAGCAGGACAGTGTCGGGCTCCGATAGGCCCCGCCACCCCACCATTACAGGTTCTTGCGTTCAATAAATGGGCATCGACGCCTTCCACACCATGGCCGCCCCACTCCACCCCGAGACGTACGAGACGCTGGGCCAGGCCTGGATCTGGCCCAACAAGCAGCAGCAGGTCGAGGCCTCGGCCAGCGCCGCCGCGCGCACCGCCTCGCTTAAGCGCCGCTCCGGAGCCCAGCGCGCACTGCGCAAGAGCTGCAGCGAGCGGCCACTGAGCTCCCCGGTGCGGGCCATGGAGCTGCTGGCCTCGGCCGGCAGCGCCAGCGCGCTGGACGTGGAGGACAGCACGGCCAGCATCACTAGCAGCAGCAGCGGCGGCAACAACAACAACGACGCGGACGAGGACGACGAGCAGCGCCGCCAGCGCATCACGGCGCGCGCCGAGGAAATCCTGCGCGGCAAGCGCTGCGTCGGGATGCTGGTCGGGGCCACGTGCCCCGTGTGCCTCACGGACGACGTGGACACGCAGCTGTCCGAGTGCGGCCACTTGATCCACGCCAAGTGCATCAAGCGCTGGATCCAGTCGGGCACGTGCTGCCCCGTGTGCCGCGAGGAGGTCGTGGACGTCGAGGAGGCCTTCACGTCGCCGGCTAAGGGCCTGCACGCGTTGACCAAGGACCGGCTCACGTCGTCCTCCGAGGCGACGTTCCTGCCCGAAGACGAGGAGGACAACCAGACGGAGGACGCCGGCTATGAGTGGGGCTGGTTCGAGGACTTCGACGACGACGCCGACAACCTATCGGACTTCTCGGCCAACAGCGGCAGCGACATGTTCTACTCGTCGCGCCGCTCGCTGCCGACGTTCCCGGCCTCGGCCAGCATGCAGTCCACCGCCAACTCGGCGACGCCTATGCTGAACCGAGAGATGTCCGCCACGTTCGACATGTGCCGGACGTTCCCGCCGCTGCGCGAGGCCTACGACACGCCCTACCACCAGAGCAGGTACGCGTGGATGTGCGTGCTGCCGTCGCACCGCCACATCGCGGCCAAGATCCAGATCCGCAGCTTCCGCATCGTCGAGGCCAAGGGCTCCAAGGCGCAGCACGCCGAGTACCTCATCGAGATGCAGCTGGACGGCCGCTACTTCAGCCGCTGGCGCCGCTTCTCGGAGATCTACCGCTTCGTGTCGTCGCTGGACCCGAACCAGTTCCGGCAGTCCATGCTGGCGTGGCAGCCCATCGACGCCAACAGCCGCTGGTTCAACCGCCTCGAGCTCAGCTACCTGCACAAGCGCTGCCGCATGCTCGAGGAGTTCGCCCACGCGCTGCTGGTCGAGTGCTCGAACGCCCACCCGCTCGCCGAGCTGGTCGAGTGCTGAGCTTTCAGCTGAGGTGAAAGCCACCTAACTTATATTCGCAACAAAAGGTTTTGCATCCTGTAGATAAAAGAGTACTTAAGAGACGAGAGTAATAGACTTTAACGACGATAGATGAACATGAAACATGCTGGAAGTGCATCCAAAACTCAGCGACACCAAAGTTCATTCATTCATCCTGCCAGTTTTACTCCTTCGGACGCGATGCCCGGGCAGCGCTTCTCAGAGCAGCGCCCTGTATCAGAAAGACACGCTGCAACGGCGACAAGTTTTGGCCAGAATCCGGCGGGTGTGAGTGCCAGCAAGCGACGTCAGTGTCCTGGCAGGAGATGGCATGACCCTCTTGTTTCTGCCACGCGCGCTGCGACCTGCGCGCTGATCCCCAGCCCCGCCCTGCTCCCTTCACGCTACCGACCAAGCAGCCTGGCGTGCGGCCGTGTCGCGCGTAGCAAAATGTTAAACGACAGCAGCGCTGCACGTGCATGTAGTGAAGGTGTCGATGCCAGACAGCCTCCTAGGTGTCCCCCGTCAAAAGAGTCAAAAAGCCGCGGGTCGAAGTTCAGCTGATACACCGTTGAATACGGTGTGGGTGGGATCCGTCAGTGCAAGGTCATGCCGGTGCCTCATCAACAGCGGTCCTTCAAGCAGGCCCAAGACCGCTGGATAATCAACGTGCTGTTGCTGCCGGGCAAGCAGTGTACCACTTCGACGCGGGCCGAAGTCGCCGGCCGAAGCCACCTCCATCGCGGGGGCATGACGCCGCGGCGTGCCGGCTGGGACTCTGGTCGCAGTCGCCGGCTCTTGGCAGCATGCAGCACACGCGCGCGCGCCTGCACTCGTCGGGTCGCGAGCACGCCGAGAGCTCTTCGCCACGTCGAGGGTGGAGCTTCACGTGATGTCGCGGCTCGTCTCTCCTTCCTGACGTAAGAGATTGCAGGCGTGTGTGTACAAGGTGATGGATGGTGGAGCGAGCCATCGTCGGGGCTGTCCTCGGAGACGCTCGCGTGCGTCTCTGCGGCGAGCGCTTTTTGGTGGTGGCGGGGGCTTTGTGGGGCTGCGACACCCGACCGCATCTGAGCAACGCGGTGAGGAAGCGAAGTCCCTGCGAGCTGATCCCCTGGCGGTACGGCCAACGTTCATCACGAGGTGACGAACCTCTCGGCCGAGCCTCCCTCCCCCTCTCGGCAGCATTTTGGCACCCGACGTGCTGCTTGAAGCGCGCGGCCAAGTGACGGTCTTATCGCCGCCGCGTGGAGCTGCTCGCAGCCCGCGCCCCGGGCTTTGGCAAATCTGCGCGGGCAGCTCGGGCTTTGGCCGGGAAAGTAGTGGCGACTGGCGAGATGTGAAACCACAACCAAGTGACGACGCCCCTGAATTTCTGAATTTCGAGCCCTAGTTCAACTTACAGTTTGGCGCTCCGGTGGTCGTCATGGCGGGTGCGCGTAGCGGCGAGACCTTGAGGCGTGCTCAAACAGTGAGCAACACCGTTATGTATGTAGCTCGAGTATTGGGCTCGACTCGCTCTCAGTATGTAGTGACCATGGTCCCTGCGCTTGCTTGTGGCAAATAATGCCGAGTTAAATAGATGCTGTCGAGATCAACCTGATGAGGATCTCGAGGAGGTTTTAAGGCCAAGCACATGCTGGGACCAACAATCCTGGATGTAGTACACGTATGGAGGTCTAGAATGAGGCTATCGTAGTGCAATTCTTCTTCGAGCTTATGATTAAGAGTGGGGAGCGACCGCTTTGAACTCATTGCTAGCCTTTACTACTGTAGTATTTGTTTGGTTTTGAAGCGTAGATGTGTTGTTGATGATGATGACGATGATGGTAACACCAAGGCGTTCTGGCTTACAGCGACAAAATGGAAGGACAGGTAGGTAGAGAGCTTCCGATGGCCGATCGCTACACGTTGGCAGTCCAGAGCTTCCACGAGGACGAGCGGTCACGAGGGCGGGTGCTGCGCGAGCGTCCGCGACCGCCTTGGGATCCTTCCGAATTCGGGCCTTGTTGGAGCGAGTGGTGTTGCCTTGTCTCCAGTCGGGCCTGGCGCTCCTGAGCCTCACGCAGAGCCGAGCTGAGCTCCTCCAGCTTGGACTCGTAGGCCAGGATCACGTGCTGCGACTGGTTCAGCCGGCTCTTCATGCTCAGCACGTTGCCCTCCAGCTTGCGGATCTCGATGTCCTGCTGGGCCAGCTCCTCCTCCTTCTGCTCCAGCTGCAGCGTCAGGCGACTCACGTCCGACAGCTTCACCGCGTCGAACATCTGGTCGTGCACGACGCTGCCGCGACGCTTGTACTTGAAGCGCACCTCGCTCGCCGACGAGTCCGACACCGAGCTAGGCGACATCGGCGGTTCATCCACCAGACGCTGCTGCAGTAACTTCGCTGCCGATAACGGGGCTTGGCTAGCACCTTCAAGGTCGTCCTCGTCCTTCAAATGGCGCGTCTCCAGCAGCGTCATGCGGTCCTCCTCGTCGTCGACCGGGATCTGGTGGGCCGAGTCGACGTAGCTGGTCTGGATCGTGGACTCCACCGTCTTGGCATTCGACACGAAAGACTCGACCAGGAAACCGACAAAGATCGGCAGCAGGATGTTGCTCATTGTGATGCGGTACGCGAAGAAGAAGACGTAGGTCGAGTCCGAGCCGGTCATGGCGTGCGCGGCGTCCATGATAACGTCCCATCCGGCCAGGTTGGCCACACCGAACAGCGTCACGAGAGTGCCCTCGAACGTCTCGGCCTGGAACTCCTCGCGCTGCGCGTACCAACCTGGCGACATGGCCTGCTTGCTGGCCGGGAAGTCGCGGAGCTCGATGCCGTAGTTGGCCTGCGTGACGATGGCGAAGGCGTACATGACGCTGAAGATGACGAGCAGGAGCTGCATGATCAGCGGCATGATGGCCTTCATGGTGTACAGGATCTCGTGGAAGGGCGGGAAGAGATTCAGCAGCTTCAGGAAGCGCAGCGAGCGCACGGCCAGTGCCATGTCGTAGAACACGAGCGAGATGTTGGGCGGGTTCGAGAGCGTCGTGAGCACGTAGAACAACCAGCCCACGCACACAACTGCCAAGTCGAGCTTGCAGAACGGCCGCGTGAAAAACTCGTTGTAGCCGAACGCGAACATCTTGACCAGCACCTCGAGCGTGAACAAGTTTAGCAGGAAGAAGCCCAGCAGGCGCCACGAGTGGTTCGCCGAGAAGGCCAACTGGATGTTGTTAACCTGCACGGCCTGGACGACCGAGAGACAGATGAGCATGCCGACCACGAGCTCAGCCAGCACCACGCGATAGCGCCCGAAGAGGTGAACTTCGTACAACAAAGTGCTGCGGACCTGCGCGCGGAAGCGACGGATAGCGTGGCGCTGACGAGAGGTGCAGCAGCGGCGCATCAAACTGTTGGAGAAAAGCGTCGGGCGCTCGAGCTTGACGCTGAGCAGTGAGCAGAGCTGGTAGAAATCCGTCAGGTCCAGAAAGCCCACATGCTCGATGTCCACGGTGTTGAACACCAACTCGGCGTCCGTGGCCGTCCACTTGGGCTTCAGGTACTCGCAGACGCTGATCCACGAGTCGAGCGAGATCTGGCGCTTATTCACAGGCGTCACGAGACTGGTACTCAGGCCGGGGTTGGCGATGTTGAAGGACGCGCGCTTGTCGAACGTGCCTAGAAAGAAGCGCGAGGACCCACGGCGGTTCGCCGCGTTCAGCATGGGCGCATTTGAGACCAGGCTGATGTCACTCGCTCCGCTGATCGGTGCGCTGCCAACGCCGCCCGGGGCTGCAGGGTTCGTGGGGACATCGTCGTCGAAGTTGACGTTTTGCGCGAGGATGTCGAAGGCGGCGTAGAGCGCCGCCTTGCGCTTCTGCAGGCGCTTGTAGAGCATGCTCTCCGTGTTCTTCTTGTACGACTTGTACGACACGGCAATAGTGAGCTTGAGCAGGAAGAGGTTGGTGAGCAGCACGAACAGCACGAAGAAGATGGCACTCCAGTGGGTCATCTTGTAGTACGGGTACATGCTCTTGGCCATGTACGGCATGCAGTTGTGGATCAGCAGCATCGTGTACATGGAGGACGAGAGCGAGTTGAAGAACGTGGCGCTCCGGTCGGCGCTCGTGTCCGAGAAGACGAGGTATCCGACGAGTCCGAAAAAGGCGATGAAGCAGAAGCTCAGCCCCAGCACAATCAGCACCTCCCTCAGTGCGTGCAGGAAGCTGCTGAAGATGATGCGGATGTTTCTGCCCCTCGCGATGAAGAAGAACGGCCTTAGCGCGCGCGAGTACCGGTACGGGTTGATGGTCGGGAAGAGCAGGTTCACCAGCAGGTCGGCGCACGTGATGAGCAGCAGGATCATCCTCACCACCGCCCAGGGCTGCCTCGAGATGTACTTGTGCTGGGTCTCCACGGAGCTCATGTACCAGCGGATGGCCAGGTCGACGCCGAACACGAAGAGGCACAGCAGGTCCACGAGCAGGTACGTGTTGATGTCCTCGTCCCCGGGGTTCTCCACGAAGGCCAGCGAGCACATGATGGCCACCACGAGGATGTACACGAGTCTGTACGACTCGGAGTGGAACAGCTCGTTCAGGAAGAGCGCGTCGCGGTCCAGTCGGTAGCCGATCTTGCGGCCGTGCACGCCGTCCTTGATGAAGGCCGCGGCGATGAGGTACCGGTCCTCCTCGAGCGCCGTGCCGTAGTCCTTGGCCGCCAGGATCGGGTCCTGCTCGGAGGCGGCGGCGGCCTCGTCCTCCTCGGCGTGCTCGGGCGAGTCGAAGTGGTACGTGGGGATGCCCGAGCCCATGCGGCGCTTCTGCTCGTGCGCGAGCTGCTGCCGGTGCTTCATGAACTCGAGCTGCACCTCGCTGGCCATGCTCTTGGCCGTGCTGTTGTCGTCGTCGATGTCCGTGAGCCGCTTCCACTTCTTCTGGTTGTCCAGCACGGCGGCGTCCAGCCCCACGCGCACGCGCGCCTTGGGGCGGCTCGGGGACGTGGCCGCGGCGGCGTCGCCGCTGGACAGCCCGGACAGCAGCGGACTCGCGTGCGCCGAGCGAGGGGCCTCTGCGCCGCCCTGGTAGCTGCGCGCGGCGCCCGCGGCGCCCACGAGCGGCGTCTTCTCGTCGTCCAGCGAGCTCATCGGGAGAGTCCGAGCACTGGAGCTATGATGCGGATGTCTTTGCTTGGCGTAACGGTTTTTGTGTGGGGCACACAGATTTACACCTGGTTTCAAGCAGCGATACACATGTAATATGGAAGGTGGATGAGATGATACAGGTAACAAATAGGGTGATATGCATGGGAAATGAGACATTGAGAATAAGTGGAGGAGGTTTATGTGTTGTGAAAGTAACTAGGACGGCAGTCCCCCTGGAAGCGACACAACGGGACGATGGAAGGGCGGAATGCAATTGGATCGGACATTTGAGCACAGCACTGCAGGTTGCAAGAGGCAATGGCGCCACGGTCAGCTGGCTTCCAGAAGCGAGGCGGAAATGCCGCACAGATTCGACGTGGCGCAGCTGGCCAAGAATGCGGCCACGTGTAGCCTCGCCCCGCTTGCTGCAAATGCTTGCTTGTGGTGTCGTCAAAACTGCAGGCAGTTCTCTCGCCCGTTGCGTGACGTACGCCTCATTTTCTTCATCGGCAAGCTGGAAATGGACTTCTTGATTGAGGAAACAGCGTTTGCGTGGCTGCTGCCTTCCCCTACTTAGGCCACGTAGGTGGAGACCTCGACGCCGTCCTTGAGCTCGGCTTGGTACTCGACGAACGACTCGTGCAGGACCGACGAGAACTTGGGGTTCGAGCGCACGTACGCGAGGAATTCCGGAAGCCCACCGGGGCCTGGAGAAAGCACGTTGTCGGTCACCACCACGCCTCCCTGAAGAAACAAATATCCGTCACCCCACCTCGTGTAGCTTCGTAATAGCAAGATGTTTGCCGCACTTACCGGCTTGAGCAGGCCGCTCTGCTCAATCAACTTGAAGTCGCTCAGGTACTGGCGCTTGTCGTGGTCCATGAAGAAGACCTAAAAGATACCAGGGAGCAGCACCAATACGGTCACACACACACCAACTGTCAACAGCACTGCAAGGCACATGACATGACGTACATCCACGTGGTCGACGCCCAGCTCCTTGAGCTTCGTGTACGACTCCGAAAAGGGGCCGACCAAGAAGGTCACGACGTCCGAGAGCCCCGCAAGCGCCACGATCTGAGACGCAATGTTGGCGAAGTGCGGCGAGAACTCGAACGAGTAGAAGCGTGCAGAGGGGCCTGACACGGCTCGCAGCTTGCTCGCGAAGCGCACCGCGCTGTAGCCGCAGAACGCGCCGATCTCCGCCATCACCTGGGGCTTGGCCTTCTCGATCTCGGCGTCCACTATGGCGCCCTTCACGTCGCCGATGTTCATCATCCACGTCTTCGTGTAGGCGAACTCGTCCATGGCGTCCACCACGGACTGGGCGTCGCCCTGGGTCGCGTGCTGACGGACGTACTCGAGGCACTTATCGCCCCTGTTTGGCAGTTGACGCGCACCGAAACCCGTTACAAACTTCAGGTTCGGCCATTGAAGTTCAACGTCACGTACACAGTTTCGAACTCGCCCGGGCGGGGCGGGGGCTGCATGCCTTGGTGGCCGCGACGAGGAGCTCCAGGTGCAGACATGGGGGTGCAGTGATCGACGTCTATGAAGAGAAGCACGAGTGAGCCGTTCGCACGTGATCCTGGTGTACCGGCCAATCACGCGCGGGGAGCTCGGGAACCGAGCCTCACTTGACGCCTGCCTCCGAGGCAGTGCCGTCGCTAGATGTACCATTGCAACCCTACATGTACAGTTGGCCGCCAAAGCGCTCATGGATATACAGTACTGTACTGCTTGATCAATCCAAGACGCTACAGATTATCAGCCTGGTTGAATAGTAATGAGCGACCTCAATAGAAGCTGCCGATAAGGCTGCAGCTGCGAGCTTGAAGCATTTATCGAAGGCATTGTAGTGTAGGTCTTACAATGGAGGTGGGCAAGCAGCACTTTGTCAAGTAGCGGAAACAATTGTGTACAGTACAGTAGCTTGCATTGAGCTTTTTAAGGACTTGAGACTTGAAGCTGAATGGCTTTGGTTGGGGAACAATCGGAATTGGTCTCTTGATTACGTACCGCTTTCTGCCCAACACAAGCTCCCCCCACAGCCCTGGGGGCGATATCAGTCTCATTCTCCGTTTATCAGCCGCAAGCTCAGTCCAGATGCCGCCTCGAGTTGCTACGACCAAGCCTGGGCCTCCACCTCCTGGCCAGCTCCAGATCATGTGCGTCGAGCTTTACTGTGTCCGCGAACGAAGCTTCGACGCCAGATGAACGATAAGAGTCCGTGCCATGTTTGCACAGCGGGGAGAAGTGCTTGGCGTTCGTGCGCGAGAACGCGACGGCGGGTGACCCAAAGTCCGTCCTCGAAACCATCGACACATTCGGCTACGAGCACCACTGGATGATGAACGTGGGGGACGTCAAGGGCGAGCTCGTGGATCGGGAGATCGCCAAAGTGAAGCCCAAGGTGCGAGACCAGACCAGCACTTCGGTTAACTGCTCCACGACCGACCCGAATTGATGTTGTTATGTGCAGATTCTGGTTGAGGTGGGCGGCTTGTTCGGCTACAGCGCAGTGCGATTCGCGAGCCACCTGCGCGAGCTTTCCGGCCCATCGGTGCACGTCTACTCCTTCGAATCTCTCCCGACTTCGCTGCGATCGCTACAAAGGTTGGTACACTGTGCTCGCGCGTGAAATAATGGCGGCTCCGGTTGATTTTGATCGTTGCTTGCAGATGGTCGAGTTTGCTGGCCTCTCGGACTTGGTGACGATCTTTGTCGGCACGTTCGGAGCCAACTATACCAAGCTCAAGGACCTCGGTGTTGACCACGTCGACGTAAGTTGCAGTATTGCTGGTGTGTTGGGGCTCATCTCTAATCATTACTCCGATTTCAGGTTTTCTTCCTGGACCACGACAAGAAGTGCTACAAGAGCGACCTGCAGATCATGGAGCAGAGTGGCCTCCTCCGATCGGTACGTCGGCATATAACTCAGGACTTTATTTGATAAACCAACCACGTGATGCTGACTGCTTTTTGTGTGTCGGGGATCAGGGCTCTGTGGTGATGGCCGACAATGTCGTTGTGGCTCGCATCACCGACTACCTCGAATACGTCCGCAGCCACGCCAACTTCAAGTCCGTCATGTACGACTCGTACCTCGAGTACTCTGACATCAAGGACGGGCTCGAGGTCTCCACAGTCGTAGCTTAGCTGGTGTTGGCTTTTGCAAACAAACAAGAAGACCCGCGGCAATAAACTCAAGCTTGTTGATCTTTCTGTTCCCATTCAGCTCCACTCTTCGATCCTATGTCGATTGCACTGCTTTGTCTAGCTTGTGTGAGAAGTGTACTCGTAGCCTTGAAACGATGGGAACGAGGTAGTGGATCCAGGCTTGTGATACTGTACGCTACTGGCCGTGGAGCGGTTGTTGCTACACGAAAGTTAACCAGTCCACCCGTGCTGGCACTTTTCTCCAGCTCACCTCCTGCGATAGATTTGTGGCGAAGTGGTGCAAGCTTCTGTTGCAGTCGAGCAGCGACAACCCGGCGAAGCTTTTGCCGTTTTCCCTGCAGAGTGAGTCGCCGCTCGGTCACGACTGCGATGGAGTCGCGGTGGCCGTGAGAGCCTTCGGGGCAGCTCTTTGGCGGTGATAGTCTCCTGTGCATCTCCTGCAAGCGCTGGTCTTCATCCTGCACAAACTCCAGGTGCTCTTCAGTAGGACCGGCGAGTAGGATAGATGCTGCTTGAGGGGGCCCAAACCCTTTCTTCTCACTGAGAGTCTCTAGTAGATGCTGGAATGACTTCAGCTCTTGTTGATCAGCCGTCTCATCCGCACCTTTCCTCAACTTCCGCCTTGTACTTGCAGCTCCGGCCGACTCAGCTTCATCACTGGCATCATTCTCGTCATCTAAACCCTCCTCTTCATCCATCGTGTCGCTGTCATTGCCGGTAGAAGACCTCCGTCGACCATTGATCGCACTCCTTACACTACCGTTCGCTGACATTGCTCGAAGACTTGTCCTGGATACGACTGGGACTGTCGATTGCCCCTGGAACGACCTTGAGAGCATATTAAAGCGATCGATGAGGTAGTCGACCGTCTGAATCGCGCGTGACGGCTGCATCTTTTGGCCCGAGGACATGACTGCAATAGTGAACGTCGTGCCTGGCTCCATGGCGACAACCGACAAGTAAAAACCGACTCTTAGTGACATTGAATCGGGCTGCTTCGGGTAGAACGACCGCAACGAGGCTGTGCTGGCGTTAGATTCCACGATGGCAGCGGCGTGCTCTGTAGGTGCAGCATTGGCGGTGGCTGCCGTCACAACGCGGAGCAAGTCGTGAGGATAGAGAATAATTCGATGTCCTTCGCCAGCGGTTTTCGCCATCCTTTCGGAAGACCGCCACATGAAGTCCGTGCTGCAAGGAACTTTGGTGTCCGTGGACATGAACACTTCCGCATCTCCTCGTAGAGCGTGCATCTTCAACGTGATAATCGACCCGTGGCCTTCCGGCAAGTAGTAGAAGTGGAAAAACGCCGTGTCCTTGGCTTCCTTGAGGTCCCGTTGTACACTCACTCCGAGTTCGAGTTCCTCCGTGAGTTGACGACAGCTCTCGCGATGGATTCTTCGCAGTCGAAAGCTGGCATTCACTGCACCATTAGTTGCGTTCGTATTGGCAGAGGACATGAGGATGGTGTTGTGCCGCGAGTTTTGCAGGCGCTGAAGATCTTGGTCTCTCTGCTCCTGCCACTTCTTCCGAAGCCTTTTCTGTCGCTCTTCAGCCTCGCGCTGCTCCATTTGCTTCTTCTCGAGATCGTTCCTCATCGCCGCGAACATCTTAGACTCGGAGTCGTTGAAGAACTGCTGCCATTTCTGCTGCATCGCCGCTTCAGCCTCCGCCGTGAACGCGATACCTTCACCTAGAGCGTTCACTAGCCGCTCACCATAGAGAGCTCGCTCAGCATCTTCATCTAAACGTTTACGCTTGATTGGCTTGAGTGGGTCGGCCGTGATGATTTCCGGTTCGTCTTCCCCTTCGTCTTGAATTGATTCCAGATCGTCCAAATGAGGATGGTCGAGCGTGTTGAGCTGCTCCTTCCTTTGACGCAGGGTTGAATGGAGGCCGCTGTCACCTCTGGAATAAGACGCCTGCGGTTTCAACGGTATCGCTGCTTTCTTGGACTGTGCAGATATTGAGGACGGCAACGTTCCAGGCGACTGTGTCTCGCCTTCGCCCGATTGCCTACGAGGCTTCATACCGTATGACACGGGTTCATCATCGCTGCTGTAGATTGGATCATCCACGTCAAAGCCGCCTCCGCTACTCGCCGCATAGTTCTTCGTGTCAGAGCTCTTCTGAGCGTCCTCCTCATCGCTTTCGCTGTCATCGTTTGGGTTCCACATTGCTGTACGATAAGGGTTGTTCGTCACTGCGATGGAGTGCAGGAACGTTGGCTGTTGCGAGAACCGGAACGTGCGGTGGATCTGGATTTCCCCGGCTTTGATGACTTGAGGTTTGTATTCTGGCGCAGGACTATCATCGAGCGTATCGGGTTCCTCGCTTGCGGCATCACTTTCTGCACCTGGGTCAGGCTCAGGAGCTATCAGGGGTGTAGTTTCTTCAGGTGGAGCAGGGGCCGGAGTCACTTCTTCGACTACGACGGGCTCAACAGACTCAATAACAGCAACTTCAGGGACTGGTTCTGGAGGGATCACCGGTTCGATGACAGGTTCAACAACAGGATCTACGACAGGTTCGGCTACGGTAGTTTGCTCCACAGCTGGTTGCACGACGGGCGGCTCCACTACTTCGATAGGTACTTCGACCACAGGCTCAGGTTCAGCGGGAACTTCTTCAACAGGCATAGGGGTGGGCTCGGCAGGCTCCACAACTGGAGGAGTTGCCTCGAGGAGTTCAGTAGTGAAGTCGATAACATCAGCAACGATTTCGGGCTCGGGGCTCGAAATGATCATTTCATCGGCCTCACTTTCGCTAAATGGTGGGGGTTTCTCGCGCGTAGTTGCGATAGGAGCCACTGGTGTCGGTGGGCGAGGAGGGGGCGGAGCTACATGTAATAACTGCTCAGCCTCAAGTAGAGCTGCCGCCTCCTCCAGTTTGATTCGCTCTGATACAGCGCGTTGTAAATTACGAGATGATGGCCGCTTGAGCAAATCGTGTCGAGAGCTCGTTCGAGAGGCTGATTCCTCTGTCTCGACGGTGGGGACCACTACGACAGCAGTCGCGCTTCGTCTCTTTTCCAAGGCTGGCTTCGGCGACGGAGGTGTTAACTCCTCTACGCTTGGTTCTTCTGGGGCGACATCCTCCACCGGTACGGCACTCCGAGAGGAAGGTAGTGGTGGCTCACTGCCTAGAGGCACCTCTTCTGGTTCTCCCTGGTCCGGTGAGACGTCGTAGTCGATGGAGCCCTCTTCTTCTTCTTCACTTTCCTCCTCGCTGTCGAGGATTTGTGACGCTGGAAGTGCCCTTACTTCGTTCGCACCAACACGCCTGCGAACTGGATCCACCTGCGGAAATTGAATGTACATGTTCGTGTATGTTGCAGCGGACCCTCCCCGTGGTACCGCTTTATCCAGTGACCACGCATTCGCTTGAGCTGAAATTCCGTTCTGAACGAAACCACTCGTACTACTTGTCCCCGATAAAAAGTCACTGTTGCCGATGACAGACACACGTAGTGGGGCGACGGGCTTTGGTGTGGGCCCAATAGGACGGACGCCCATAACCACGGGCTCACGGCCACGGCGAGTCGAAGAAGTTGCTCGAAATTCCGCCTCCACTGAGACCGGTCGAAAGCGGTCTAATGCCGTCGTGCTTGCGGTCTGTCTAGTCGCAGGAACAGCACCATCGAGATACAAGCCAAGGGTTTTAGTCTTAGTCTCATGACTCAATAGTAGCTCTTGGGTGGACAGCGATCCCTTGAGCGTCTTACCAATATGAAAGACTCCGTCGTGCAGCCCACCCACACGGCGGCGATGCTGCCGCTCAGCCTTTTGGTCGATTGAGCTTTTGCCCACTCTTAGCCCCTTCGGTAGCAACAGTGTACACGATAGCTGCATGTAGTTCCAGACCATGTCACTTAGCTCCGGTAACACTTCCAACCGGTAGTCCCGACAAAACGATGGGATTTCGTGGAAATGAATCAAGCCTCGAGTCTTGACGCCAACAATGTAGAGCATCGCCCAGAAGTCTAGGTAACAGAGCTGTCCGTCGTGATTCAGGTCGATAAATCGTTTTCTGATAGCTACCACGGCATTCTCGAACGATTTGTCCTTTGAAGGAGCCACTTGTTCCACCACATCTCCTTCCGACCAGAGATAGCGCAGCTTGAACAAGAGGGCTTCGAAGTCACTGATGGCCATTGCCCCAACACGTTCGTGGTCGTAAAACACAAAGCAACTTAGCATCAGACGAAGTTTTTCTAGCAGATCGCCTTCCAATGCCGCGTCTCGCTGGGGATGGACGAATAAAAGCCTCTCCACCACTCGGAATTGAGCATTTTGCTGCTTCCATTCACCTACGAGGAGCCGCAAGAAGCGATGCAGCTCAATCCAAAGCGCAGGCCCACGGTAATAATGCGCAGCTTCGTTTGCTAAATCTGGTGAGTCCGTTCTCAGCAATTGCGTGGGTGTGCTCTGCGCGTATTCCTGCATAAAGAGCAGGATGTTCCTCAGAAACCCAGGACTAACCAGGGGATACAGCAAATTATCCTGGGCGCAGAGAAGAGCATGCTCAATCCGAATGAACTGCCAACGCGTTGTTCCAGCTGTCGCCGGTGTCACTTCAGCAGTGGTGGCACCGTATATATTTCCCCATTCACGTCCACGTAGTCGTCCCGAAAATGAGTCACCATTGACTATCATCCCACGCGAGTACAGCCACGAGTAGCAACACACGCACAACGCAACTAATGTACTAGGCGCCTGGTCATATTCGTCTGCATGCTCAGGAGTGTGGAGCCCCAGAAGCTCGCCAAAAACTGCAACGGCGTCGTATTCACGCAGATAATGGCACATGGACACGAAAAATAATTTCAGCTTCATCTCCACAGCGCTGCGCATTCCGTAGGTGGCTAGGAACACTTCAAAGAGGGCTCCGAAAATCGAGCATTCAGATGAACGCTCTTTTCTGGGGGATGACGTCTTGTACAAACGCGTATGAGCCGTAGCAGTGAGCTTGCTGTATACTTCGACGATAATATCAAACGTAGCTTGTCGCGAAAAGTGAGGAGCATACCCCGCACGCGGCAGGTCAATCGTGTGGAGTCGTTTATGACACACCTTGCACTTCGGACTACGTTGTGCAGCCCCCTCAGCGCGCTTCTGTGAGCCACCGCCGTCGCTCTTTGCTTTGATGGGGTCGGTCCAATTAATGCGCAACCGAGGTGCTGGTTGGCACCAGCAGTAGCCTTTCGACCAGAACTGTTGGAACATCGGTGATAGTCGAATACCGTTCACGAGCGGGCTCTCAAATATGCTTTCAATGGAATGATCGTAGCATCGAGCGTATTTGATGCGGCGTTGTTTCTTCGCTGAAGTTGTGGCACGAGCAGCTCTACTTGGGACAGCTCGCTCCTGTACTACTTGATTCTGATCCTGGATTGGCGTGGTATTCTTCTCATCACCACCCCTGTCATCCTCGTAGCCATTGTCATTGCTACCATCTTCGGCCTCCCCCTCCTCTTCCTCTTCCTCTTCACTGGATGATTCCTCGCCGCTGGTATGAATTAAAGAAGAGCTATTGGATGTAGTCTCGGTGATATTCGTCGCGAGGGGCTCAGAAACGTCGATTGCGTCTGCCGGATCAGCATGTGCATCGCCTCCGACGTGTGATTCAAACACTTTTGGGTCATGTTCGGCTGCTGAGCTGGCGGTCTCTAACAGCGGAGGGTCTACAAACCCGACTTCAGCAGATAAAGGATCATCTTCCAAGTCCGCCTTATCTCGCAAATCGGGACTTGGGGGCGTGTGCACAATCAAACTAATAGTCGGACTGGATGGTGATTGGTTGTGAGAAACAACTAACACGTTTTCTTCATCTGGAACATCCTCCCAGCGAACATACTTCTCACCGAGCAGGTTGAAAGTCACCACTGGCTTTCGTTTCGCCTGCTTCTTCTCACGTGAACGTTGAGCGCGTGCTTTTTTACTAAAGTAGTCTTTGCCTTTTATAGAGCGTGCCATCGTCGGCGCATCGAAAGATGGGCGGGGAGCTGTAGATATAGTGAGCAGTAGTTTTAGGATCTGAAGGGCTTCTTCTGAGTCCACGCGAGTTTGTGCAGTCAGTTTCAGGTCTTTTAAGCTTTTTGCAAGTGCAAATCCCACTCGTTTGACGTTCGGTAGCTCCGGTCGAAGAGCCAAGAGATGAGAGATACGATTAGCAGTCATTGTGCCCCCAGAGCCGTGGCGAGTAATATAGTCTTGCAGGTACTCGCGTAGTGTGTCGTCGTCGATCAACCGTCGCTGGAGTTTATCAGCACTTTTGCTTCCTCGAATGTGGCGCGGCATCACCTCGTTTCGTGAGTGGAATGTACTTTCGTCTTGCTCAGACAATCTTGTTGCTGGTGAACTGTCGGTCGCAGTCGTAGTCGTAATAGCACTTGAAGAAGCCGCTTCAAGGTGTAGCACAGCGGAGGGGACATGCAGCGTTAAGAATTCGTCTACCGATCGAGAAGTTGGGCCTGGCTGTATTGCTACATCGGTAGGATCTTCAACCGAACGGGTCGTGGGAGTGTTGGGGAACTCTTCGTCAATCATAGTGGTCGAATCGGCTTCGTTGGAGTCGTTAGAAATAGTTCTCACAATAACTTCAGGCTTTATCAGATACTTCATATCACACTTGCTACTTGGCGCAAAAGAAAATTTACAGACTTCGTGAGCAAGCGCGAGAATGGCCTGCTCCTTAACCAGGGCCATATCAACGATGGCGGCACCGATGTCGAAGTAGCGTTTTTCCTGCACACTACCCGTTTCCAGAATCTGCCATTGGATGACAGTCATATCCAGCGAACAGCTCAGGAACTCAGACGTCAATCCAGTCGGAACCACATCGCCGGCAATATGGCAGATCCTAGATACACGTCGCTCGTGCTTTGTTGAGACTCCAATTGCTTGAAACGATACTCGCTTTGTATCTACGCACCAACAGGCCAACCGACCATCTTCATACCCCGTGATCACATAAACCTTTGCACCGACTCGATCTGACGGACCTCTCATTATTTCGATACACGATGGAGTTGATGCGTAGCCTTCCGCAGCACCGCTGACATACCCGATCATTTTTAGCGATGGCACACTCCAAAGCTTGATAACTCCATCAGCAGCTACGGACGCCAGTACGGCGCGTTTCCCACGAGCTACAACATCCATACGTGCGATTTGAACTATATGCGATGAGTGAGCAGCTTGCGCCCTCACATTTGCTTTCTGCATCGATCTAAATGATAGATCACCGTACTGAAGTGCTTCTGCCTTCCAACCATAAAGTTTTCCGGTCTCGGTTCCAACGACAATCAACGTTTTATGGGCCTCAGCTTCATCACAAATTTCATCAGCGAGGGCTACAGGTGCACTGGCATGACCTAAATAAATATCTTCATACGACCGCGATGACAAATACCCGGTAGAATCTGCTTCAGTAAGCGCGCTCTTTTTGGTGATTGCACGTTGAAATGTGACAACCGATAGGGCGCTGATCTGGTCCGTGAGATGATTGTCTTGAAGTTTGAGAACGTGCTGCTCGTGTATCAAATCGTAGACGTCAACCACTCCACTACTCCACGCAATGACGACAAAAGGCTTCTGCATGTTGGCGTTCATCACTGTTTCAATGGAGCACACATGTGGTGACACGTCTGATCCATGCGGCATAATAAATAGTTGTTTCGTCGCAGATGATGCAGGGTTTGAAGAATCCTCAAGTGGGAAAATGCGGAGCTTACACACGGCTGTACTGCTGAGTGAGACAACTTTGGGCTCACCTTGCTGAGTAATTGCCCGTACTGAGTAGACCCCTTCGATGGAGTTGAACTCTTGCATCACGTAGAGAACGGTCTGAACTTTTAGCACGTGAATTACGTCCTCACGCACCACCAGCAAGAGATTCTCGAAGCAGCTGCCCATATCGATCGTGACGCACATCACCAGGGTCGTAAGTGGAGGGCCTAGCGTGTCGAGATTCTTGAACTTACTGGGACTTTCGTCCTTACCGATCTTCTCCTTTACCCCGGCATTAAATTTCCCAACCAAACTTAGCCTGGGATAGCGATGTTCTCCAGAAATCGTTCCACCCGAATTGCTGCCAAACATCTTCCGCTCGACCGAGAACATCCAGTGCCTCACGACCCCAGTATCTCTCTCCGCGACAATCACAATCACATCCGTCGAAGCTGCGGTTTCAGCCTCACCTGTAAGCCCTGGAGTTGGCGTCGTAGTGATCTCAATAGACGAAATGACCTCATCTTGCGCGTCCGCTACTCCCGATCCAGTGGGTTCGTACGTGTCGGCGTCAATTGTAAATAGCGCGGATCCATTCGTCCTGCTCCCGTTCACATTCCAGACCCTCAGTCCTCCCTTACAAAGCCCTACAAGCAGCCAATCTCCACACGGTGACAGCGCCATGGCAGTGATCTTCTCTCGCAGCATGACTCTCCTCGCCAGCACAAACTTCCCTCCACCCCCAGGCTGACTCTGTCTCCACTCCAGCAAAGCACTCGTTGTATCCGAGCAGTCACTCGCAGTGCCGTAGAGCTCCCGCAGCCCCTTCGACCCACAGATCAGCGCCAGCGTGTCTGGGTGCCGCAGCGACGTCCTCGTGTTCTCCACGAACAGCAGCGTCCTCGGGCGTTCGTTTCTGTCCTGCGTGGGCCACGTCATCTGTCTGTCATCCAGCCTCTTGGACAGCTGCAGGATCTCCACTACATTCTTCGGGGCGCTGGGCAGCATGGTCCCTCCTTCCTCTTCATGGCCCCTTGTGTCGCCTTTGAGGTGGCTGGCGAGCACCAGTTTGTCTGTGGAGGGGTCGAAGTGCGCGCACTGCAGCGAGTGCGTCTCTGGGCCGTGGTACACCAGCAATCGCCGCAGCGTCGCGGGCTCGAACAGCGCGACGCCGTGGGTCGTGGCCTTGGGCACTTTGGTCGCGCCTTTGGGCCTCGAGGCGCGGCTGTAGACGCACACGAACACGTCGAGCGACGGCGAGTACTGCAGCAGCACGCTGGGCACCACGAGCTCCTCCTTGGGCTGCTCGAGCCGCTTCTCCTGCTCCTCGTGCAGCTGCTGCAGCTGCAGCTCGAAGAATGATGATCGCTTGCGCGCGGCGGCGGTCGACGTTGAAGTTGAAGTTGCCTTTTCCTTGTGTCGCTTGGTGGTACTCTCGTCGTCATTTTTGTCAAAAAGGGGTACGCTCTTCAGCTCGCGCCGCAGCGAGAACAGCCGCAGCACGTGCGGCCGCAGCGGATGCGAGTCGAACGTCAGCACGTGGTGCCGCCGCGTGTCGTACGCCGCCGCGCGCAGGCTCAGCCCGCTGGCCGAGAGCTGGTGCCGCAGCTGCAGCGTCTCCTTGGCTTCGTACATATCGACGACCTCGACTTCCTCGTGGCAACGAGTGTACCCATTTTGAGTCTGCCAATCAAATAGCCCGAACTTAACCTTCGGTGGGTAAGTTCGCACCGTTCTATGCACAAAGTATCAATCAGCCCAAATGGATACATCTCATTAGTCAAATTGAGCGGCGATGCAGGAAGGGCGCAATGCGCGTCGTGTGATGGCTACAGCGACGCTGGCGGTGGCGCTGCTGGCTGCGCAGACGCAGGCAGGCGTGATCCACGTTAAGGTGCACGGCGCGCAGTTGAGAGGGGGCGCACAGACGGCCAGGAAGCAGGCGCTGGCCCTGGCTGAAACGACGGAGACCCAGACCTCCATGTGCGAGCTTGTCGGAGCGTGCCTGCAGGGTGCCTAGCAAGCTCTGACAATAGTTTGGTGGTGTCTGTTGCAGTGACTGGACGGGCCAAGGGCTGACGTCGTGGGGTGAGGTGGAGGGGAACTTGACGTCCACGGTGGAGACGCTGTACGGTTGGCCGAAGAGTGAATGGGTGGTGAGACTGGCGGCGGGGGAATGTACTGATGGTGGCTGGTGTTGATGTAGAAACATTTCTTCCAATGCGCTGGGGGCGGTTGTGTTCACGGAGACATTCGAGGAGCTGCAGACACTGTACGAGGGATGCTTCTGTCTAGGTGGGGGAGAATTTAGAGCTAATGGGCGTCGGGCTGATGTCGTAGGGATTGTTCGAATGCGTCGCTGACGCAGCTGAGCGTGAACATGACGTACTTGGAGACGGTGAACGCGTCGCATAACTTCTTGCCGTCGTTTGAGGAGATTGAGTTGGCCACGACGGTCGAGACGCTGTGAGTGACGGGAGCGCTGGTGCACTGAGGTGCTGGATAGGGGGTCTAACAGGACGTCGTTTCGGCCTTAGGGATTTGTCGTGGAACCAGTTGTCGGACTGGAAGAATTTCAAAGTGCCACGAGACTTGAGGGTTTTGTACGTGCTTCGATGAGAGGGGAATACGAGGCCTTGGAGCTGATCTGCTAGTGCGATGTTTGTTTCACAGAATTGCCAGCCACAACGCAATTGGAGACTTATCGGGCTCCAATTTATCGTCATTGGCCGACTTGACATCAATGTAAGTACCCTGCGCGCGGAACTTCTTACTGGGTTTGATTGAGTGATCCACTAATCCTTCTCCTCCCTTTACTTGTGCAGTGACTTGTCGTTCAACGATTTGACCGCTGTGGTAGGGGTGATTTTTCCGAGCAACCTTACATCGCTGTACGCACCCTGTATGTAGTCTATCTAGGCAATGCCGAGATTATTAACAAGAACGTAACGTGTTTGTCTCCAGCGACCTGAGCAACAACAGCATCGAGACCTTCGAGGTTCGTGAGACCGACCTGGCGTTGCTGTCCAGCCTCACCTCCTTCAAGATGGACGACCTCCAGCAATCTGATTGCCCGACTAGTGGTGCTACAACAGAATCAATCGGCAATGCCCAGATTTGTGTTGTCTCTGGTACGATCGTGGTCAATATTCTTTGTGAAGGAGTCTCACTCTAACTACTCCGTGCGTTGTTGTAGACTCTGTGTTCCAAACGGCGTACTTCCGCACTAAAAGTGGTAGGTGTATCCACCGGATCAATTGGACGGGTCTTCTCAACGCCCATCTAATCACCTTGTGTAATTATTGTTGTCCTGTTCCAGCGTGGCAAGCAAACTCTACTATCGTGTATCTGAGTGTGATCGTGAGCGCCCTGATAAGTCTCTGGTTCGTCGCATTGCTGGTAGCTCACACGATTGAAAGGCGCCGGCAGCATGTGGCCGAAAAGAAGAAGATTCCCGATGACATGCAACGCGACACAGTGGAGATCTCGTCATCTCTTACCGCATCGAGACATTGGTCTTTGTCAAAAGAAGGCGACTTGCCCAACGACGTGCGCTTCGACAACGACTTTGCCTCGCTCCGCATCGACCCGTCCGATGTTATGCAAGTGCGCACTCTCGCTCACGGCAGTTTTGCGATGGCGTCGCTGGTCTATCTCGGAGACAAGCAGGCAGTCATGAAGAAGGTGACAGTTCACACGCAGGGCCAGGATCGAGACCAGATGATCGCGTTCATGGACGAAATCCGCGTGTGCGCGAAGCTGGAGCACCCGAAGGTCGTGGCCTTCCTCGGCATCATGTGGGCCAGCCTCTCGGACCTCTCGGCCATCGTCGAATACATCCCTCGAGGCAGCTTGGCAGTGTTCCTGAAGGAGAAGAAACCAGCGCGGAAAAACTCACGACCGACATTCACGTGGCTCGAGTCGTCGAACGAGACGCCGAGCAAACTTTCGTTCGCTCTGCAAATGTCGGAGGCTCTTGTTTATCTACAGAGCTTTGCGCCTCCAGTGATCCACGGACACCTGAAAGCAGACAGTGTGCTGCTCGGATCGTCGTGGGAGATCAAGCTGAACCGACTTGGCTACATGTTGAACACATCGTCGTTATCCATGGAGGACCGCGCGTGGGTTGCGCCCGAGGTGCTCGCAAGCGGCGACTTTGACGAGAAGTCGGACGTCTACTCGCTCGGTGTGGTGATGTCCGAGCTGGATCGCTGCAAGCTGCCGTATTCGCGCAAGGCGTCGCGCCGACAGAGCGTGGATGATGCGACTGCCTTCAAGCCAAAGTTCCGAGACGACTGCCCGCCCGAAATCCTCGAGATCGCGCAGAGCTGTCTTCGAGACGACCCCGCCGAGCGTCCTACGGCGATGGAGCTCCACTACTCCCTTCGTCAGCTTCAGCGTCAAAGCCAGGGTCAGTAGGTCGGTAGGTTCTTAGGTATAGTTGCAGTGGTATAAGTCACTTATACCACACACACTTATAATAAGTGTGTGTGTGGATCATTAGGCGCAGGTGACTTATTTCTCTTAGAGCTGAGTTTTCTTTCATTCATGAGAGTGGTTGCTGCACCCGTCCACTGGAGTCATCTTTTGAATTGTCCGCACTAATAACCTAACCACGCTTCTGACCTCCATCCGAACTTCGTATACGCGGTATACTTTCGACTTTCAACCATTCATTCCTAAAACTGCGGCGAGCCGCCACACGCATGAATCCCCCCCCGCCGCGCGGTCGCCCTGTTGGCCGTACAAGCATGCGCATGATGCCGACGACTACCGGTAGCGCCTAGTGGTGCTGCAGCGACACTTCGTGGCGACACGATGACGTGGAGCGCTCCCTGGCTGGCTGGCAAGACTGCGGTCGGCGCAACACAAAAGGCGTCAGAGCCCCCCCTTCCTCCCTGCGCGCGTTTGAAGAGATGCACGAGCATCAGACCACCTCTCAGTCCTGTCAGGCAAGTAACTGTTCGGGGGAGATCTATGCATCACTTGGTGTATTCGTACTCGTGTCTGTACGCGCAGCGGCCAGCTTTAACCGGCGGAGACAGAAGGCACTTCCTGCTCCGCTTTCAAACAGCTTTACCAGGAGAACAAGCGAAAGAGCGCAAGCAGAATGCGTGAGACTTCAGCGTTTGGGATCAGTTCGAGGGCGGGGCTATCGTCAGTCGGGTACAGTGGTATCAGTCGGGGAAAATAAGCTTCCAGTCGGGCAGTCGGGTACGGTGACGGGTGACGGTGTTCTCAGTCGGGTACCGGTGGTGATGTTTGTTGTTTGCTTGGCTAGGTCAACGCATGCGCTCAAGTTGTTTACCTGTACAAGACTACAGCTCGTGGCGTGACCACAAGAATCTTGCGAGCTGTTGGTAGGAGTTAACGTAAGAGAACGATGGAAAAAACAATGTAATGGACTGTCCGAGATGTGTAGTGTCCTGTACTGTTCGAAAATTCGCTCCCCGTAAGCTATGCACTTAAGCCATTTCACTTAGAGCCTCAGAGACCATTTGCAACCGAAGCAAAGCATAGGTCTGCAATGTTCGGCGCGTGGGCCGGAAGGTATGCCTAAGTAGGAGTTTCTATCTAATCCAGATACCTCGCCTGGCCGAGCCGAGGACTTAGCGTAAGGCTCGAGGGGGTGGGGCAGGTCGCGCAGCGGCGCCCCTCGAAGTGCCGTTGCTAAGTCCACAGGCGAGAGCCAACGTGAGAGTGTCCTACCCTCTTTAACATCAAGTAACAAGTCCTTAGTCTCTTTGGTGGTCGGCATTGGGCCTTCTCGAACATTCTTCATCTAACCGGTCTATACATGGAGTATACAACTTGCTTCAGTTTTGGTCGGTTCTTGACGGTCGTGGTCGGGCGCAAACGGGTACAATAGTCTCGTCACAGCCTAGTTTTCCATATGGTGGACGGGTTCAGCAACAAGTGCCTTCATTCATTGAAGTGCGCGCCCGTCCTTAGGGTGGTCAATTTGCTAAGTTTTAGCGGAATGCCCCTTTACACTGCATGCGCTGGTCTACCGAATGAACGAGGAGTGCTCGAGCGTCGAAATCTGACGTTGCAGGCAAGTTACTGCACCTTTCAAAGATCGCGTGAGTTCGCTGTATCCCCCTTCAGTGCCAAACTTCACAATGACGCGACGTATAGCACGAAATTTGTAGGTGGCATATGATAAGTTGTGGTCTGGCTCACCCCGTTTTGTGGTCGAGGACCTCTGTGTTGAAGTGAATTCCACGGTCGCAGCTGGACCATGCACTTATTTCGCCGCGAGGACTAAGACTGAGTCCCAAGGGCCTTCAGAGGTTTTCTGCTCAACGCTACATGGATACCGTACCGACCGAGTATGGGGCCTTTCACGACCATGAACACGGCAACTCCTAGCACCGGATCGGACTGTTGCATTGAAGCAACGCAGCGCCTCAAAGCCTGGCCCCTCCGAAAGCTCACAACATCGAAGATTCCGCGATCGCCGACCCATTCGCACATTAGGGAGTCACGCCACGCGTGTAAGTCGCGACGGATAGCCTCGAGTCGCCTAAAGAAACGTCCGCCGTAGAGTTCCAAGATAGGATCGGACGCTGGGGGAACCTCTCTAGGATCTCTGGCGAGGCTTTGACTCCAAGCCCGGTCGATCGAACAACGTGAGTTCGCCCCGACTATCGCGGACACACACGCAGAGACACTGCAAAACAGGAGAAACTTTAGAGGACCCCTCGGCCGCTTATACAGCGAGACAAGCGGCGTGAAATTCATTGTATCAAAAGCAGCAGGGGCTCAATCCAACTTTCTCACCGCAATAATGGTCATCGTACATGTGTAATTCATACATGTGCCCAAAAGTACTCCACTGGTACAGCGAGTTCTGCGAAACCATAATGCAAAACAGGCTGTCAGCGACAGCAAACGAGGAGGTCACTCGGGTCGACTTGCCTGCCCGACACCGTAAGCACTCAAACCTGTTTGTATTGGGATCCGCAGGGAGCGCGGCACACAAAGGGGGTGGATTGGCAAAGTTTCATCGCGTCTTGAGTTCACTATGGAGCAAAGCGTTGAGAGAGGCAGAAATTACTTCCAGCGTCAAGACAGTGCGGTTTGTATAGGGCAATTCCGGCAATTCCCCGCCCAAACTCCCGAGAAACCCCATCCGTCCCAGCTTCCGCTTATCGCGGGCCATCTGGCCGCTCCAAACAGCAAAACAATCCCTTAGAGAACGGCCAGGCCATACTCGAGCGCAGTCAAGGGCTCCGATCTCAAGAAAGCGCCACCTGGAATGCCAGAATAAAACGGGCTCGCCAAACATTTCGCGCTTGACGTACAACTCGCCCAAAGCCTGGTTACGATGCCCGTTTGCAACAGTTCGGCGCTCAAACGACAAACCGCTCGCTAGGCAGCAAGCAGATCAGCTCCAGCCCAGCTTTCGGTTTACTCTCCAACCCCCCTACGCGACACACAGCGTCCCGAACAGTGAATAGCAATGGTGCAGTGGAGACTTGTGTGCGGCCTCGCCGCGCTGTACGCCGCTGGAACGGTGAAGGCCCTGCCCATCGACCAGGACCCCGTCGACACGACCGATGAGCTCGTGATGCTGGACGGCAAGTTCCCCGGTTACGGTGCGTATATGGATGTGGACACCAAGCCCAACTCGGCCACTCTCGGCACGGGCGTTGGTAGCGTTGGCGGCGAGGCCAACTACAACCCGGGCCAGCTGCACGCGCCCCGACAGGAGCGTCGCCGACTGGAGGTGACCAAGAGCACAGACATGAAAAAGCTCGAGACGTTCTTTGGCCTCGAGCTCGAGACGGACATCACCAAGCTGCCCACCAAGTACCAGCACGACCCGATCCCGTGGCCCAGCAGCTACTGGCCCGTGTACGCCGACAGCCTCAACTACAAATGGGCCAAGGGCCAGCCCAGCCCCGCCGAGAAGTACGCGACGGCGTTCGGCCACGACGCCACCAAGATGATGGACGCCATCTCCGCCAAGAACGGCATCGACTCGCAGTCCAAGCGCAAGAAGTGCACGACCGACGCCGAGTGCAAGCCCCTCAAGGACGGCAGCGTGTGCGCCAAGCGTAACGGCCAGGAGTCGGGCTACTGCATCCCGACGTGGTTCGGTATCTGTCACGCCTGGGCCCCGGCCGCCATTCTCGAGGCCGAGCCCACCTGCGCCGTGGAGCGCAACGGCACCAAGTTCGAGCCGTACGACATCAAGGCCCTGATCACGCTCGCGTACGACGGCTCCAAGATCCCGACCATCTTCACGGGCTCGCGCTTCAACGGCAACGACAACGCGCCCAACAACACGGACGAGTACGGCCGCTTCTTCGACGACCGCCGTCGTGATATCTCGCCCGGCTACTTCCACGTCGCCGTGACCAACATCATGGGCCGCTTTAACCACAGCTTCGTCGTCGACATCACGGCCGGCAACGAGGTGTGGAACCAGCCCGTGCGCAGCTACGAGATCCTGCGTCTGTCGTGGACGACCCCCAAGGCCGCCGCCAAGAAATATTTCAACGTGGACAAGTACCCGTTCAACGACGCCGCCACCAAGATCGCCGTCGTCACCACGCGCTTCAGCTGGATCGTCGAGTCCGGCGTGAACGGCCCCCTCGTCGCCACGGGCATCGTGGACAAGTACACGACCAGCGCCGACTACGAGTACATCCTCGAGACGGACGAGACGTACCAGATTCTGGGCGGCGAGTGGCTCTCGGGCTCCAAGGCCAACCACCCCGACTTCCTGTGGCTGCCGGCTAGCAAGCCCGACAACGCGACGGTCACCTCGGTGGGCCTCGTGTACTCGGAGATCGAGGGTCTGCTGGACGAGTCTGTGAGCGGCGACTGCAAGAGCGGTGGCGCGGGCCAGTCGTCGACCACGACGAGAGCCCCGGCCTCTTCGACCGAGTCCTCCGCCGCCACCTCGACCGCTGCCTCCACTGCCGAGTCGACCGCTGCCTCCACTTCGACCGAGTCCTCTGCTGCTGAGTCCAACGACGACTCTGCTGCTGCATCGAGCGAGAACTCCGCTGCCGAGTCCAACGAGTCTTCCGGTGCTGCGTCCACGGAAGCGCCTGCCACGGAAGCGCCTGCCACGGAAGCGCCTGCCACGGAAGCTCCGGCGGCTAACTCAACGGCGGCCTCGACAGCGTCGTCCTCTTCCTAGATCCGAAATCGAGTTCTTTATCTCTGTGCATATCAGGCGTACATCGGCGTGGCCTCCAAAGCATAAGTGAGGCAATAAAGCATGTTTGTAGATGACACCTACTTTGCACCAACACCTCGCGTACCATACCATTACACAAGCTCCTTACCTGCTGTCATCACATTTCGTCACACACGAGTTTATAATGAGCCGCCTCACGCGCTCGTACTCACGTGCCGAATCGATTCGGTCAGCGTAGCCTTGCGTGACGAAACGAGCAAAGCACCAGGAGCTGCCAAGTCTTGCAATAGACGCCACAACTCCTTCGCCGTTGGTCGGTCTTCGGGGTCGTAGCTCAGGCACATTCTCGCCAGGTCCAGGATCGCTCGCGGACAGTCCGAGTGGAAGGCAGGAGTCACTCCCTTCTCGCTCACCGCCAATGCTAGCGCTGCGTTGGACGACAACAAACTCTTGAGCTCCTCGTCTGTGGCACTCGAAGAGGACACAAACGAAGTCATCCCCGAGGCGGAGAGCGAGCTGGCAACGCCCAAAGTGTACGGTTTGGTGCACGTGTCCAGCTCGCACATGACGATGCCAAACGAGTAAATGTCCGCCTTCTGGTCGTAGCGCGCGCCTTTGATCACCTCGGGCGCGATCCACGCTGCAGTACCGACCTCTGCCGTTTGCGGGCCGCCAGAGGACACCCCTCGCTTGTCGTCTCTCTGCTTCCGCCGCTTGCTGACTCCGAAGTCGCTGATCTTGGCCACCCACTTGTTGCTCAGCAGCACGTTCTGCGCCTTCAAGTCGCGGTGCATGATGGGTTCTGCAAACGAGTGAAGGTACACCAAGGCGTCTGCAATGTCCAACGCCACGGTCAGCTTGCTGTGCGCGAAGCCCGAGTCTTCCTCGGTAGTCCAGTTCCAGCCTCGACGCTGGCTGTCGAGCATCCGTTGTCTCTCCAGGAACTGGGCCAAGTCCCCATTGGGCATGTACTCGATCACAAGCGACAGATCTGCTAGTGACGACCAGGAAATGCCACGGAACGCGACGATCTTGGGGTGGTTCAGACTGGCATACAGGCGGATTTCTCGCGTAAAGCGCTGAAGCTCGCGCACGCTTTTCGCCTTCTCGGGCGCCACCTGCTTCATCACAATT